ACTTGTTTGATAAGCACAGGAAACGCTTTTAAGTGAAAGGATGCCCGCCGTCATCAGGTTCAGTTCACTCGATTGGAAATGAACATAGAGCAAGAGTTCGTTTCCGATCGGAGATAACTATTAAAGAGAATTAGAGAAAATTTTACTTGAACTGTATCATTTTCCAGTCATGTTTTCGTTATGACTAGATAAATAGAAGAAACAGATTGGACAAATAAAAACTTCCAATTAATAAATCATTCATTCGTGTTGAAATGTCACATTTTTGTTCATTTCATGCGGATCAATATCGTCGATTGGGAAAAACGAGTAGACAATGAATTGATCAAGCATGTAACTATGTGGAATGTGATGAGTGATGTGTAATCGAATGTGTCGATATCGAATGGTATGTCACATCGAGAGTAATTGGATAAGTAGTATCAACAGAGCTATTAACATAGAATGTATTAGTTTTTACGAAAAAAAGTAAACAAATAATTGATAAGGAAAACTAAGACGAAACCTAATGAATAATCTCGATGAAGTTCGAAGATAGTTGAATCTTGCATCGATGAACATCAGCTACTACAATAGGAATGATGAAATCGAATAAGTGTGTACATATATCTTCCATTTTGCATTGGAAATCTTCAGATGAAAGCGATTCGAATGATGTGATTAAAGGACAACATATTCAAATGTAATGAACGGAAATAATCACAATCGATAGACTAATCCTTTTTTTCTGTTCTAATCACTCAGCCTGATTCATTCATGCCGTTCTGCTAGCTTCGATAAAACTGTCTTTCTCTTGTGACAGCTAATAGAATTAGCCAAATTACTGATGAACAATTAAGAATGGCTAGCTGGTTTGCTTTATATGGAGAGACGAATTCGATTCAGATTCTTGAATTTCAATGAAGTGTATTGCATGAACATAAGTACATGGCATAAAAATGTTGCTTTTCACGCATTTTTCTCGTCGGCAATTGTCCTGATTAATAATCATGAACATGAAAGCATAGAACTCGATCGTTCGAGACCAGGTCATGAAATTAAGAATAAGAATATTCCAAACTTAGAAAACAGACAAAAGTTCGAATGAAAAACGATACGTGGTCGTCTATTTGTTTCAGTTCGCCTAGATAATCATTTCAAACGGAGAGATATTGTTGCATGTTGAAGACCTGTTGAGTCTATTTTGATTCTAATTAGAACAAAAGACAGTTTCCGTTTTTAGTTAGACATTCGTGAATCTCGTTTCTCTTGCCTACTAATTTACAAGTACTTCCTCGTTCGTCATTCACAACTAAACACGACATGTCTCCCATTTCTCTTCTTCTGTCTGATGTAATTGCCGGGCGACTAGAAAAGATATCTGTCGTTTTTCTTTCTCGAATAAGAGATGATGAATTGTGTCAGAAAATTAATCGAACAAAGAATTCGACAGTTGCGAAGTCATTTATTATTGAATGGAGCATTTTTTCTTCTGTTGAGATTTATTTCTGTCATCGATATGGATCCATATGGAATCATTCGATTCTTTTGTTTATAGAAAATGAATACTATTCCATAACAAACATTTCCATATCGAAGGCCTCCGAGAGAATTAATCATAGACGAAATGAAATATTCTATTAGTTACGAATAATTGAAAACATGTTTGTTTTGCCTAACGGCATGATTATTATTTGAAACATCTCCAGTTTTTCATGTCGGATAACATTACTTCGATCGACACTCGGCAGAGTCATCTTCTCAAATGATATTTGTCAAAGGAATAACTCATACGACGATGTTATGGTCTCCAACAAATCGTCCGGAAGAGTTGATGTCAAAATAAAATGAATATGCAAATGTACATACATTCATCATTTTGAAAAATCTCTTCCTATAACTATTGAAAAGTAGCAAGAGCAGAGACATTTGCTTTCCCTTCATTCTATTGAATAGTTACACCAGCATTTCTCGATCGTCATCAATTTAGTGCGACAAATGAGTGTAATTGTATTTCACTGTCTCTCAGCTTGTTCCCTCTCAATCTTTCTTCTTTTTTTCTCCTTCTTTTCTTCCATCTTATCATTTGATGGATTCCCTACGATACTAGCAAGATATAATTATTATGTCTAGGACTTCTTCCGTGTTCCACGATGTTCGTCTTCTCTATTTTGCCTGCGCTTCTGAAAAAAGAACGCTCGAACATAACCAACGAGAAGAAAAATAGGATCGCGCGGATGAGAATACTAGCACGTTTTTTTTTATATTGCGTTCTATTTATGTTACTGTCTAGAAAACAGAAGAAAGGAAGAGTACTGTCGAATGATCAAGATCTCTTGATCAACATAACATAATCATTCGAAATTTCGCTACTTGCGCCAGATGTTTTCCTCATTGGTGATGCGATTTCTTTCGATTAATCAGACGTGCTTGTCTTTCATCGATGTTTCGCAAGGACTGGTAAGTTGTAACTTCTTCTTGGCATCATTGAAGTCAGTTTCCTGCGGAGAAACTAAAATTGATTTGAATGCATTATTTCTCATTCGATCAAGTCCAATGTGACAGTCGTTCGATGATGGATATATTTATGTGATGACAGCTGGGACTGAGTCTTCTTTTTCCTTGGTTATCTCTGAGGATATGTATACAAACATATGAATGAGAGAACAAAACGGAAATAATGATTTCTTAATTAATATTCATATCGATTGTCGTCCGAAGGAATTGTTTTTCATTCTTCTAGATAATAATGAAACGTCGAAAGCGATTCTTTGTTATTTTATTTCACCGATACTGTTGAATGTATTTACGAATATCTCGTGTGCGTTTCGTCATCGTACGAGCTTGTTTATTATTGATCATCTTCTTACTTCTATTAGAATTTCGTTTAACCTTCAAAACGCCGAGTATTTCTTCGATCAAAAATCCAATTGAAATCGCATTTTGGCGAAAATTACATAATCTCGATAAATTATTAACTGATAAACAAAAAATCGAACAGATCGAATTACTCGACAGACAACGGAAACGAAATGATCTGAATTGGACAAATATATTCTATCATGTTTATCACAAGAAAACAAATAAACTCTATGAAAAAGATATGAAAAACATAGAGAAATCTCGTTGGGTTGAAACTGAATCTAGTACACTACAAAATACGTATGAAATATACGAAGAAACACCAGTATGCAAAAGAATGACTTCTCAATTTTGTTTCAATAAACTTTTTTCTTTAGGTTTTTCAACAACCGAAATTTTGCTCATCAACGCAGATCTTTCATCGTGAATGCCCGTACAAAAATTGTCATTGGAAATGTAAAAATCCCTCGACAAATCATGAAAATCATCGTCGCGCGAGTATTTTCCATCATGTCGACATTAACAAAGACGACATGCATACGAAATTAAAAGTCCGTTCTCCTTACGACATTTGGATTCTGTGGATCGATGAAGCGAATCGTCAATTGAAACATCTGAACGATTATCATTTCAACTGGACTCTTAGTTTTCGGCAAGATTCTGAAGTATCTATTGGAGCATATGGTTTGTTGGTTCCAGATGATTCTAATGACATTCTCCATTCCACAAATATGTCAGATTTGATTCTTTCATCAGATTTCCTTTATATACTTACTAATCGGAGTGTCATCATCACAGATTTTGTCTTAGAAAATCATATTCTCACGAATTTTCGTTATCGCTCGAAACATGCTCTTTGGTTCGTTTCGAACTGTGAACCCAAAGCTCGTTTGAACTATTATAAACAATTGCAATACTATTTTCCAGTTCGTGCTTTCGGCTTGTGTATTGATGGTAACGATGAAGCCAAGTGTCAAAAGAATGATCGATGTGAATTTGATCAATCTAGACTTGCGTTATTCTACTTAGCATTTGAATCGCAAACATGTACAGATTATGTAACGGAGAAATTTTGGCGTGCACTTTATTATGGAATGATTCCGATTGTCTTTGGGCCAAATAAACAATCGTATTTAGATTTAGGGATACCCAAGTCGGCGTTTATCCATGTCGATGATTTCCAGTCGGCGAAACACTTAGGAGAATATTTGCACGAAGTTTCCAATGATTACTTTCTCTATCGAGAATATTTCCAATGGATTAATCAATATCAAATCTTCTATCAAACGTACGATCTTGAACCCATACGTATGTGTGAATTATGTATGAGGTTGAACATGCAAAATAGCAAGGAGCATCGATTTTATCGGGATATTCATCAATGGCATCGAGCTGGATGTTGACCGACAATTGATATATTTCACATCCCTTTCCTCTTCTTCTTCTTCAGATAAACATGAAATGTTTGTTTTATAAAAGCTTTAATTTTCTGACTTTTTCAATGGCCTTGTTGTTTTGTTAACAGTAATGTTTTATGCTCTGTATGTACGTGTGCTTATTCTGTTGTTTTCAATAGAAATCTTCTGATATCAATTGATTTGAATCAATAAGAAAAAAGTCTTGTTTTGATCGAGCAGTGTGTGAAGTTTGAAAAGAAACAAAATCAGATGTTTTTGAGTTGAAATTGTCATTCACAACGTCGGTATCTTAATGATGGAATCTACTTTTGCCTGCTACCTCTGTTTGTTTAATCGTCTACTGTGAAAACAAAACCGAGGACGGCTAACATCATTGCCTCACCATCAAGTAAAAGAATCAGTTTACTGAAAAAGAAAAAATGCGTCGTTACTCACACGAATCGTTCTTCTCTTGTCTTGCTGATGTTGATAGTAATGCATTCGACTGTTTCTATTATTGTTATTCTAACTCTTTTTCAATTAGCAGCAGAAAAACAGAATTTAAAACATAGGGGAAAGTGATTTTGTCAGCAAATCAATCCATAACGACCATTCGTAGTTTTTCGGTAACCAATTTCTACATGTGTCGAAAACGAAAAATCCAATTATTCGTTTTACTCTTTTAGTCTTTGAGAAAGAAAAGAATTTGCAATCAGATTTTTCTTTGTGCTCTATCATTCTTGATTTCGTAGACGTACGAAGATGTCGTCGGCACTATTTCAACCGCTCCTCCACGATCCTTTGGGATGGAAACCATCGACCACAACATACAGCGATACATTCAAAAGTAGAACTTATGGAACATCTAGTAGTACACAGAAGAAACTTTCGCCATACGGTCAAGAGTATCAAAAACAATTGCGAAAACAACAACAACAAATGAAATTATTTCGAAAGAATCCGTATTTTGTACAATCGTTCAGCGACGAACAATCAACACCACGAATTATTTTCCTTAAGAAAAATGACGAAGAATATCGAGAACAACCGCCTGCAGCTTACCAATTAACACGTTCGAAAACATTACCTGCTGTTTCGGAAGAAGAACCTACTTTTGCTGCTGAATGTCAAAAACCAGTCTATCGAGTTAGTTCACATTTTGCAAAAATCGCTCTAAGATGAGAAATTTTAGGAGCCCAACTATGATTCAACGTCCGTACAACGTTTACCATCAGCACCATTTGATCAACGAGGTAATAACAGTTACTTTCATGTACTTGAGATACATACGACGTTCCTCAAACAAAAGCTTTGAGCACTATGAGAGGAAATATATTCAATTAATACAGAGAGTTATATCACACTGACAATTAGAAACGTCTGCGGTTAAAACTAGAGTTGTTGAGTATATGAACTAATATGTTTCTTTGTTGGATAGGACCAATGAAAGTTCGACGAAATCCAAAAGAAGATAAAGAAAAACACCTGATCGATATAAATGATGATCAATACCGGCATTGGCTTACATATCCAACTCCGGATACACCTCCTCAAATTGCCGACGCTAAGCAACGTTTAGGTCAATATAAATTTCCTCAGACTCTATCTCGTGGAACATCGGCATCGTATGCATATGGCGAACAACAACCATCCTCATCAAACGATCAATCAGGCTCGAATGTTCCGCATCGCCGAAAGAAGCAAGTGAATGATCGTGGGCATTTTCTTGAATTTAATATTCCTCCAACACCACCAGAATTGCGTGCTGCACGCCATCGATTAGAAAAACATCGATATCATCAATCTTTGGACAATTACCCACCACATCTCGAAGTCAATCCAGACGGCGAACAAGAAGAGTATGATAAACCAACGGACGCTCCTCAATACCAAGAGGAACAAACATCACAGAATCAACCATCGTCAACAAAAATAGAATCGGGCGATGCCAGTGATGAAAATCGAGCAGCTGATTGTGAACAATCAACGCTAATAGAACAAACTAATAATAACGAGGATTTACCTGAAGAATACATCGAAGCATTAGATATTTCTGACGCAGCACAAGAAGAGTACTATAAAGATTCTAAACCAAATTGCGAAAAAAAATCGAATCAATCTTACTATCGCATTCCACCGATATCATCCGATCTTCAACATGATTCTACTGTGAGTGAATTTCTTCACTCTTTCTGTATTTTCACTCAAAACAAAAATCTAGGTCGCTTACTGTAATCAACAATCGACACCGTCAACAAACTCACGAAATGCAAATGAGTTCGGCGTTTGGATTCGCAATTCGAGTGATCAAGGTAATGAAATAATTTTGAATCTTAATGTAAAATTCTTTATCATTGTATTGTATAGAACGCGAATCAGCAATGAAAATTTTGAATAACGTTTTAAAACAGCCGATGATTGGCTACGGCGTGCCAAAGAAACAACAGATCATTTTCAAACGACCAGCAGGATGTAATATAGGCCGATCAGCATCGGCTTCACGACAACTCGGTCATGCTCGTAATCATCAACGTGTTCCATGTGAAATCTGTGAAAAACAATTAATTAAGCATCATATATGGAGCTTGAGCCGGTAGGAGAACAAACAGCGTTACAAAATAGAGTTCATTTTCGAAGTCAATTCAATTCTAGATCAAAAACAATGGCTTGTCCTCATCAAGACTAAAACGTTTGATCAAAGTTCGTAGTTCTTTAGATTATTTTCTTCTAAATATTTCTTCTTTATTTCGTTTAGTTTCATTTGTCTACCATTGATATTAAATTCGTTAACAGAACAATAAATACGCACTCACATACACATATATACACACTATACTCTTTTTTTTGAATTTTTTTCGAATGAAATATAAGACTATCTACGTATTTATGATGAAATTTGTCAAGAGAAAGATGAATAAGGTGGTTTTCGACCGAAACGTTTCAACTGATGAGATCGACGAGTATTTCATTGTAGACATTTGAATGGTTGTAGTGTGTAGTACATCGCGTAAACGACGACGACCTAATAGTCGACGTCGTAATTGATTACAATTGATTAAGATTCCACGTGTATGATTGACTGAGAAGCGTCGAATTTTATGTTCATCACTTGTTAGAATATATAGAGTCATGTTTTGTCGTCGTCGATTGGGTCGTGATTGTGAAGCAATGTTTATTGTTGATTCCGGTTGTGTCATCAAAGATGTTACTGATGTCGTCGATATTTTGAGAGATGTGCTTGTCGTTAAAGGTTGAGTAGTACTAGTAGTGATAGTTGTGGTGGTAATCATAGTTGTGATTGGTGGTGCCGTTGAGCTTTCAGTTGTTATGAGAAATGTTGTTGATGGTAATTCAGTTGATGGTTGAGTCGATGTTGTCGGACGTGTTCGTCTTGCTCGTTGTTTTGTAGTTGTTTTATACATTTGTGCTTCGTTTTCTGGTTCACCTATTTGCAGAAGTCGTGGTCCACCTACTTTTTTCTGTTTTCGCGGACGATTATTTAATACTACGGCGTTGAGATTTTTTGAAAGCTGAAATATGAACGAAAATTTCAAATAGAAATAGTCTTCTGTTTTGTCAACTATACTTCTTCGATTGAAAATGCAGTTGTCGGTTGGGGTAGAGTGACGGATGCCCAACGAACTTGTTCAGTTGTTTCGGGTTCAGGTACAATCATTGTCGTCATTTCATTTCCTAACGGATCCTCTGAAACAAATACGGGATATCTTTCTACAGTCACTGCCGACGGCATGGTCACTCTCCATCGCTTTCGTGAAAGTAACTGTGAATATATCAGTTTCCATGCTTTCGTTGTTGAAGTTGTTCTAGGTAAATGCGGTGATTTAGGTGGCTGGCAATCTACCTATCCAATGAATACTTCATCTTGAAAGACAGCACAATTCACTTTTCTTTGCACTTACTAGACTTGATGTTTCACATTGTTTTAATGTAACATCGAATTCCGTTCCAGCTGGACAAACACGTTTGACAGCATGCATGTAAACTGTGTCAACATAAATACAATGCCAGTAATGTCGACAATCATCAGCATCATAGACGGGATGAAACGAATCATCTTCATAACCAGTACAATCGAATGCGTCTTGTCCATAATGCAAATTTATCATCATAGATAGAAGTTGGACATAGATCAGAAGTGATCTAATCATTCTTGGTAATCAACTCGTAACTTGAACAATTGAACACACTGAGCATAAGAGTAAAAGAACGTCACTGATGATCAGTAAGTTAACAAACATTTTCTCTCGTTCTCCTCTGTCTGTGTGTACTTACATGCTTAAAATGACAGGGATCAACTCAGGTATCTTAATTTTATGTAATCAATCGCTTTCGATATCGAAAGTCAATGTAAGTAAAGAATTATTCTTAAGCTTCGAAAATGACATCGATTTATCCGAGTAGAAGACTATTTTTATAATGAAAAATACAAATTCATCAGTTTATTTGTTTTGTTATATGAGAAGAGTGCAATGTCAAAGAATAATTCGTTCGAAGTTTCGATACACACTTGGAGATGTACTCAATGAGAATTTTTCATGAAAATCACGATACACATTCCATTTAGAAACTTCCGCCGTTGTGCACGAGCTCAAATGTGACATGATTGTCTTCAGAATGATTTGTTGAGCGTACTGATCATTCTCATGACTGTGATCTTGTGTTGATGATAGAACTTGAGTATACGAAGATGCATTCGAATATGATAAATGTTTATCACTATCATCAGCGACTTCGATTATCGGAAGATCCAACAATGACTTGATTAAGTAAGTTTTTTGCTTCGTAGATGAAGAATTCATTATAGAATCATGTCTAATTGCTCTAAAAATGAAACAGTTTCCTAAAATAAAAGGATAGAACAACTCACGGCAAGGATTGTTTGGTTTTGAGCACATATTTCGATCGTGATTCTGTTGAATTGTTCGATGCGGGAAGAGCAACTGGAACAGTTTCCTTCGATACGCGATTGCTCATCGATAAGAAACTGTTTGATCGCTTATCACCGTCGGAAAATCTTGCCTGCAATTTAGTTTTCTCACGTTGACGCTCCATTATTGAACGTTGACTTTTCCCCTTCGAACAATTGGCATCTAATTTCTGTTGAAAATGGTCCTCTTTGAATAATTGTTGTAATTCAAGTTGATAAAATTTATAACAAGATTTCTCATCTATTGTTGCTGTTTTCTCGCATGGGAGCGAACAGCTGTGATCATTGACACGTTCAAACATAAAACTTGCTGTCATACTTCATCTTCGTTGATAAGACAAATAAATGACGAACGGAAACATTGACGCCCAAACATTTTTCGATTAATATGATGACAGGTTTCGGTATGACGACAAGTTATTTTCGTGGAATAGATTTTCGACTTCTATTATTCTTCGTAAGAATTGGCAAGTGTCGTCGGATGGATGGATGGATGGATGTGTGACAAGGGTGGGCAAGAAAATAAATTGATGATTACGAAGCCGTTCGACAGTTGTATAAGTAAGAAGAAAAGAAAACTGGGAAGAAAGTCAGAAAAAAGTCTATGATGATGTTTTCTTCTTATTTATCAAAGGAAAAGAAAGAAAAAAAGAATTAATAGTCATTAAAAATTGACAGACAAATCTATTGACTATGCTGAAGTGCATTCATCCAAGGCTTATTTTGCTCGATTATAATACTCTTTTGAAAGTTCCTTCTCATGTTTTCAAAGTATCGGAAAAAAATCTACAGTGGAGGTTTTGAGATTATTCTGACGTGAGTATTCATCGATGCCTCTCAGATGCACTCAGAGTGCCACGTTATGTTTTTCTTTAAAATTTATTTCTCATGTGTAAGTGTGAAAATAGAGTTAGCACGGAAGATGATTAAAATTTTTAGAGTGAATTTTCAATCAAACAGTAGAAATCCGACATCTATCGAAAGTTTTTATGATTCTCCTGTTGATCGCCATCCATCCAACTGGATCATCTTTTGCATCTCATCATCAGTCATTCATTCAGTTTAGAAAAGCAAAATTGATATGTCTAATTCTCATAGGAAACAATCCGAATTTTGTCAAAACTTTGCTTGTGAATTGCAAACATGTCTCGACAGTAAGAGAATGGAATGGATCATCCAGCCGATTTACGAATTCCATTTTAGAGCATTTGTATAATCCAGATAAATGTGAGAAAGTTTTGGATAAATTGAAGCAATGCTGTTTGGATCATGGTGCTCAAAGTCCAATTGTTTGTTCCGGTTTTCCTACCTCGAAACCATCAGCATCAAAATAACGTCCTATCTGTTGTACTAAGACAATGACTGGTTTTATTTTCGTAGTAGTTCTTGATTTACTAGATAGAGTTTCGAGAAATAAAATGCGATGGTTATACAACGAAGAATTGTCGGTATAAGTTTACCATGAGAAACGAAGGAGTGATTGAGAACTCAAGCACGTTTTTCCTATCATTACAAATTGTACCTCGTATTCGCTTTAAGTATGAAGAGATCGATTTTATTTGTGAACGTACACATATAACGTTGCTCTACAGCTGCTTATACAATGACAAAAAAAGGATTTGAATGCACACAAAAGTTAAGAACATTTTATATTTTTATGGGTTTTTTAAAAATACGTATGTACATCAAAATACTAATGTGAATGTCAACTGAGGACTCGTTTTAACTCCACACATTTTTTTATTTGGTACACAAAAACTCGAACAGTATGGTCGACGAAGTCATCGATGACGAGTTTGTTATTTTCCACGAGATATTCTTTATCATCATTTAACCATTCATACCAATGGCCATTTCGTGGTACGTTTAAAACCTCGTATTTCTCGTAAGTTTTGGATGCCCAGTTGCATACAGCTATGACATGATTACCTTCCGCATGAGGATCGTGAACGGCTGAATTCCATCGATGCCAAGCCATGACTTGATCATTTTCTTCTTCGAAGATAAATTCTAGATTCTGAGCCGTTAAAGCTAAGTTAAGTTTATGTAATTCAATGACATCTTTGTAATACTGTAATTGTTTCTTGTTTAACGCGTTCGAGTTGTCCTCACGATCTTCAATCAATGACCAATCGAGTTTAGCGATACCAGGTGTCTTTTCTTTGTATTCGCCAAACTCAGCTCCCATCCAAATCATCATTAAGCCAAATGATGTTGCCTGAATTGTAAACGCCATACGAACGCGACGAAATGCATCTTCGTCAAAGATTTGATGCTCTTTGCCTAGATATCGAGGATATTTTCAGACATTATTCTGAGATATCTACTCACCAAGGTCAACTAGCAGACGATCGTGATCATGATTCGATTGATAATTGACAACATCCCAAGTGTTTTTATATCCTTGTCGTCGAGGATCGATAACGTCTTTCAAATCGTTCCAATTTACTGTATCAGCGACCATTGCTTCTCGAATTTTCCAATAGAATCTATCATGCCATATACCATCCATAGGTCCACCATTGGATATGACATACTCAGGTTTGTCAGGAAGGTATTCCCCGACGCAGTAGAACTCTGTACCGAATCCACTAGAAAAAGCAATCAGATCAAGTATACAGCAATATGAACAGAGAGTGAAATAGATTACCGTTCATGTGCTTGTTGTTTGGATTGTTGAACGACTACTTTCAAAAACTCATCGTTCGCGATTTGGGTCGCTGCGTCGAAGCGAATACCTTTGCAATAGAGTGTAGGTATGACAATCATGCTCGCCAAATGATGAAGAACAATCACTCACCATCAATATGAAATTCATTGATGAAGTATTGAATAGAATCACCAACATACTTTCTTGCCGGCCAAATTTTATATTTTTCATCATATTTTTCAAAATTCCATTCCTGAAAAGAAACATAATAGACATCTCTTGATAAATATTGATGAGTGCTTACAGGTCCCCAAGACCATACACGATCTTTTGGTTCATGTAGAAACCTATTCAATGACAAGATCAGTATAATTTTATTTGCATTAGAATCCACAAATTTATTTGACTTACCAATAATCATGATCGATTGCAGTATATGGTGCTGATACATCACACTAAAATGAATTTAGTGAAATTTATCACGTAAAACAACCGTTCGTTCATCTGAGGTTAGAATTTTAGCAGAATGAAAAGAATTGTTCCGTTTTTGAAACTTGAAAAAAGGGAGTACGATGCATATCTCTGTTTTTTTCTTACGCATCAAAATCGCTCGCCGATTTGAACGAAGAGAAATTGTAAACATCATGACGATATGCTCCTTCTAATAATTAGATAGAACAAAATTATTGTGAATGAAATAATACATCCAGTATAGATACTCGGTAAATATTTCATTTTCAAAACGACTCCGCATCCTGGATTATGAGTTTATCCCTTTCAATCAGTTTTAGTTTTCGTCAAAAATTCAACAGCACTCAGCATCAAGACTTACATGATTGTAAACACCATCCATAATCACTCGAATACCATGTTTATGAAATGTATCTATCATTTCTTTCAGCTCTGCAGTTGTACCATATGTGCTCTGAATAGCGAAATGATACCTTGGTGTGTATCCCCATCCGATTTGTCCTGGATATTCTTTGATCGGCATGATCTCCACTAAAACATTTTCTTCACAACTCACATCTCTCAATCGTCTTCCATCGCACTTACCAGCTGTGATCCCCAAACTCACAAAATAATCCATCTTCTCTGTCACATCTTTGAAGCGATCTTGAAAGTCACCAATGTGAATCTCATAGATGATCAGCTTGTCGTTTTCAGCCAGTGGAACATAGTTATCGTATTTCCACTCGTATTCATCCACGATTCGCTTTCCTATCAAAACTCATGCATATCACTTAATATCGTCATCGACGGTGAACTACAAACCATTCTTGAAAACTAGAATGCCCACCGATCGAAAAGCATCGTCCGAGCCACGCTCATCTACTTCGGTTGCATATGGATCAACAAAAGTGTACCACACTTCGGTGAAGGTGATTTCTTCTTCTCGCTTCTGGTTTCTTTCTTTCACGAGTTGTACGAGTTTCTCGTGTTCTTCGCGACGAGTCTTTCTCATCTGTTCGTTTTCGTCGATACCTGAAGACAGTGAGTAGAGGGTGAGGGTGTGGGTGTGATGGAAATGCTGGCTAGTTACTTTTGGTTTCGTCGTTGACGTAGTCAGGAAGAGCAGGCTCTGGCTCGGCTTCGAACCATGATCGGGTAACGACTTTGAACTGATAGTGGTAGATGCCTGAAACAGAAGAGTTTGGTGTAGAGCGGATGAGACGAGAAGCAGAGTGTTACCATCAGCTAGATCAAGAGTGACGCGCCAATGGCCATCATCTGGGTTGAGTTCCATGGGAATGTCGAGACCCTGAAGAGAGATGTTGAAAGTAGAGAGAGAGAGAGATACATGGTGAAGGAGATGGAGCAGTGATACGTACGAACATTCTAGCATTTGCATTTTTGAGCCGAAGGCCAGCTTGTTTGTTGTAAGGTGCGAATAGTTCGAAAGTGTATGGAGCCATTCGAGTATATTGTTATATGATGTCGATACTATCAAATGCAGAAACACGCTTTGTATCATACGTCTAGTCCGATTTCTTTTTTCGTTCTGTGAGCGGTATAAAGTCAAAGTACGCAGTGGGTATATTCTGTATAGAAGAGAGAGGAAAAGAAACGCATGGTATACCATGTATAGATGAGCTATACAATTGCATTTGACTTTTTCGTGCTCGTACGCATCTACACGCATTCTCTGATTTATTTTGCTTGTAATAGATGTAAGCTGACAGCTGTATGGGCAGAACAATTTTATCTTCATAGGCGTAAAGAGGTAGGGGGAGTGTGTACAGCAACGCAGTAAAGTATGAACTAAATAAGTAGTACGCAAAGATAGGATAAGGGTGTCTATCTATAAGAAAAAACACTCAAGATGCTGTAAAGTGAACATTTTGAAATGTTGTTCTCGTCAACCTATTAGTGTTATAGTTCAAAAAAGCATCGAAGTTTATAGATTATACTATTCTCAGATTAAGATGTATGTTTAAGCAAACTAAATCTGAAACAATAATTTGTTATCCCTATAGACAATGCGTATCACGAGGTTAATGTCACACATTCTGTTTTATTGGTTGAACACGAACAGCTGTTTTTTCTTTGATAAGCTCAACACATGCAATATCGTCTTTTTTCATCATAAATGTCCTTACTAATAATTTATTCAATAAATACAAAACATCCTAATTAAAATATATCTCTTTTTCAAGCAACTTACTAGTTGTCGTTGTTATCTTTTTTGTGAATTTTGCAATCTATAAACAATTTATATCTGAAATAGAACATCTTATGTACAGTTACGAGATTGAACTTGTTATTTGAATGAAGAACATGTACTCAAGATATTTCGTTGACAATGAACAGACAACTACTTCGGATGACAGTTCCATGAATTTCATCCTTCATCAATGCAGATGGTTGACCTTACGGTTGCTTATATAAGCGAGCAGAAAAGAAAAAAATAATCGCAGTGTGTACTCGTAGTGCATTCAGCTAAGTCGGCTAAACTAGCTGATGGTATTCGTTAAGAACGCGAGCGAATAGGAAATTAGTGGCATGCATCCAAATGGTGTGTCAGCAATGAGTTCCATGCAAGCCTCAACGAATCCTTACTTGTATTGTAATGCATGATACCCACATGTTGGATTATTTTTAGCACATTGAAGATATTTACGTTAGTGCTATTTTTAAACAATAAAAGAACAATAGTCACGTTTTCCCTTATCACCACCATACAATCATTCCCACAAAACATTTTGTGGATTCGCAAACAATACACTGCCTGGGCAGATGCGTAAAAATGCTGCGTCATGTTCGAAGAAATTATGTTGAATATCTGCATTTCTTATTCTATAGAAAAAGAAAAAAGTTAATGTGAATAACCTAATCTGACATTGTTGGGTAAAAATGGCTTACACTGAATAATATGATGACGATTCGAATGTTATTGAAGCAATTGTAATTGTGAGAACGATTACGAAACCGACCCAACGGTGATGATTTTGTCTTTGTTTACAATACTTATCTTTGGTTTCTAAGCAGTTAGAGATCGTCTTTAACTTTGTCGACCACATCTTAATAGCGTATATTCACCAACATATAAAAAATAGCAAGTCTCGAACAACTAACTCATTCCAATGCAAATCTCAAGTTACACTTGCATATTTAGTTTGTGTTTATAATGAAAATGTTAGTTTTGAACGGAAAACCACGAGCAGCTATCTGTGCAATAGTTTCGTTCACAAATAACATACTATATCATTGTCATCTGAACTTACATCTGTATTTTTGCATGTATAAATGAAAAACAAAATAAATGAAAATCAAGCCTATGAACTCCGATCATCCTCACACCTTTTGAATTGATATACAAAAATTCTAGCAGAATGATCGACCAAGTCCGTTACAATTAGTTTGTTATTTTCCACGAGATATTCTTTATCATTATTTAGCCATTCATACCAATGACCATTTCGAGGCATATTACAAACTTCGTGCTTCTCGTAAGTTTGAGATGACCAGTTGCATGCAACGACAACATGATTCTCCTGCATTTGAGACTTCTTCGTTTCATCATTCCAACGATACCATGCTAAGATCTGATTACCGATATGTTCATAGATAAATTCGAGATTAGGAGTGGTCAATGCTGCATTTCGTTTTCGTAATTGAATCACATCCTTGTAGTATTGCAAATGTTCTTTATTGATACTATTCGAATTATCCTTGCGATCTTCAATCAGTGACCAATCAAGTTTGGCTACTCCTGGAGTCTTCTCTTTGTATTCACCAATTGCTTCTCCCATCCAGATCATCATCAGGCCGAATGCTGTTGCTTGAACTGCTAATCCTAGGCGAACACGATTGAATGCATCACGGTCGAAGATCTGACGTTCTTTGCCGAGTTCGACTAATAAACGATCGTGATCATGATTGGATTGATAATTAACGACGTCAACGAGATTTTTGTAACCTTGCCGGCGACCATCAATGACATCTTTTAGTTCATTCCAGTTTACTGCATCTAAAACGATAGCATCGCGCAATTTCCAATAGAAACTGTCATGCCATATGCCGTCCATAGGTCCACCATTAGATAGAACAGCTTCAATTCTATCTGGCAAATATTCTCCAACGCAAAAAAAATCCGGTGCATAACCACTAAACGGAGAAAATTAAATGATAAGATCTTATGCGGCAAGTTTTTTTATACCGAACGCGAGCTTGCTGTTTGGCTTGTTGAGAGAGAATGCCAAGAAATTCATCATTGTTTATTTGAGTGGCAGCATCAAAACGAATACCTTTGTTCGAATAAGAGAAAAATTAATGATTTAGCAAACAGGGTGTATTTACCATCGGTATGAAATTCACTGACAAAGTATTGCACTGAATCCATTATATATTTTCTCGCAGGCCAAACTTGAAATTTTTCATCAAATTTGTCATAATTCCATTCCTTTTACGAACGAAATAGAAGGCAAATAAGCAATATTATATCAAATACACAGAGAAAGACAAACTGGTCCACAACAGTATGTTGAATCTTTCGGTTTATGATGAAACCTGCAGGAAAAACAAAGAAAAATCATTATTGGTTCAGTAAACACATCAATCATCTTACCAATAATCATGATCAATAGCAGTATACGGTGCAGATACATCGCACTAAAATAAAGATATTCGCTGTAATCGATTATTATTGATTATAACGACTCTTCACGTACATGGTTATATACACCATCTATGATAACACGAATACCATGTTTATGAAATGTATCTATCATTTCTTTCAGCTCTGCAGTTGTACCATAAGCACTTTCGATAGCAAAGTAATATCTTGGTGTGTATCCCCATCCGATTTGTCCTGGATATTCTTTGATCGGCATGATCTCCACTAAAACATTTTCTTCACAACTCACATCTCTCAATCGTCTTCCATCGCACTTACCAGCTGTGATCCCCAAACTCACAAAATAATCCATCTTCTCTGTCACATCTTTGAAGCGATCTTGAAAGTCACCAATGTGAATCTCATAGATGATCAGCTTGTCGTTTTCAGCCAGTGGAACATAGTTATCGTATTTCCACTCGTATTCATCCACGATTCGCTTTCCTATCAAAACTCATGCATATCACTTAATATCGTCATCGACGGTGAACTACAAACCATTCTTGAAAACTAGAATGCCCACCGATCGAAAAGCATCGTCCGAGCCACGCTCATCTACTTCGGTTGCATATGGATCAACAAAAGTGTACCACACTTCGGTGAAGGTGATTTCTTCTTCTCGCTTCTGGTTTCTTTCTTTCACGAGTTGTACGAGTTTCTCGTGTTCTTCGCGACGAGTCTTTCTCATCTGTTCGTTTTCGTCGATACCTGAAGACAGTGAGTAGAGGGTGAGGGTGTGGGTGTGATGGAAATGCTGGCTAGTTACTTTTGGTTTCGTCGTTGACGTAGTCAGGAAGAGCAGGCTCTGGCTCGGCTTCGAACCATGATCGGGTAACGACTTTGAACTGATAGTGGTAGATGCCTGAAACAGAAGAGTTTGGTGTAGAGCGGATGAGACGAGAAGCAGAGTGTTACCATCAGCTAGATCAAGAGTGACGCGCCAATGGCCATCATCTGGGTTGAGTTCCATGGGAATGTCGAGACCCTGAAGAGAGATGTTGAAAGTAGAGAGAGAGAGAGAGAGAGAGAGAGATACGTGGTGGAGGAGATGGAATAGTGATACGTACGAACATTCTGGCATTTGCATTTTTGAGTCGAAGACCAGCTTGTTTGTTGTAAGGTGCGAATAGTTCGAAGGTGTACGGAGCCATGGAAAGTTAGAAGTATTGATTTATGCAATGTGTTTTTTATGAACTATGCTGGCTTACAGTGCTTCTCTTCAATTTTGTATAAGACAAAATAATCAAAGTTTGAGAACACGTAGAATATATAAATATGCGATCACGTGTTTTGTGGAAAGGGAGCATCGAGTTCGTTTGGTATAATAGATTCCTTGAATAGAGCTTCACATTCAAAAGTTCGATTAGAATAAGTGCATATCTGAGAGAAGGACGATATTCTATATGTCCTCGTTCTTTATATTGTCACTCGTACATATATGTCGTAGTACAGATCAAAATCCAGTTCAGTTTGAAATCGAACTAGTTTAGATTGAAATTTTGATCTCAACTAGAATAGACTAAAATTTCTCGAAAAAAATGTCTATGCATGATAAAACTAGTGACTTAACTTTGATGTATGTCGGTCTATGTTTTGACTGTTTTAATAGTAATTTCAACAAGAAACATTTACATTTATTTTGACGCGCTGAACGAAGCATTTTACATGAGAATGTCTGTCACAATTTATACTTAATACAAAGAAACATTTTAATTTAATGAAAATTGACCAGCAAAATATTTTATATTCTCTTTCTCGTAGAGAAGAGTCTTGGAAACGTAAATTGTTTGCTTGCTTGCTTGTGTGTCCGCAGGGTCAAGAAAACATCGAAACTTAATTTTCAGAAAAATACATTTTTAGAGGTTTGTCGGTGCGAACAACTCGAATATCAGGTTAGTTTTCACCCTTAAAACTAGTAGTAGTAACCTAATAGTAATTTATTACTAACTTTTACTATTTCGCATAAAGCTTAACGAAAGGGTAACTGAGGTCAAGGAACTCGAATTGGATGTTAGTTACCAAAAAAGAATTTTGTTCCTTTTTTAAGACAAAGAACTACTTTATACAAATGTTCCCCGAAGGTTTTATGTTAGTATTTTTAAAAAAAAGTGTTTCCTCTGTTTTTTGAGACAACGGATCTTTTTTTTGCAAAAAACCTGTGTAAATAAACAGTTTCGGTAATTATCCAGTATAGGATATCAACGAGAAAGAGCTAAGCGAGTCGTCGGACGAGCATTACTTGTTCATCAAAAGGGAATCTCGTTGACACAATTAATGAATTTCATACGATTGAAGGTATTTCAAACTCAACTGGATTTTAATCTGTACTACGACATATATATTAACAAAAAAAGATTTTTCTCTTTTAGGCACAGCTATACCCATCATATGGGCGAATTTCACTCAGGTAGAAAATATTTTCAAGAACACGAGATACCCTTTGAATGGCTGATGCCATGTATAAATATGAGAATTTGTTTTTTTCTGATTTAATCACACTGTATGGTTCGCATAAGTAAATCGTACGCAAATATTCTTGTTTAGGTGTTTATATTGTATTTCGCGAAACGAACGAGACTGAAGTGAAAACGGTACACAGAAAAAAGCAAAAGTGGGAGAATGACCATGGACTATTTCCCATTAACTATGACAGTCAGAAAAATATCCTAGAACGAAAATTGCGGACTCTTTCTACAAAAAATAGTTATTAAAAGGAACGAAAACCAGCTAGTCTCGTTGCGACAAATGTTAGTGCGTTGTTTTTGTAGACTTTTAGCTGTCAAGTTCAAGTCCCAGGCCGACTTTGTGTCCACCAGCATTCAAATTTTTTGCTTCAAATAATGCTGACAAAGTCAATTTAACACCTAAAACAGTACGAGCAATAGTATATAAATATGTAACAACGAAGACTCCAACTCTTACCAGGTCTTAACAGTTGTTGGAATGAAAGTCCAACTTGACAGATATTATTTACTTTTGCTCCAACTACGGTTTGACCATCAAGTTGATACTTTGATGCAAGTGCAAACCGTGTTTGATTGGAACCAGCTGTCCAAGCTAATTGAACACCAGTTTCAAGTCGATCGTTGATACGTTGGTAAACACTACCACCCACTTCATTAGCATCATTCCTATGAGAACAAACAGATGCGTATTGAATTCATAAGTTCGATCAAGACAAGAAGTATTTCATTCAGAAAATCATCGACGAAGCAATTCGAATCAGACTTACATATTGGCGTAAAGGGTGAAATCTTTAGCTCTGAAGCCGACTGCGAAATTATTTTTTGTTAACATCGATCGGGCGGTGTTGAACACATATTGATAACCAGCTAACCAGCCTTGGTGACCCAAAACAACGGCACCGTTAAGAATAGGTCCAGCGGCGTCGAATGCAACATTGGTTTCAACATGAGCTTTGTCATGCGTGTAAGCGGTACGAAGTTCAGCAGTTTTTTTCCTGAAACAAACAAAAAGACACAATTAATATCATCGCTCCTAATACCAAATTTGCGGAACAAGTAGAAGAGTAGGTTATTTATCTTGGTTGCATGACAAAAGAAAATTCGTTTTACCAATGTCGATTGTTTCCTGCATGAGTATAAGATCCCGTTAGACGTAATTTATTCACTTGTGTGCGTACACGTATCTGAAGTTTGGCAGAGTAGCTGAATATTTGTTGTTGAGAAGATCAAACTAACTTTGGACTTTTATCCGTTGAAAATATATTAAACGAAAGCAAATACCTCTGGGATGTGATATCTAAGGACAATGGACGGGTTTTCATACCAAAATGTAGTCTCTCGTAGCTCTTGCTATAAACAGGTTTTTTTTTGGGCTCAATAAAACATAAAGAATCATCGAATAGTGTGCAATTTACCCTGTATTTGGAACAAGTGATGCATCAAATACAACTTTGAAACCTTGTGCTAATTGGTTATCAGCGGTAATTTCACATTTAAGCAAATTATCGGTGTTCCATTTTTCCAAGAATGTCAGGCCATATTCTGGAACGACATATTTCGTTTCAAGACTACCGAATGTTCGTGCTGTTTCCGTGTTATGTTCGCCGATAACGTTGAAATTAACTCCATTCGCAGTACGAGTTTTGACGTCGAGCTTGAAGACATTAAAAAAGTATCCTTTGTTGAAAATATCGGAAACTTGTTTGTTGAGATCGCCGAATTTCGGTGGGGCCATTGCGTTGATACTAATGCTGATGAAATGTGGTGAAGAACTGCACTGCCGATCCGAGGAGAAAAACAATAAACAAAGGTAAACAGAACGAAGGACTGCGGTAAAGTATAGGTTATAATATCACTATTTATCTATTGGTAGTTGATAAGCCAATCAGAGGGCAGAACGAAAATAAATAATAAATCTATTTCCTTTACGGATCGTTCTCTAAGCATTTTCTTTGTAATCGATAAGATGATATGGAAGTTTCAGAGCCGAGTTATCTCGATAAAACATGGAGGCAAGTATTCAGTTTACGATGATCTTTTATGAATCACGAAGCTATGATATATTTATTTTATGATGCAATTAGAGAATCGGCGAAAATTTCAAAAAAGAAAGGAGGTCTAATACAATCTTGTCAAATCATTCATAATCGATCATTTATACATTATTGTATTCATAAAAGATCGTTCTTAATAACTAAACTCAATCATGCTTGACTAGATTACTGATCCAAAGATTGAATATGATAGTTTCGTATATTAATGTCACTAAAAACTGTATGCAAACTAAAATTCTCGCATAGTTGTCAATCAAAATTGACGAGGATATTAAAATATATACACATTGTGAAAATAGCTCTCGCTACCGCAGGATATTATTTATATCTCACAAGTTATGCAATAAAACAAATTCATTGCTTGTGGAGAAAAGTTGGGTTTCTTGAAAAACTCAATGAACTTTTTAAAAAGAAAATATACACTTTTACTGTATGTTCACGACACGAAAGACCTTGAACACATATCAAGGTATAACATAAACAATGTCATATGTCAAATGTACGGTGAAATTTCGAAGTTACACTTTGCATGTACCATTCAATTCAATATTTTCTTTGTGCTCTGATTAACCTATTTCTTAATGCTTTTTGAAAGTTTATTTTCAAACATAAAAAAAACAACCGCCTAACTGTTGTAGTAAAACGAGATTTAAGTATCAGATGTGTGACAATCTTTTATCAATTAAAATCAAATCAATGCGAACACAATATTTTAAACCGAACAAAAAATCGCCGAGTTTCTTACTCATTGAATTCAATTCATCAAGATATTTTTATCATCATTATGATAGAGTATTCTCTCAGGATACACATACATAAAGTCAAGTTTAAGATGAACTGATTATCACGAACTATTCGCATTTGATCGCAAACTATTTGACACATTCTTTCTTTGCATACTTCATTAAATGATCATTTCTTCTCCTTCTTTTTTTTCCTACATTGCTTGTATCAAAATGCTCCGTTTCACCAATATGATGTTGATAATAATAATGATGATGATGATGGTGGTGACTAGTTGGTCTTCTTCTCCTCTTCTTTCTTCTCTGTACATATGTATGAGTGCATGGTGTTCGATCGTGCATGACAATTTTTTGTTCAACATTTTTCACATGAAACCTAAAGAGAAAACAAATCAAGACCAGTTGCACCTACGCCGAGGTGGTTGAAAGAGAGATAGAGAGAAGAGAAAAAATTGAATAAGATACACATATGCACATCGTTGAAACAACCCAACTGTATGCTGACACTTTCATCACATAACCATTTACCCAACGACCGAGCATAGAACGTACGCACATCAAAATGATTAATGCAAGTGTGCATTTTGTTCGATAATGTGTACTCCAGCTTCTCAGTAACAAAAGTGGTTAAACAGTGTGTCTAGATTATCAAAAGTATCAACATGTTTCATCAACCATTCTATCCTCATCAACCGCGACCTCACCAGCCACCACCTCACGCTCACCCACAAACGTTTTTTCCATCTAATCGTGCCTCGTCAAACTTCTTCATTCCAAATCATCCATTCTACTATCGTCCAAATGCTCCAGCACCTAATCAAAGTACACACAACTTAAACTGTACTCACGAATTCGATCAAAATGGAATTCATCACGGATTTACATCGATGCCGTCAGGCAATTATCCGTCTTATGATTATGCTAATCAGAATTTGGAACAACAACGTTGGAGACAGAACATGGCTCGAGCTCAGCAACAACAACAACAACAACAACAGCAGCAGCAACAGAACCGACGACAAACACCGGCGTTCCATTTTCAAGACAAGTCGACGTCTTATTTTATGACTGATCCCATCATTACCAATGATGATCGATTGACCGTAAGAAAAAAAAGCGAATGTTGACGATTGCGTATCATGTTCGTTTGTAGATTCAACTGACCAAAGTTCATATCGGACCCAATGGTGATCAACAACGTGTCTTTGTTGAACAAGAATTCAGTAACGAAAATGAATTGAATAAATTTGTTCGAAATCTTCGACAAAATTTCGAAAAAACATTTAATAACCGTTCATCTGGAGGGAGCAGTAATATAACTGAAAGTAACAGTTCAGATAGCAAGAAATCTGGGTAAGACTTATTTATCACCCAATCTGGTGAGAAAAGAAATATATTTGAACTACTTTTGGGATGAAGATTAGATCGAAGAAGAGAAAGTCTATCGATCTTGATAAAGATACTAATATGTGAACCCATGCATGCACGTTTGTATTTATTTCAGTGTGGTTGTTGTTGAAGAGCCCGATGAAGAACCGAAAATTTATCAACAACAAGCTTATAATGCAAATATCGAATCGAGAAAAGCTGCCACCTCATCCGTGGGTAGTCCATTAACATCACCGGAGCTGAATTCTCCATCTTCAACTAAATTTCAAGATCGGTCTCCGTCACCCGCAGACGAACGCCATCATTATTATTATCACCATCATCAACATCATAACAAGTATATTTCTCCGCCACCGTCACATATATCGTCTGTATCAACTTCACGTTCGAATCGACGTTATCGAAATAAAATGAAGTATCGTCGTCAACCAGCAGATGTTCGAGACGAACCTAAACCATCCAGGGTATTCGATATACCAAGTTTTACTCGTCACTATCCACCAACAGTAACACCGCCTCTATCTCGATTTCATCAGAGATTTTCCACTGAACATGATCTTCGCATGAAAAATGAATTCAGTTTCCCATCATCACAACCGCCGCCAGCAGCATCAGCCAATGCAAATGTTCATTGGGTACTGACTCTTATTTATATCTTACATCAACACATACTTATCTGACTTCACTTTCTTTATTTTCAGAGACACAATCAAAATGCTTTTCCAAAACATCGTTCACGTTCATATGTACCACCAATGAATGAGAATTATCCTCCTCCATCTGGAACACCTCTACGTTTTCAAAATACGGCAGATCCTTTCTTTCGACCAATCAATCCAGCTAGATTTGCTGAAACACGTCAGAAAGATATGCAACCCCCGCCACCACCATCATCAGCGTCACCTACAAGACTTCGTCGATCTCAACGTCGCAAAGCCAATCAACCAACAACAATTTCAGAAAATCATGTCTATCCGAACAATGTTCAACAGCAGCAACCACGCGTTCATAGAACAAAGTCTGAATCTCGCAATCTTCATCACAATCAACAACGAAGTCGAAGTTCGACGAATCAATTTCAATTCTTTTCACCGATTCAACCACCACCAGTGGTTCAAAGACATTTTATTGCATTCCGTTCGCCACCTGTCTTTCTAACATCCGTACGTTCAGTAGCACCGATGTTTTATCCCACTCAAAGAAGACAATTTGACAGTATGCAACCACAATTTCGTTTAATCAATCATTTTCGTCTGGGTACAAATCGTTTTTAGTGTTTCTGTTCATTTCGTTCATTACAATTTGTTTCAATACATAAAATTCCTACATTTGAATCGCTTAGTGAACAAGGCCATAAGTACTGATGATGAAATAAACTGTTTTTACTGTTAGGGATACGACTGGCGATGCCCGATAAGCGAGATTCTTGTCGACTCCAATCGAGACCTAAATATACATGTAAATCATAGGTAGATCGACAATTAAAAATAGATATTTGCAAAGAATTACAAGTGTCACTTGATGCAGTACCATTTGGAAGACTGCCATGCCACCAGTATTGAAATCTAAACAAATATCTGTCATTCTGCGTAAAAAACATCAGAACTTACTGCGGTTTCAATCCTTGTACATCCAGAATGTCGTGTTGTAGCGGTTTTTGCTCAAAGATGTCTTCGAATGAATCAAATAGAACTTGTTCCTTTGAAAAAAAACCAATGAAATACACTGTTAAAAGCAACATTTCACGAAAAAACCTACTTGCATGTTCATAATTTTAGCATCCAAACAAACTCCATCGAACAGGTTTGCTAACCATTGTGTGCTGGTCGATATGAATGCTCGATAAAAACCTTTCAGTTGGTGTCGTTTCGAAACACGTGCACATAGATCATCATATTCCGATAGTTTTGAGCACACTGTTGGTCGTTTTGTACTGCACATTTTTCGTGCATAGGGGCCCAGCGCGAAGATATGTAACTAATGAAAAGAAACTCCTTCAAGCTCATAGATTTCTCAATCTTACTGCTGGACATGGCAATGGAATCGTACATTGCTATGAGAAAAAAGGAAATCAATCGAATCGATTTTTGGCAAAACATCGATCTTACCGATTTTTTAGCAGGTAAATTTTGATCATGAACTGGAAAGGTCTCCTACCAACTAGCATGTTGTATAAGTTGACTTATTATAAAATAGCCTACCGTATTTCCCAAAACTATCGGTATCAGTCTTCCCTGAACTCGCACGAACACATTTTGTAAGTATCCAAACTCATCCACAATATGCACGTACGTATGGTCCGAGTAGGTCGATAACTTTTCTATTGCCGCTTCCTTCGTAGGAAACACTCGTACACTTGTCTAGGATAAGAAAGAATCAGTTTGTCATTAGTAAAGAACTGAATAAGAACCTGTGTAGATTGCATACAGTTCAATGCACAAGATTGGCCTGCATCACCTTTATCTCCTTTCAATCGTGCATACTAAAAGAATACTCGGAAATGCATACAACAAACTATCAATTTCTACATACTATCTGATAATCAAAATGATAAGGATTTGATACAACAGATGGAGATGATGTTGTTTGACAAACACAAGGGTTTGCTCGTGCTCTTTGGTAAACAATCTTCAAGAAATATCACATTCAAACTAGCTATCACCGAACGAAACGATTCCTACCTTTGTATCAGTTATTAATTGCCGGATAGAAAGAGCTAAGCGTTCTACATTGATTCGAGAAGACAGACAATCTCTTGCATATGTATTATATCGATAGCCACAATCTAAAAAGCATGTCTTCATGAAATGGATTGATTCATATCGTCAACTGACAACCTATCGTACAAACACCTGGATAACCTTTCTCACCACGTTCGCCCTAAATTTAACTTCTTACAGCTCTTTCAATTTATCTCTTTAATTGATCTTACTTTTTCACAAGGACACACAGGATTTACCTATGTAGAGAAACACACGTTGCAATCATCTCGTCTAGCGTATGTATCACTCACTTGAGGTATGAACCCATTAGAAGCAGTTACACATCTTATTCCCTGCAAGATATAAACAATCTTAATTATCAGATTTGTATACCATTATAACCCTTGGGAAATATAGATCAAATTAAGTTATATGATTACTACACCATATTATCGATGGAAACTGTCAATGATATACGATATAAACAAACTGCCCTTTAATCGTGAGATATCGAATGAAGAATTTACATAATAATGAGTTTACCGGACACAGGGCGAGGAAAACAAGGATAAAATTTACCTGATGAAGTAAAAGAACAATTGCCAAGTGTATACGCATGCTTATACTCGTTCTCATGTCCAACTAGAATATCAGTTAACTAATACAAACAATGTTACGAAAGTAATTATTCACTCGCTCTACACACGTCGTGATAATTCCGAACGGCGACATTGTCCTGCGTCACGATTGTTTATTTATCGCGAAAAAAAATGATCTACATATACCCTCAATCTCCAATTTAGTTCTCCAACAAAACAAAGAATACGAAGTAATAAAGCCTATTATGTCCTGAAAATACGCGCTGCAGGACACATGCAGATGTTGATAAATCTATTCTTCCGTCAGACATAAATAGTTTATCTCTAGACAGGTTTGATCGATGGAATAATAAGTATCCAAACAAAAGAAGAAAAACCAATACGGTGATCTGAGGTGCATACATTGATTAAGATTTTTTATTTTCATTGTTTTTCGAACAAATAGAAAAATAAAAAAGAGAAACGCACACACACGAACACACACATGAGTAAAATTATTGTCTGTTATTTGTCTTTAGAAAAGTTAAGACGGTATATGTATATGTATATTGCACAAAAGAAATCAATGAGAGAATTGTGAGGTCTTATTTCGGTGCAACAAATATTTCCACATCATGATTTTGATTTGCCGAATTCGCAGCTGCTTTTCGTCGTTCTTGAATAAGCTTTTTCAAATCATCATTAGCCGATTTTGTTACAGGAATTTTCGATGATTTATTCTGTTGAGGTTGAAGTTGTTTCAAGCGATCATCGAGTACGCGTGGTCGATTGTTAACTAAAATGTTTTATCAACTATCGACTGTTTTCTTCGAATACGAAAACCAACATACTGTCATTTGGATCGTATTCTTCAACAGGAGCCCATTGTTTCGCTTTTCGCATATCAAGCTTAGCAAATTTTTCTTTAACTTTATCGATTAGCGGATATGTTATATCCCAGAAACCTTCTAAATCACTATCGAGTGGTATTGGTTCTCCCGAAGTTGATTTTGTCTAAAAGAAGCATATTATAACAAGAAGCAAAAGGCGTTGATTATAAATGTTTATACCACATTCGCTTGACATAGGCCGCGAAATTGTTTTAGTTTACCCCGTAACAATAAATTGACTTCGCCAATAACAGCATTGATATCAGTGCGAACTAAAATAAGCGATGAAAACGGAATGACTACAAGTTGATTTCTTTTTCATACCATCTTCGCTCAATCGATTGTCATCTAGACCGACTAGATTATTGTAAGAATCTGCTCTGGATTTGATTATGTTTTCTTCATCATCCAATTTAGCCAGAAATGTTTGGCCATTCTGTAAAACAAAAGAAAAGTTTTAGAAATTGATAAAATCCAAAAATTAATTTTATTTTAAACAAACACACACCCTTATTGTCATCGATCTCGACATACTGCAAGACAAATTTACGAGCAAGAGAAAGAAAAAGTTCACATCGAATGATTCAGGCAACTTTATATACAAATAAATTGATCCATTGAACAGTTTTTTTTTTCAATAGGAAAATGATGTGAATGAATATGTATACAAAAGAACAGGAAACTTCTTTAGTGCTTACCATTCTATGAACGAGAGAGACAAGCGTGCAATAGTGACTGATGAGAAGAATGTCGTGATGGAATAAATGCGTGTGTGTGTGAGAGAGAAAGACAGAAAGAGAAGAAAAAAAAAGAGATGATGACGAGTGACGACGTGGTTCGAATCGAAATTGTTATGTAGTTCAGCGCAGCGCTCTCGAAAGAGCTGGATAGATGTGGTCGACAGTTGATGTGCGTATGTCCTTCGATTTAAGAAATAAAAAGAGAGAGATGAAGAAAAAAAAACGACATAAGGCGATGTGAGTCACTGTTATCACTTTGCATTTTACATCTACCCCCCTCTCAACATGCTTCGCATCATCAAACCAAAACGAACGAAGGAAAAAAAAGATTTCTTTTTTCATCTTAACATAGAAGAAAAAAAATACTAATATATTTGGTCTTTAGAGAAATCTGTATTCCCTTGATAAGTTCCAAACTGAATCAAATTATAACGGTGCATCAATAAAACTGACGCTCATTTCAGATAAATCATAGATCAAGTCATTTCATTTTAGAATTTTGTTTGTCTCAGTAGTAACAATAAAGGTCAACGTTGATGATAAAGGCCACTCGTAATCCCGTGCCCATTCTTTACATTCTTAGTCAGTTTTTTTATTAGTAAACGGTTAACTCAAAAAACAAAACGGCAAAGCAATTGATGATGACGATTATATGTGTGTATACGATCTATTTTGTGTTGGTTATTTTCAAGAATATTAGTCGAAAAAGAACACAACAACAAAAATTGAACTAGTATCCACACAAACAATGCTCTAATAAAAGAAAGAAGTTACAAAATACTGATAGAAAATTGATCATCATGCAAAGAAAGAAGAAAAATAGTCCATCACCATACATGTAAGCGTGCAAACAACGATGTTGATCGAAGTGAGAACATTTGATTATCATAATGTTAGTCAGCTATTGAGCTTACCTTGCATTCTTCGACTAATAAATGTTCGGTTTTCTGTAGTAAATCGTCAATTAGTGAAGAGATCTCTTCATTGTTCACATCGCTATTTATCGGTTCGACATGATCCTTTTCAATAGCAATTGTTGGTTGTTCAACAGGGAGAGAATCATCGTGCTTTTCTTCAATGACGGCAGAAGATTGTTCAGTATCATATTTTTCCTCGTTGACGATTGGTGATTGCTCAGCATTGATGGATTCTTCGTGCTTTTCTTCTTCAGTGATTGCAGGTTGTTCAACATTAGTTGATTCGTTGTGTTTTTCTTCAGTAGAAATCGATACTTGATCAGTTGTAATTGGTTCATCATGTTTTTCTTCAATGATGACCGACGAGTGTTCAACATTGCTATAATTATCGTGCTTTTCTTCGACAATAGTCGACGATTGTCCATCAATAATCGGTTCCTCATGTTTATCTTCAATAATAATTGGTGGCTGTTCAGCATCGATGGCATCACTATGCTTTTCTTCAGCAGAGATCGATATTTCATTTGTTTCGGCTAATTCTTCATGCTTTTCGTCGATATCAGCCGATGGTTGCTCAGCAATAGTCGTTTCTTCATGCTTTTCTTCTACAATAACCAGCGATTGTTCATAAGTACTTGGTTCATCATTTTTTTCCTCGAGAACAGTTGGCGTTGGTTCAACAGGAATGGCATTATCGCACTTGTCTTCCACAACAGTCAACGGTTGTTCATTAATACTTGGTTCATCATATTTGTCTTCAGCGAAAACTGATGTCGCATCAGCTTTAGGCAACTCATCGTGTTTTTCTTCCGAAACAACCGATGATTGCTCTACGGGGACAGCATCATCATGTTTCTCGTGCTCCACAACAGCCGACAATTGCTCATTAATATTTGGTTCAGTATATTTGTCTTCAGCGAAAACTGGTGCCTCATCAGCGTTAGGCAACTCATCGTGCTTTTCTTCCGAAATAACCGATGATTGCTCTACGGGGACAACATCCAACAATTGCTCATTAATATTTGGTTCAGCATATTTGTCTTCAGCGAAAACTGGTGCTTCATCAACTTTAGGCAGTTCATCGTGCTTTTCTTCTGGAACAATCATTGGTTGTTCAACAAGGATAGTATCATCGTGCTTCTCCTCCTTCACAATAGTTGACGATTGTTCATTAATATTTGGTTCAGTGTGCTTTTCGTCAATATTAGTTGGTGGCTGTTCGGTAATAACTGGTTCTTCATGTTTTTCTTCAGTAAAAATTAGTGCCGGTTCAACATTGACAGGCTGTTCATGTTTATCTTCAGCTATAACTGGTGATTGTTCGATACTGGTGGGTTCTTCCATCTTCACTTCCGAAGATTTTAATGATTGTTCATTATTTAGCACTTCTTCTTGACGATCGATGATTTCCGAGCTAATTGGTGCTGCATTGTTAGCATTAGATTCTATGTAAAAACTAGTTTGAAACCATTGAAATTATTTCGAACATTTACCTTGTTCTTTCGTATTTGAACCGTTGCTCTAAAAGAAAGGAATCTATCCTCTGTACACGAACAGACAAACGAGATCTTGTTTCTTACCAAAATATCCGGTAAATTATTGATGGATGAAAGTGCTCGTTCAGTCATTTCCACAAGATCAAGTGCTGGTTGATTTTCAACTATGGGTTCATCAGTCACAGGTTGTGTAAAATGTTTCTCCTCTTTATTGACAACCCCCAATGCTCGATCAACTGCGCGAAGAAAATTCTGTTCAAATTCTTCATCCCGATCTGTTACAGTTGTATTATTTTCGTTCGAGTCAATTGAATTTGTTGGTATCGATGTAACAAATGTGTTATTATCTACAGGAACAGCTTGTGTCACATAACTATTTGATGAATTTGCTTCTGATTTATTGAGAACATGGTCTTGCTGGCCGATAACTGCATTGTTAGCAGCTAATACCTTTGGAACGTCTTCTTGATGATTTTCTGTCCGAACTAAACGAGATATTGATTGGTAAGATTACGTCATACAACTCTCCGACATAATAGCTACATAAATTCTCTAACGATTGATTCTGATTAGGAACATTCAATGGAGAGTCAATGATTGTCCCAGGTATAACTAAGTGGGAGGTAGAGAGCGTTGACCTGGAAAAATCTGTTACATCGAAACAAGTCTTCATCATGTTTGATGAGATCAAAAGTCATTTGTCGATCAAGTAGATATTCTCTGTGGGAGAGTACATTCTTTAAGCATGAGTACAGAGAAAAAAGAAACAAATTTACTGTCCTCTCTCCTCTCTCTCGGACATGTCCTTGTCATCGGGTGATTTGCTTTAAACGAGAAATTAACATATTTTATACATATACAATAAAGCTGTCATACTCTAATCGTTATACGAATAAAATTACCTAATCGATCATTGTCAACGAAATTCATTTTTTCCAATGTGATTGGTACTTCATCTTCTAAAGAAGAAGAAATCTAACTAAAATTTGTTTGCTTTTCTTTTTACATACCTTTCGCATTCAGAGGTCTAAAACTATCAATGCTCTTGCTAATTGGTCTTGCTCTCAAACTCGAAAAGAGCTGATTATTTGCATTAGTAGAATTCCAATCATATTTTCGTTTTCCAACATCATAATAATGATTAAACTTGAATAAATCGTTTCGACCAAATGATTTCTCATGATCCGAAAACGGTGTAGTTAAAGTATATCCACTCAACAAACAATTCAGCTTTAAATTTGCTTGTTTGCGTGCTTGTAATAACGGATCGTCTGGTAAGATCGGCGAAGGTACGCGTGGTGAATCTGTGGAAGTATCATTACTAAGTAATGAACGATTCTGATGATCAATTTCCGCTGAATTTCGTTGAGTTGAATTGTTTTTATTGAAATATTTCGCACGAATTTCATCATAACATGCATTGATATGATCAACTTTGTCTTTATTATGAGTAGGCGATGGTGTTTTGGATATGGCATCATTAGTCGCTGATTTTGTCGGAGATTTTTCTGTAATAAAAAGCAAAACTTACTCGTCAGCTTGCTGATGAGTTAATTTTTTTTCGTTCGAAGCTGTTTAATTAGTATGCTGTGCATATCCATTAATATACAGATAAAAAATAAACATGCATTCAAATTATATCTATATCTTCAACTACCCCGAAGGTCAAGTATTTGCATCGAGCGATTACAAATACGAAAGTTTATCTGTACTGAAAAGATTTCATTGCTTAGCTTTGTATCGTGTATATCGTTTGTGAGAAAAAAAGATAACTCATAGCATTCTTGGAGCTCGTTTTATCTATCGCTTCGTTCTATTAATCAGATTTGGATATTACTTTGTCGTTCGTATGCTGTTGTACTTTGATGCCGCGTTAATTGTGAAATACGATTGGCAAGACGTCTCATCGGCGATGGATCACGTTTTCTTGATTTTCTTGTTGTTGTTATTACTTCTTCATCATTCGTTTGCTTGACTTGTTGTGCTGGCGGTGATGGTGATCGTTCATTTGTCGAATGGCCGTTAACTTCGATCACCGTTTGTTTGTGATTTTCACGTGATTTCGAACGAAAACGACGAATTACAGCTGGAGAATTCAATTTCGAACGTAAGACATTCATTAACGAACGAGATTTTTTCAAAGAGGGAGAAGACACTTCATCCGCTGCTGCCGGAGTACCATTCGATCGACTTATGGTCGATGCTTTTCTAAGCAAAGATGTTGAATGACGATGATGACCATTGGTTTTTGACGGAGTCTCATTTGCCACATCAGTATCATTAGTTGGGATAACCGTTGTCGAGGTTGACGTACTACGTCCACCTAACGTTGACCATTTTCTTGGCCAACGCGTACTGGAAGACGTACGTGGTGGAAGTTGATTAGTAATGGCTACATCAGACATCTGAAAGGAAGAAAAACGAAACTGTGATTATTTCTTTCGGGCAAAAAAATGACTAAAGTATTTCGTTATACGAGAAGGGAAACTTGATCTCGGAGCAATGAATGCAAAAAAGGAATCATCTTAAGAGTAATGTTTTTTTTCTTTCCTTCTATTATTGGCATGTAGTGCACGAAAACGATAACATCTGTCATCATTTGAAAACCTACTCGATATTAATATTCTCGATTTCGTTGTTTGCTCGAAAACTTCATGGTGCGAAGAAAAAAATCTCTCAGAAATGAGATGGAAGAAACGATAAGATATATCAACAAATAAGAAAAAGATCGACAATGCTGTTTACAATAGAATGAAGACAAGATGTGTGTGTGTGTATAAGTCAATATGATTACACACAACAGAAGAAAAAAAGGGAGAGAAAGAAAGATATGAACTGCTGCTGTATAACATCCAAATGGGCTATCGTTCAGTTCACATACACGATAAGACAATGCGCATAGCGTTCAACAGGCTACATGAACGCTTTACCTACATATACTTCCAAATGCAGACACAAAAAAGGAGAGATTGTATATGTACAGTATAAGCGACATACTTACATCACCTAGATGTGAAGGAAAAAAAATTCATCGACAGAAGTTCACAAAATTGAAATGATGAATACAAAAAAAATTGAGAAGAAAAAGAAACAGAACGATAAGAAACAACGACGTAATGGTTTTTGTACTGTTGCTAGTCTTATTGATGACATTGACCTCCCTTCCTCTCTCTCTCTCCCTCTCTTTCACACACACCATTAATGAACACAATCAAGCTCATTTATTTATACTAAAATAGAACAAAATTGAATATTATGACTGACTATAGCCGAGGAGCGGTCACTGTGTCTATATATGTGTACTGTACATCAACAACGACTATAAGCAAATGCACATATTCTCTTCTTCGTCTTCTCCTCCTTTTTTCTTTCTATCCTAATCACAAGGGTTACTGCTTCCGTATACTCACATTGTATAGAAGATGGTGATACCCTCCGTCTCATATTCCACCCATTCGCGTTCTCTATACAGATACATATCTATCGGTCTTAGACATAAGGAAAAGATATATATGCACACATTGAAAGAACAGAAGAGAGAGGAAGAGAGAGAAAGAGAAATCTATTTTGCTCTATTCATCTTTCTTAAGAACTAATCCAGGACAAATTCAATTAGATAGATCGTTCACTATTATGACGATTATTATCAATAGGTTTACTATCAAGACGACCTTTGGTCGTTTCTTTTGCACATCTTCTTTAGGTTCTTTTATAGTAAAATGATTAATATCATTGAAGTGATGTAATACGAAGCTTAAGTGTAAGAAAAAAAGAACAACATTAGAATAGTTACTTCAGTGCATAGTCACTCGTTGTTAAATGTATATTTGCATCTAAACGCATGTGCATGTCATTAACCTTGAAAATGGGAACTTGCTGTACACATTTTCTTTGTCTATATACGATTTTTTATGCCAATATTTGTGTTTCTACTTGTCCACATGAAAAGAAATGGCAAGGGCAAGTGGATGTTGTCATTCTTTTTTTTTTTTGTACCGTTGAAGGAGCTAGAAAAACACCACTCATATGTAGTATCATCGATTGCTTGTTCGTTGCTTCTATAATCTAATGATTATTGCTTCTTTAAATGTTGTTCTTAGACTGGGCCAAGAAAAATCAGTTAATAGCTTCGTATATGTGTGGAAGGTTGAGCGCGTGTGTGCGTAAACATCTATAAAAATATCTTTGTTCTCATCCTATATAGACATGCTTAGCATAACGCTTTTTTGCATTGTGTCTATCTCGCTTCATAATTATATCGAACGCAGCTATCTATCAAGTAAACTAAACGAGAATGGATAAGAACTCCGATGATGATATATGAACACATTTTTTTGTTTGTCTTATCCGGACAATGAACAATCACCCAAGCCTGATAAATTATAACCTAACTAACTGAATAGATGATAAGCATTCACAAATGTGTTTTACTGAGAATATTACTCGAATCAATTGAACACATGTTAATGAGAAAGATAAACTTTGAACAGAATCTTTTATTTATTAATATAATAGGTTGATATGTTTATATAAGACGTAATAAAGAGAAAACAAAACAAAGTATCATCGATATTTTATAGCTTGGGAAATCAACAGATATATCCTTTGCAGGTCTTTGTTTTTTCTCACTGAAGTTGAACAACAGCTGACTTCACACTACTTCGAAACTCTCGAAACATTTACTTGTTGGGTAGTCTAATCCATATGATACGAAAACTGCAATTTTCAGAGTCACATTCTGTGATGTTTTTCGAACAAAATACAACATCAATCTATGCAAATAGCACACATTTGTACTACATCTTATCATCTATCTCACCACATGGTATTATAAATGTCAATTCTACTCTGATTCGAGGGGTTTCTGGTAATGGTTGTCTCCTTGTTGCTGCAGATTAATCCTGGAAATGATCGTTTAGTCTCTAATGGTATATCAAAGTAATAATCCGATCATTACCATTCAAAGCTTACTCACACATAATGTTTCACATTCATACTAAATAAAAAAACTTCTAACTGTGTCAGTTCTATGCGTGTCATATCGGTGATTGATGAAAGAGATGAATAATTCAGTATTATGAATCATTCGAAGTACTTTTCATAATTATCCGTGTTACCGTTGTTGGTTTATCAAGATAAACAAGAATTGCACTTACTTTCCATTTGTTTCCCATATAAGACATAATCATATGGAGATACATTTACCTAGAACAAAAATGGCAAAGCTTCGGTGACAGCTAAATTATTGACAACTCAATCTCAAGATCACGGATGAGGACAATAGGCGACGACGATGACAAATATTCTTATAATACGGACTATCGTGTGCTTCGCACATCGTCATCCAGATGTTGAAAACAAACAAATAGCGAAGTTTGTTGATAGGCGACAGATTTTTAGTCGCATACTGTGCCATTCCATGAGGCTAATGCCACGAGAGATGTTTGATTACAAATTTTATCCTGATTGGATGCTAATATGAATGCATTATTTTCATTATCCGACTCATTTACTTTAGCGATTTGTTCTACATAGCTGTCACGGCAACATCCTAATTTCACATTTCTTTGACTTTCAATGAAGGTCAAAACGTCTAGGAAAATATCATCTAAATGCAAAAGATAATAACCCTTGTTGGTTAATGACGATCTTCGTTAGCAAGGTAAAAAGGATCTGTATATCACAAAAGAAGAAATTTATTATTCATCAGATGAATTCATGTTGAATAGAATAAGTAACAAAGAAACATTCATTGACTAAACAACGGATATAGACAACAAGAAACTAAATATTGAGCAATAATGCAAATGCCATCAATGGCTACTTTTTTTTATTTTCACCGGTATCGACAGTGTGATCTTCACCAGCCAAGTGAACGAAAATCTGTTCCAATGTTGTTTGTGTTATGGAAAAACTTTCGATTAACTTCTCCTCCTTTTTCTTATTGAATAAGTCGAAAACATGCGCGAGATTGTATGAAGGTGCACCGGACGGATTCTGTAGACGATTAATGGACGCGAATGGAACCGTACAATATAGCACTCCGTTGTGTTGTTCTAACCGAATATATCATTCAAATACTCGTAAAAAGTATTTCAAGATTTTATCTTACCATCTATTTCAACACCTGGCAATGTTAACACCAATTCTTCTTTGAATTGAGCGACGTCTTGCAATGGTAGTTTCACTTGCACAGCATATCCATTTCCGAAGCGATTCTTGAGTCTTTGCAAATTACCAAGACACACAAACTGACCCAGTTTCATTATGCCTATTTCTGATAACACATCGTAGAGCGTCAGATAAAGTTTTCTCATTTCAAACTTACTTGAACACAATGCTTCACATTCTTCCATACTACAATTACAACCCAAGAACTGTTAGTATCAGGACAATTTCTGTTGTATCATACCTGTGACTGGTAAGAATGATTGTCAAGCCAATATCACGAGCTGATCGAATCACATTCCATAGTTTTCGCTTGGCCGCAGCATCCAAACCCTGTAGATCAACATTTACAAGAAGATATTCTCATCTCACCAACAGTCTCTCTTTGAATCTTACCGTTGTTGGCTCATCAAGAAACACAAGAGCTGGGTTAGCCATGAATGCGAGTGCTGCGCTTACTTTCCGTTTATTTCCACCGCTAGAAAATTTGATCGAAGAAACCGATAGTGCATTGAATCTTTACTCGTATACACTACAACTACTCACCTGAGCTTTTGCACTCGTCTATCTCGATAGATTTCAAGACCAAACAGATCGATCATATCGCTGCTGATCTGTGAGATATCTGACCATTTCATTCCTTTCAATCTAATCCAAAAGGAAGAACGAACTCTCAATCAAAACTTTGATTCATGAAGGCGTTTACCTGGCAAATAGTGTAAGCGTTTCGACAACAGTGAGATTGTGAACGAGCCAGTCAAATTGAGGACAGAAGCCAATTTCAAGATCACGTTCCTTAACAAACAAATTACTTTTCAGAAAGAATAGCGAAAAAAGGACTGTTCAGACTATTTTGTTGATATTTTTGCCATTGATGATGATATCACCAGATGTTGGTTTGAGATCGTTGATTAGCATTCGAAATGTCGTTGTTTTGCCAGCACCATTAGCTCCTACAATGAAATTTTCTTCTCTCGTATATCAAAAGACAGCAAGAAAGGAGATCTGTCATACCTAGTAATCCGAAACAAGATCGTTTTGTCACTCGAAAATTCAGATGATCAACAGCTGTATAGATGCGACTGGATAATGTAGTGTTATTTCGTTTTTTGAATCGTTGCACAAGATCTCGAACAAAAATCACAGATGATGATGACGACGATGATAACGAATTTTGTAGGACGGCTTGTCTTTCATTTCGTACATCTTCGTCGAGATGCTAAATAAAAGTAAATGAATGTTGAAGTTGACTTATAGACAAAATATCTTTAGTTAATTAGCATACACTATCATTCCACAGAACCGGTGCCATTGCTTGTATTCCATCTCCATTATTTTCATTCTCGAAATGTTCTCTCTCATTGTCACAACCACAGCATCGACGACAGCCTATCTTCAGATTGGTTCGATTTTCAATGAATGTCAATATGGTCCACCAAAATATCATTTGAATACAAAATATAAGAATTAGAGTACCAAGACCTGGCTCCCGAAGTGACGTCCATCGCTCGGTATAAGAATAGCCAGTCATCATGATTGAGTTAATAGCTGAAATACATTCTTGATTGGATTTCAGACGTATGTCGAATAATGCTCGCTTGAGACTGACTGTGGGAAACAGAGCTGTTATCAGCCATCGTATGCTGTTCATCAGAGATGCTAGTCGGGTGAGACGGCCACTACTCGACGATTGACTTTGTGAGAATAAAGCCATAAAAGTAAGTACCATATCGAGAAGACAAGCAACAACATTGATAACAAAAAAATTAATAAAGCCAATTAATTCGGATTTTGGACTGAATGAATAAACATAAATCATGGGTAATGACGCCAATGAGTACATGAGAAACATGACAAAAAAGTACAAGGTTTGACTTGACTTAGTATAGATATGTACTTCCGACTCAGGATCCGGATTACCTGCTGCACCAATCTATAACAAAGCGAATAATTTTTTATTTATCGTCTTGAGCGGTTAGACTTACCTTGATAATGATTGTTAGAGTTGCACAAAGGACAAAACATAAACCCATATCGAAGATGGTATTTGAAAACCAGTAACTTCTCTTGCGCAAGTTTGTCAACAGTTGCAAATCTTTTGAGCGACTGATACGTTCTTGAATCAATGGAACAATAAGAATACTGATGAAGATTGCTGCAGAGATACTATTAATGAAATTGAATAACGACAGTGGCAAGGTATCGAAGCAATGGATAAGGTCGAAAAATCGTTCCAATGTCGTAGCTCCTGACGATGCTACTAAGATCGGTTTATTAGTCGTGATGATTCTTTTTGCTGATGAATTCGCATAGAATTGAAAAATATTCGTCGAACCAACACTCTGACAGACCGGCATTGTGTGATAATTTACTGTAGAAAAGTAACTGTTGATTGTTAATGACGGCGCTGCTGATGTGAGATTGTTGTAGGCCGCAAAGCCTATTTGATACTTATTGACGAATGCATCGATAGTAAGGAGATATTGATCACGTACATAAGTCAGTACTGTATCCGTAGAGATTTCCTCGATGGTCGCACCGGTACTTTGAAGATAATTCGTGAGACGAGTTTGTACATTGTTGCCATTATTGTTCGCATACGTGACAATTGTCTGTGGATTGTAAATAGACGGTAGAAGAGTTATTTGTGCGTCTTTGACGTAGCCATTTTGCAAAAGCGATGCTTGAATAGCCTTCGGTGATGGAAAGATACTAACAGCAAGAATTTCGATGACAATGGGAAAGACGAAGAATCCAAATATGAACACATATTGCCGCCGAAGGACGTGCCATCGTTTGATAAGTAATGCAAGAATACGAAGCCAAAATCTTTTGATACCGGTATGACGTTGATGTTCCGTACGAAAAACTATTGGAGAATGAAGTCAAATTTAACACAACCAATTAAAACAAATATCTACCCCGATCGGCTAATTCTACTTTGGAGGACTTGGGATCTTTTATGCCAGTCTCTTGGCCTTCTGTTTCCTGAATTAACCTATATCGAAGAGCGAACACATACTATCAATCAAGGCAGATTTATGGGTGCAAGATCTGTACCTTAGGAAAACTTCTTCGATGGTTGTCATCGATAATCCATAACTTTCCACGCCAATATTCATTCTCTCTGCTTCCAATGCATGAATCAATTGACCTATCTGTTTAGATTCAGTCCGTCTGATGCCAAATACCATCTCTGCTGACGATTCTCGTTCGACCACTAATTGTGGAATATATCGCTCAATGAATTTACGAACGCGTTCATTGGTGCTTGTTTCTTGCTTATCGATAAACAGACGATATTCAAACTCTACAGCAAAATTCCGAAAAAAATTCCAATGATGGTTTTGAGAAAGGAACTCATTCACCTGTTTGACTTTTGAGAAAATCAGGTGTACCATTTGCCTGCAAACGACCACTTGTCATAATGGCGATACGGTCAGACAGAACATCAGCTTCTTCGAGAAAATGAGTGGTAAGAATGATACATTTGCCTGCTTCTTTCATTTTTCGAATGATTGTCCAAATTAATCGACGATTGTATGGATCTAGACGATACCGAAGTAAGCAAAACTCGTTCTGGTAGTGAGCAAAGAGGTATCAATTACCGATGCCGCTTGTTGGTTCATCAAGAATAAGTACCTGAAGACGAAGACAGTCATTAATGTAAATAAAAATCAACTTTGTATACTTTTGGGTCGCCCATCAGCGAAATACCAATGGACAGCCGTCGTTTCATACCACCCGATAGATTTTTTGAGAATGTATATTGATCGTTAACTAGACCAATGAGTTGTAAAATGGCATCGATAGCTTCTTTCATTACACTTGGTGTCATATGACGCATCTAGGAGATAGAAAAGCAAACCTTTTAAACTTTTTCTACTAATCAAGTCCTTTACGCTATAAGCTAGAAACTAGGTCTCTGCTATAAGCATCACGCGATGATGAAAGGAGCTTTATTAAAAATGTTTTTTGTTCTGAGATGCTAATGAGTACGGCGTAAATAATTATGATGCATATAGACTATATTAATTATTATGAAACTAAAATTTATCTCGACTATTGGTCCATAAACAGTCATAATTTCTTTTTTGGCATGCACAAGTTCATATACACACCTTTCCAACCAATTCCAAATGTTCTTTCACTGATAGTTCATTATATAGAATATCTAAAATGATATCAATTTGATAGTATTCCTTCACACAGATATCGTGGTTTTACCATATTGTGGACAAAAGCCAAGAATTTTTCGAACATCTTGAATATGCTGACGAGTATCCAATCCTTCAATGATGACTTCACCTGATGTTGCTTCCAACATTCCTATGTGAGCGATGTATTCTCTTGTGTTCCCACCGGTCACTTTCAATTACTGCTTACCAACAAGAATAAAAGTTGTCGTTGTCTTGCCGGCACCATTATGACCCAACAGCGAACATACTTCACCATTGTAGAATTTCAATGATAGATCTGATACGGCACAGAATTTACCATATTTCTACAGTCAAACACTCTTAATTTTGTTCTCTCCGCCTTGTTCCAATATCACTTACTTTGGTGAGATGAGAAACTGTCAGTGATGGATTTTTCATCTTCTTGGCTGAATTCATTTCAATCCAACAATTCTTCTCAGCTACCACATCACCATTCAAAAACTGCGCGTGATTACTCAACGGTTCGACGGTCGACGTTGCCTTCGAATTCCAATATGATTGTTTGAAAAGGTAATTCCACGATTGTGATACTCCGAATTCACCTGGATTTACTCTCTCGACGTAGATAGCCAACAATAAATAGACGACAGAATAGAGCAACATGACAAGAAGACATACGCCAATATACAATGGATATGGAAAGATATTGGAATAGAACTGACTGAGCGTCGTTACTTTAGCTAAATGTAAACCGTATTCGAGTCATTGACCAGTGAAATAAATAAAGATATCATACCTCCGTTGCGTTCATACTGAAGAACAATTTCTAGACAAAACATTAAACTTGTGTTGGGAAAAATACATAAAATATAACGAGTGACAGCTGACACACCGGGATAAAAATCAATAAAAGTAATAACCCATACCACAAAACCAATGAGTTTGGCCAGTAATGCTAAAAAGGGAGAAAAGAATCGATTAAACCGAGTGTCGCAATCTATTCGGATCTGCGTACGTCGTTTGAAAAATTGCCCAAAGAGAACACTAAACGCCGATACTTGGATGGAATAAACAAACAAGATTATCCAGATAACTGTCCAATGTGTGTAGTTGAATAATGCTTTACTGACACGACCAGGTCGTGAGTTGGCACTTGGTAAAACTGTCATACTTAAAGCCGTGACTACACTTGTCAGAATCAGGTATATAGACATTGACCGAGTAACCCACACTAAATTATTAATCCACGTACGAAGACCGTAGATTCGAAGATATTCCTAAACGTTCACAAAAGTTCTGCTTGATATATTTAAGAAAGATATGCTGCATTACTTTCGTTTTGTTTTCTCTCTCTTCGACAACGTATCCAACATTCATAATGAAGGTGACAACAAAGATGAAGGAAAAAAATATCGGGATGAAGAATCCATAGAATGAATGTAATTGATCCATATAGTAGGCCGGACAACCGAAATGATTGAGATATAACTATTAACAAAATAAGTCATTCTATCGGTACTAATTTTTTCCATGAAAACTTACACTGGACGTAAAGTTTTCCGTCGTATTTGTGACATACTTAATGATAGCCATATCAACAACGTATTGTATACCGAGGAATCGATAGAAGTAGTTCACTGTATTACCAGTAGCTGAAAATAGATTAATAGATTTGAAAGATTATGTTGGACATTATTGATGTTTTACCTTGACAAAAATCTTGAGGAGATCGTTTCCACATGTAATCGTTCTCGGATATCTTCACATCTTGAGGAGAGTAATAGTATGGGCTGCTCCTGAAAAAGATCTTTATCGTAAATTAAAAGAGCCCATTACTTGACATACTCGAGCATGCGCAAAGTGTATTTAACCTCGTCGGGCACTGTTGATGGGCCAGTGCATGAACCGAGATTGGTAAACTCAATATAAGCAATCAATGACTGTATAGTTGAGTTCGGTACTGTTGCCAAAGTTGGATCCGATACTGGTTGAACTATCAAAAGAAAAGTTTCTTCCACCATGCTAATTCTCAAATAGAACATACTGGTATTTGTGAAATTTGGCAGTGTAGATGTAAGATTATTCAACAGCCCAGTAACAATGTTCGTCGTACATGCATTTTCTAAAAAAAGCTCCTTCAAGAACAATCAAATTCCACGATGAACTTACCTGGATAGTATAGAATATATTTATCTGTATTACGGATTGCAAAATTGTCATATGGGCGAAAGCGAGCTACCCGATAGGGACCATAGTATCGTCGGTCAAGAATGTAACGCATGCCAAGAAGAAAGCCCATAAACGTATAAGCTAACAAAATCTCGGCAATCGTCTGGCCAGGTTTTCGTATTGTTAACAGAAATGTTCTCGTAAACAGTGCTCGAAAGTCACTGAGAATTTTAATCAAAGTGCCATGACGGCGGGGATTCACATCATACTTCAACATCGTCGTTTGCTCGACTGTTTATAACATCTAGGAAATAACATAAATACAAATGACAACTTCAGCTTATCTCCATCCATCACATTAAAAACCAACAATTGCAATGGGTGAAAAGTATGCTTTTTGCACTCTACATTTTCGCTTATATTAAATGTCGTCAACGGGTGAAACGACGACGAGCACAGATTATCAGATAGCTTGGGAAAGTAAAAGTATTAAATTGTCATGATCCGAATAAAAAAAAAGAGAATTTCCGCTTCAGTTAGTTAGCTTTCTGTTTTTTTTCTCTTATCAAACACATGTATCTTATTATGCACTTTTACTAATTGATAATCAGCGCGACATGATCTTTGAGAGATAAGATCGAAACGTTATCCCGTTAACTATTTCCTCAAGACTTCTCGAAAAATTAATGGCGATTGAATTTGATAGAGAGGTATGACAGAAGACATTTGATAGCACAACAGTTCTATTGAACAGATTTGCTTCATGAAAACCGACTGAAGTTGGAGAGTATGTAGATATATCTGTGAATTTGTTTATATTATTCGATGGATTGACTTACTTCAACAACCGATAATTGATTATTTGAATTTAATCTCACCAAACATTTCTGTTATTCACAACTGGCGGCTGAAGCTGTCGAAGGTAGAAAAACAACATTGGTCGATGAATATGTGGAATAAAAGAAGAAACGCAAAACGTCGTGTTTTGATGTAGCATCTCCTTTTTTTTTCTTTATCATAGATTATAAGAAGAAAATTTACTCCCACGGATTTGTGTCAAGAAAAAAGACGCTTTTTTCCATCTACCAGACGAAGAGATTCTAGCATACTTTTCTTTAAAGTCTATTTTCGCTGACGCGGATGGTTAAAGTGGAAGAATATTGATAAATCTTTTATATTTTATTATCTCATAAAAAGAAATGCCATAGGTTATTGCATATACATGCATTTTATTTAAAATTCATGAATTATTTTCCAAAATCTCTTCGACACGAGAATCTAAACTACCTTGCCGACTCATGGGTAATGACGAAGACGTTGGCGACACTAAACGTTTCTTCTTGTAATCATAGTTGATCATGGATGGGTCGATGCTCATCTGTTTGTTCATTGTTGGATGTGAGAGGACATTTTTTGTTCGTCGTCGCGTTGAAATAGGTAAAAGAGAATGATTTAATGCACGTTGACTTAATTCATGCGTCATCGCATAGATACGGCTGGTGTCGAGTGGAAGAATCGCTGCAAAGCTTCCGTTGATTAAACAGGGACTGTGAGGTGTGTTGGATAAGACGAGAGACATGCGAAAATCATCAGAAAGATGCTTCATTTTATTAAGTTGCCCTTGTGGTGTCAGATGATCGATTGGACTATGGATTTTACTGGCCGATTGCCGGATAATTTGCCAATCACGACGAATATCATCAGTATTTGTTGATGATGCCGTCACGGTAAAGCGAATGATATATTTGCCTTTGATTGATGCTGGAACACAGTGAATTCTTCCATCCATATTCAGATCTTTCAACAACTGTTCGGTCAATTCATTTCCACCCTATGAAAGTGGCGCTAATTGAGAGGAGAGACAGAAAGAAGATAGGGAAAACCTTTAATCGAAACGTTACAAGGCCAAGATGTCGTTCAGCGGGAATCTCAAATCGATTGTCAGATTTCACTAACGACTCAAATAGTTTAGCCATTTCAACACCCTAGAAGAGCAAAGGGATGCAAATGACAACTCAGCCATTATGAAATCTTTACATTTCGAATATGTTTTTGAAGACCTTCAATGCCGAATGAACGAATAACAAACCAAAGTTTCAATGCTCGAAATCGTCGGCTTAATGGTACTTGCCAATGCTATAAAAACTAGGTCGTCTCTCGTGCTGTCTATAAGTAATTGATCAATCCTACCATATAATCGATTGCTACGCCAGCGTTCTCATGTTGAAGATACAATGGATCGACATTGAACGCTCGATGTAGTGCTGGACTTGATTTGACCCTATGAATATATCAATAAGAAAAAAGACTTTGTTTAACATCATTCCTTTCCATACCACATGGCAGTACAATCGAAATGAACCTGCATGTAGTCAAATAAAAAATATTTGATTAGAAAAATGAGTTAGAAACTAACCATTAGCCATTTTGATGGATTAAAAGCAAATGACTGTGTCAATTCTACTCCATTCATAAAATGTCGAAATTCAGGACAAACGAATGCACTTCCCGCATATGCAGCATCAACATGAATCCAAATTTGCTCTCGTTCACCTAATTGAAGACTTATTTTGACGAAAAAATTATATTTTTTCACACGAATAAAACTTACAGATTGCACCTAATTCCACAAGACTGTCAAACGCACATGCACCCGTGGTTCCCAATGTTGCACAAAGCTATCACGAGTATTAATTAGAAAGCTTCGATCCCTATTTCTACTTACGTAGAATGGTATAAGACCATTTTCTTTGTCTTTAGCAATAGCCTGCCGTAACGCATTTCCTCGTAAACGTAAACTTTCGTCACTTGACACGAGATTCAATTTGACCAAACCGATAAGACATGCTTTTTCCACCGATGAATGTGCTTGATCAGAACAATAAGCCACTAGACGACCGTTAATTTCCGCTGGACTCAAGTAGGGAAATTGTGCTTGTACTCGATGAATGACTTCTTTTCGAGCAGCAAGTAACGCTACGAGTGTAGCTTCTGAAGCTGTAGTCTAAATATATCTTGACTCTTGCTCAGATAGAATTCAAAGATTTCTTCCTACTTGAATCACACCTCCGCCAGTCGTATTCTCTTGCGAATGAAGAAAATCATTCGGCAAACCGATCATTTTCGCCAACCAATCCATGACTATAGTTTCCAACTCCGTACATGCTGGACTCGACGCCTATTTACATGAAAACTTGCATGCATGTCCAATTAAAACTGACAGATTTATTAACAAAGATTACTGTTTTGTACCATTAATATACAAGATGACTAACAGTAATAAAACTATCGCAGTTACTCATTAGTTGCACCATTGATATCTGCTTAAAAGTATCCTCGCCTATAAAATATCTCTGATCATATTGATCTCATTAAAAATTTCATGTTCATTATACACAGTAACCATGGAACAAGCTGGTTCAGTTTACGTACCCATGTAAATCCTAATTGATTTAAGCCGTTTGCTAACATATCCTACGTGAAAAAGAATCAACATACGATTTGTCTGTGAGGATATATCGATCGCATACGCCAAGCATCGATGGATAGGAGTTCAATGCTGGAAAATAAGCATGCATATACGGTGATTGCCAATGAGTAATCTAAAGAGATTGAAATGAGATAATCATTCGTGAATATTTCGCTCGAAGAGAACATACACCAGGCATAATGACACGTTCGACATCCTTGAAAATATCTTCCCATTGCTCACCACATAACGGTGCTTCGTCATCGATCATGGACCGCATATAGCCTGGTTTGACATTTGGCAAGACACGTCGCGATCGAATATCTGTTAGATAATCAGCAATAAAATCGACCATTTCTTTTCCTAAATGTAAATTCAAATGATTTAGTCCGACAATTGCGTTTTTTCAACTACCCCGTTGACGAAATTCTTCGGCATCCATGTTGAATTTAACACCAAACGGAATACTAAATGATACTGTATATAAGTTTGAACTTGCTCAATTAGTTTTTCTCGATGAAATACAAGATCTACTTTCTCTCGTCTCTTCTCTTCTCTTCTTACTAATGATCGACTTAAAAAACACGCCAAGCTTCTACAATGAAACCCCTCATGATTCAATTAAGACTGACCTGTTTTTCACGGAAATGAGTCATTCCTCATGTAATCTTCGTAAGTCCAAATTTCCCTAATTGTCGTTTGAGAAATATTCGGGTGAAAACGAATGTTCCCATATATCGGTAAAGTTGGCAACTAGATGCACAAAACTAAAAGGGAAACACCGATTAAAAGAAATTAGTTTGTTGTTTCGTATTTGATAATTCTGCTAAACGTCGTCGGCTTCGTATTTAAGGGTGGAAGATTGTGAAACCTTTTTTACCGATTTATCTGTGTTACATTCTGATTTGATCAGAATGAATAGTAGTTTAGAGTCGAGTGTTTATTTGGGATTTTGTTTTCGTTAACACAATTGCTTTTCTTTAGTCTTGAATTTCACAAAACTTCGCTATCTTTCTCTTCTACTTAATAAAGCTACTAAATTCGTTCGTGTAATCATTCTTACTAATTATCAATATACAACCAACAATCAAAATACTATTAAATTTCATCGTTATTCTTTGTACGATTTATTCAATAAAATTAGAAAATATCACAGTTCAGTTTTAAAGTGATTCAAAAGCACTTGTTACCATTCTTTAAATTGAAACATCGACAACCAACATTTGGAATGCAACGTTCACCAGCTAGACAGCATTGAGTTTTGTGCGGCATATATTCACATGTTTGTTGACCTGGTGGACAATCTTTGATTGCTGATGAATCTTTTTCATTCGATGCGAGAATAGGATCAATGACAGATTTCCAATCATTTAGTGACCAGGATGCATCAGCACCTGTTGCTACACCATTGATAAGGAATGTCGGTGTACCAACAACGCCTAGAACACAGAGATAATTAGATTGTTTCATCGGATCATTTCGTTGAATTACCTCTTGAACAAGCGTATTTCCATGAGATACGTGTTTCATCATTGAGATCATCACTAGCCATGCCTGCTAAGAATTTATCTTTGGTAATAAAACCAAGTTGAGCAACGAACGTTGCCAATGAGTTAACGACTTCTGGCATTGTCATCGATTTGGTTGCATCATTGTACCAAGTTTGTTGATTTTGAAATATCGCAGTTGCAGTTTTAAAAATCGCATCCGAATTTCGACTAGTCGCATTGGCAATAACGTGAAGGCCTTGTGAAACAACGAATGAATTGGTATGATAAGGTAATGGGAATGTATGTATGCGAAAATGAATTCGTGTTCCATAAGCTTGAATTACTTGCAAAACAGTTGGCCATGAAGCCTTACAATCCGGACATAATGGATCTAGAAACATTTCAATCACTGCATGAGCATCTGCTGGACCGCCAACACCCCATCCATCTGGCCGTGACGGAATCGGCACTTGACCGGATACAAAGGTCAGAGCGAGCAAAAGAACGACACTACTAGTCTGCATCGATATCGTTAATATAAAAATACGAAAATGCTTTTTGTGCTTATTCATCTGTCGACTTATATACACATACAAGATAAAGATAAGATAACACTTGCACATCATAATGACTAGAAAGAATTTCGATGTGTGCTTTTTTTCGTTTAGTCATGCTCCCAACGCGTCATTCTGTGAACTACATTAAAGATACATAAATTACAGCGTAGTCCTTTTTACAAATGATCCAAATGTAGTTCATGCTTCCTTTTTACGTTTATTCAACAAGAAAATATATTCAAACATATTCTATTCAGATATTCACCTAATTATACGAAAGATTCCTTTTTTCTCTTCATTATCTTCAAAATAGTCTCCTTGAGAACACAGCAAGATATATTAACGCATAGAAGAACTGTTATTTATCAATCAAATAGTTATTAATTGACTGTAGTTACCTGCTGGTTCGATTGAAAAAATTTTCGAGCAGGACAAGGATTTAATGTTCGTATTAAAATCAAATTTGAACACCTAGATATGAATTTCGTTTTTCCTTCATTTCGCACGTACAAAAAAATGTGTAATCTGATTTGTCATGCAATTCATTTCAGCTCCGGCACGTTCAATTGACTTTTCGTCATTAACTAACACCATCTGACCATTAATGACAATGTCACTAGTTTGAAGATTGAAACGAAATGAGAGACTCTGTTGACAGGTTCATAATTACCATGCTTTCAATACACAAACATGCACTTGCTTAATCAACTTTTCGTCTTATCACTATTTAACCATCATCACACGACGCGGTGCGCGTGAATGCGCATGTTCTTGTTCATTTGATAGTTGAAATATATGTTGAACAGTCAACGATCAGTCAGACGTATATCTCTTTGTAGTAGGTATGTAAAGATCTTTCCCTTTCAGTTCAGTCGCCGCCCAGACATATTTATTCGTATTCATGAAAAATCAACGTAAAAAAAGACAAAATTCATGACTGTTAGACATCTTTAGTATGTATATACATCTGTTCGTAGGTGTGTATATATCTGCTAAGGGTCATGCATATCTGGGAGGGACAAGTGTATGTATGTATATATTATATATATATATTTAACGTCGACTAGTGAATTGCACGCTCGTCAAGGAGGTTAATTGTATGTCGTAGTTGTTCAATAGATTGTGTGTATGTATATTTTAGTCATATTCTTTATTTTTTTTTCGTCTCGTCGACTGTCTCATGGGGCAAATGACACGTCGTATGAGTGTATACGGCTTCTTTTGACTCGAAAGGATGGTTCCATTTTCTTCGAAATAACCGACAACAAAACATACAGACGTCGTCGAAGAACATGCACAGACGAACAGTAAAGAAATATTCATTAGGTTTAGGTGAAGATTTCATCAATGAATTTAATTGTTTAATATTATAATTTGACAAGTAGTGCGTTCGAAAAATATGAAATGTCAAGTGAGTTCATTGATCATATTCATGACAATCGTTCGCTAACGACTTACTCTTTGACGATGATTTGATTCATATCAAATGAAACAATTCTTCATTGATATATTATTCAAGTTACACTCACCTTAGCGTATGTATTCTCTCTCTCTCCCTCTTTGTTTCTAAATATACCATTCAGTATGCATATCTGTTATTATGTTCAAGGTTTTCTTTTACAAAAAATTCTGTTTTATGAATAGAAAATCATTTATGTACGAAAGTTATAATTTGATTGAATATTTAAGATATCTCTAATCGATCATTTTCACACCAAAGAATAAAATATCATGTCACATTTGTCCGGCAATGAAGAAACGACATGTTCCAATACTGATTGTACATTGCCGATGGTTGATACGTATGCCAATGCAATTCTTCGTACATTATCCTCACTTAAACCGCCATCACCACCAATCTCCTTATATACTTCTCGACAGCATCGTCGTTCTTATCCTCATGCTAAAACGGTGTCACAATCAGTTGTCGTAAATGAGGTAAGTGGTATGTGAAAGTTGTATATGTATGCGTACTCTTCATTGTCTCACTGTTATTTTCAAGTGGAAATTGATGGGCGTAGTACCTTCTTTCTTTTTCTTTCTTCCTTCATTCGATTCACGAGTACGCACTCTGCGGTTATGTCATATATACAGGACGTAATGGTTTTTCGGCTTTCTCTGATATTGAATATCTCTGTATGTGTCCATATTCGTTTATTTTTGCTTGATATGTGGTGACGATAAATTGATATTGTTTCGTCAAATGTAAAGAACGACGAGATTATCGTTGTCTCGAAATGCAGATCACACATCCATGTATATGTATATGGCACAAATTATCGAATGAAGAACTACAAAATTGACCTTCGAATGTAGTATACATTTGAGCTCGTTTGATCATATAAGAACAGGAAAAAAAAGGGAGAGAAATCATGTAACTGCTTGTACAAAAGTACAATTTATAAAATGTAAAGTCATTTGCTTATTACTATTCTGGTCCGACGATGATTGAGCCTCTTGTTATAATGACATAAGCGGTAAGCAAAAAGAATAGAGAAGACTATGGTAACCATCGCCACGAAGTTCAAGTAATCTTTTGATAATTTGACAGAGAAGGAGAAAAATGAAAAAGAACGACACTGGAGTAGTATCATCTGTTGAGCAACGATAAGCCAGGTTCAATATTGACTTGAGATGAAATGACAATACATATACACATGCACACACGCACATGCACGCGTACATGAATTACTCAACTAGATTTTATTCCGCCATAGTTTCGTATGATTTATATGTATGAAGAAAAAGAATTATGTCGATCAGTGAATAAGAACGAGGGAGAGAGAGAGAAAGTGAATCCTAACTAGTTTATAGTGAGCATTCGGGTGATGAATTGTGCACATAATATTGATTTTATAAAGATGCAGTGTGCAGTTTGCCAAAGAACGATGTAAGTTGGTAAGAAGAATAGAGGAGGTGAGGAGGCGAAGTGGTACTGATTGTACAAAGCAAACGTGTAAAATGTATAAGTTTTCTTTTTTGTGTCTTCATTTCTTCTTCTTCTTCTTGTATTATTCCTTGATTCTTAATAACGAGAAGCAGTTACCAACCGAGAACAATGGTTCAAATTGCCTGCTTCTCGAATTAAATAAAATTCTCTTTATTCTTAATATTGACGATCCGTTCTTATCGTCAAAACTATTCCACTTGATTGCTCAAAATTGAAGAGGAGTTAATCGGCAGGTAAATAAAGGTTTCTTTTGTTACTTGACTCAATCGATCGAATTTAACTGAATAAAACACCTAGTCAAAGTCTGATAAGTTATCGATCTCTATCTACCTCGATGTCACGTAAGAAAGCGAAGCACACGCTGAGTAAATAATAGCGAATGCCTATTGAAGTGTGATTATTCTCGACGAAAGACATAAACACTTGCATGAATAGCGGCGCCATCGGTAGAAAAACATACATAAGAAAGATGCGACACAAACTTACTATGCATAGTCGCAATGAAGCGCAGTAATTTGAGTGTAATATGTGTGTATAGTTACATATCGATGCAAATTTTTAAAGTAAATCTATTACGTCATTATTTGTTATTGTCCCAAAAGGAATGTTAAGATTTTCGAAAGTAGTCTGTTCAACAATCGTTTTCTTTTCTCTGTCTCTGTCTCTTCTAGAAAAATAAATCGATCGGTGTGTGTTGATTAAATAGCGAAAAGAATTTCAAGTATGAAAAGTTTTGATTGATTTTAATTTCGAGAGGAATTTTTTAAATTAGGATAAGTGCTTTCTTTCTTTTTCTCTTTCTTCGTCTTTAAGTTGATGAAATGAGAGAACAAAGAAAAAGAATTCGCATCGTCGCATGTTCTGTTTGCGTCGTTGAACTCTATCCGTGCTGATCGCTTTTAGTCTATTTGACCATTACAAGAAAGGTCCCGTATACGGCTTCATTTATGCATGCGAATATATATATATATGCCTGGCATTCATGTGCATACACTCATGTATATGTTTTGATTTTCTTTTCTCTTTTACATTTTTTTACTTTTCTTCTTTACACAGGCCACTTGAAAATTGCAAGAAAGAAGAGACGTTTTAATTTCGGACGAGAGAAGCAATAGATTCTAACGAAGGAGAAAAAAAAGCTTGAAAATAAATAGTGTAACAGTCCATCGTCAAATATGTACAGTAGTAAAACCTTTGTTGCTATTGCGGTTGTTATGTTGTCATCGTTTTACGTTTTTATTTTTTTATAATCGACATCTATTCGGCAAAAATAAATTACACACCATCTATAAAACACTTGTAACTAGCTTTTTGATTGATAAAGAAAAAAACTGTTAACGAAAAAAGAGAGAGAGAATCAATGACAATAAGTTTAACATTGAGATTTAATTTTTGCTTGTTCCTCGACGAGTTACGCACGTAAGGAAAATATTGATTTTGATCTGCCTTGATTTCATTCATTTCGACACATGCTGTCGCTGTGTCTCTCTCTCTATGTCTTGAAGGTCAATGAAAGTGATAGGCGCAAGCAGACAGCCGATCTTTTCCTTCGATGTTTTCGTGTGAATTATCGAAAGAGAACAAAATTTCTCTATTTGCTACCTTACCCATTCAATGTTCATTGTCTTTTACATACATGAATATGAACGAGTGCGAGCGCTTATCTTGTTTACATGTGACTTAAAGATTTCTTTACATCGATATTTTTCTTCATCGTTCTTCACTCAACAATATGGCTTTGATTAATATGAAGCATTGCTAGTTCGTCGTTTTCGTGTTCTTCTCTCTCCTTCCGCTCATCCTTTCTTTCGATTGTTGTCTCTGACCATCGCATAGTAGACGCATGCATAGACTCATCTCTTCTTTATTTTATCTTATTTTCGTGCGTGTGTGGTCAAGGCGATTATGATTATACCCGATTAAAACAAACTGAATATACGGAGAGATTTTCTTTCGTTGAACATGAATTTTGAAATTTCCTCGCCGAACGCCATGGTAAGTTTCGATTATTGAATTTTTTTCTTCAAGCAAACCTGAGGGTTGTATAGATTTCTTCTTAAGAAACTCACACCCTTCTTTTCTTTTCACATTAGTGATTCATTTTTTTTTCTCTTCTTCTTCATTGAGATTATTAACGGGTTCTTTTTTCAGTGGTTTTATTTTGCAAACATCAATTCTTCATAAAACACACATATTACTTGACGAAGCGAAGAAAGACAAATAGAACACACACAAGATGTCTTCGTATACTGTTTTAAGAGTTGACAGTAAACATGCGCATTCATTCACACTTCAGCTTCAGGGGTTCGAATCGTATAGTACCGTGAAGGTTAATGATTTTCTCATTAGATTTGTTCAAGCACAAAGATAGAGGAAAGAGTGAGTTCAATCGCGTATGCAGACAGTTTGTTCTCACTTTTGCGTCGAGTTTATACTTAGAATTTCACATCAAAAGAAAAGGAAGAAGTTCTTCATTCTTCATACTCCCATTGTATTATCGTAGAGAATAGTAAAAGAACATGCGTCGCATAGCCAGCAAAGAAAAAAAGAAAGAGCCAAATAAAATAACGGTGGAAGCCAAGCGCAGGCAACTTTTACTCATATATATTTTTCTTCTCTCTTTGCTCAGTGTGTTCCCTTTTTTTTTCTTTATTCTTTATTTTAACCATGCCAAGAGGCAGCTGTGACACATAGACGGCCGAATAATTACTCACCATTAGATGAATATTTATTTTCCATTTTTAGTTAGTGGACGGCTCTTCGGATAACCAACCATCACTAGCAAATCCCTCCTCATTGTCTTCCTCATCCTCATCTCTATTCAGTTCATCGTCGTATTCACCCGATCATAGCTTTGGCAATTGTTTCACGATTGAAGCACATTTACCTCTCGTGAAAAATAACATCGAACAAGTTGAAAAATTCAAACGATTATTATCTCGCTTGGACAACGTATACAATAATAATAATAATAATAATAATAATAATAGCAATAATAACAATAACAACAATAATCAAAACATGTCAACCACAACTTTACCGTTACCTTCGACAACGTCACCGCATGTTACAGATCGTTATCTTTTTCGTTCGCTTTCAAATGATAATCAAAACTCACGAATATCTGCAGCAAAGAAGAACAAATTGTCCAATGCACCACCATCATTAAGCAAGCGTTATAAATTTTCGTCGGCTGGCACCGATCAAAATAATAACGATGTCTACAAGTTTCCCAATGGCCAAACGGAACAACGTTCACATTCGACTGATTCGGACCGATACTATTTCCCAACAGGCGACTCTGCGAAGAAACCTCAACAAATATTAACGTATGTTCGATCCGGTTCCGGCTTAGAGCAGCGTGCTGTTACATTTATTGATGGAGCGTCAATTTCATCTGATAAAGTTTCTTTACCAATAACAAAGTCAATACAACCTACTACTATTGTATCGGATACGCCTTATCTTTTCTCAAAGACAACAGAATCCCAGCGACAACCAAGTATAACATCACCAGTCAACCCAGAAGGTAAGTGAATCGAGCCACCAACTGCAAATAAAAGAGAAACAGAAAAAAAAGAGAGAAGAAAGATAAGTCTGAAGAGTTTATTTTGCAATGGAGACTATCACAAACGAAGCATCCTTTTTAAATAACTTACATAGTTTGTTTTTCTTTTCAAGATGCCTGGCTAGAACAACGACAGCAACCGCATATTATTTTCGATAGTATCACTGATTCGTCGCCCAATTCACAATTAAAACGTCCACGTACATCAAGCACAAGTCCAGAACGCCGACGCATATCAAAGCATTCACCCACGCGTATGGATACTGTCACATCGACAAATGGGTCATTGTCGACATTGCGACGATCACCACCAACTAAAGTGCAAAATGTTCGCTTTGATCCAACATCGACACAGAAATCATACTTAAGTGAAGCAAAAGAACGTTTGGCAATCAAAAAGCGTGGACGATCACCACAAGCTTTACAACAATCAGTTGACCGTTTAGTCTCATCAACAAATCAAAAATATCGCCAACAGCAAATTTTCTCACCACCTGTCCCATTTCAATCATCACAACAACAACATCAAAGTTATATCAGTCAATATTATGCACAAGAAGAAGAAGAACCTCCTATAGATTATCCAATGGATAGCGATGATGACGAACCACAAAAACGTTCAACCTTGTACAATCGCGGATTGAACGCTAATAGCGCACACGAGCGAATCTTGAAACATGTCAACGGCAGTTTGCTTGACCGGCGATACTTAGGTGATACCAATCGCATCAAACAACTGGAACAGAACGCTCATCGTTACCTACGTTTTATCGAAAATCAATCGTTACAACGTGAATTGAATTATGATTTAATTCGATGTTTCTCATCCACATATCTCGATGATTTACGCCGTGAAGAAAACCGACATTTTCAAACGCGAGTTAACATGCGATCATATACATATGAAGATATACAAGACATTCATATGTCGCAAGTTCTCGAAGCTTTCAAGATGAAACGAGCGATCGACAAAGAAAAACGTCTCCGATTGAGTGCAAGTTTCGATGGACAAATTACATCATCAACACCAACATCATCAATTGGTGCGGGACACTTATCGCCTCTCTCGGCTTCGTATAGTCCAGTCATGACTGGAAGTCTTAACGAAAATATTGATGCACAATCAGGCGGTTTTGAAATCGATCGTCGATCAATAAAATCACATACTTCGGTAAGCGGTTTTGCTATTTTACTTTTGTATTTATTTGAATTGAAAACGAAGAACAGATGAGATCCATAAGCTATTCCACAGAGAATTCCTCTCATCTGACCATAATTGCTCGATCAACAATTTTTCTTCCATTCTTTCCTTACTGCTTATATCACCATTTATATTAAAGTATTCAAACATATCAAATTTCTACTTGATAAATGATCAATGAATTCTTATATAATCTAATCTCTCAATATCACACGAAACGACGAAGGTTATATTCTGTTCAATAGATTAAAACTTTTCTTTTGCATTTTTCATAATCAAAAGCATATGTAAATGTTGCTATACACGTAGATCACAATGATCTTTCATATCGAAGGTTTCGACAATGAAAAAGAAGAAAAAAGTGTTGAACCGACTACGTTTATCTTAGCTAATTTTAACCCATTTCTATGAATTAGCAGGTTTTCTCTTCATCAGCCAATGTTGATGATGTTTGTACTGAAAATAGTAACATCGAAATGACAAGTATTTGTGTAAATATTGATTTGTACGTAGCTCGTTAATATCAATGCTAATTTCGTCTAGTCACAATAAAGTGATAAACCCTCATCGAAGACTTTGTCAGAACGAGGTAAATCATTAATCGAAAGGGAAATAAAGAAAACATTGCAATTTTGATAGTTTAATAGGTTGTTTGTTCAACTGCTTTTTTTGTGCCTTTTATATTAAGGGGAAACACCTCAAAACATATGAAGTCAATTGCTGCATTAGAAAGAATTCTATTAACTTGAAAGTAAACAGAAACCACTGGAGAATGTTCTCAGACAATGTCCTAGAGAACATGACAAATAACAGCATCGACACAGATTTCATCATCATCATCTTATATCATATTGTTTTCTCTCTAGCATTCTCAAACGCCAACAGCTCTTCGCACGAGTTATGTAGCACCTGCTCAGAACTTGGACTTCTTTCAAGATATCATTCAAGAAAGTTTTCGCGGTATTGATGCATCCATTGCCGGTCATGTTTCGAATGCATCACAGTATACCAAACAAAATGCTCGCCATCCACCAGCAACTGTATCGCAAATGAAACCATTGGATACTGACAGCGATGTTGAAATTAAATCGAATTCATCGTTTTGGTCGGATGAAGAAGAAGATCAACTATTTGATGATGATCGACGTCAAACGATTCCGCATCAGAAACAATTAGCACGGTATCTATCAACGGTCAATCGCTCATTACTCGATCGGCCAAGTGATCTGATTGCTGATTTTTATATTTCGAAATTGAATCGTGGTATGCAAGATGGCGTACGAAACGTAGAAAGCATTGCACGTGATAAAGCACTGATGAGACAAAATCACAATCGAGAATTTCGAGATGAGCCAACTAATAAACTGGGTCGAAGTTTATCAGCTGACCATTTGTATCAAGTTCGAAAAGAACATTTACGTTATAAGCAACCGTTTCACACGCCAACGTCATTTACAGTGGAAGATGTGGCTGATATTTACAAACCATTTGTTTTGGAAAATTACAAACGAAAGATTGCTATTGAATTAGAACGACGTCGAAGAGAAAGACAAGGACAATTGATGGCTGGTTTGTACTAACGCGCGAATTCGTTTGCAGTTCAATTTGACATGTTCATTTTAGGTATTGGTGCTTCACCTATGTATACATCCGATGCAGATATGGGTAGTGTATTAAAATCCTCGCAGCCACCCATCATCGAATTGCCAATCAATGCCGTCGCTGATCGCATCTACCGTCCATCGAGTTTAACGCAAGCTCGTGTTGTTCGTACGAACGAACAAGGAGTTCCCATATACGCAGACGGTTCAAATAACGACGTGATTGTTGTTCGACCACCGATTGTACGAACAACCGACGTTGTCATGGGTCGAGCACATAGAACTCTAACTGATGATGGTAACACCGATGTTGTACATCACATCGGTATTGCTTCACCGCCAACGTCATTTTCACTTGTTAAACGACCAACTACACAAATACACATGTCCACTACCAGCACATCAGGTCAATATGAAGTACCGCGTGTAATTACAGTCGCTCCTCCGGATTTTCCACAACGTACTCAGACTCATATTCGAACTGAACGCGCTGATGGCAATGTAGTTCAACCACATACAAGTGAGCTCATCGATGGTCCATTAACTTCTTCACAGCAAGTGCTGTATCAAAATGGCGAATACGATCCAAGTCTACGACGACCCGTTCAGGTAAAGAATAGTTTGATCAAAAATACTAGTTGCTGACTTTGAACCGAGATCGTTGATATAAAATACATCTTTATTCCACTTTAGATAATTACTTCAAGTGAAGTTACAATCACGTCAACACCTCGTCCACAAACCAAGATTTATACACCATCTCCACCACGAGAACCTATACGCATATGTCAAGCTGATCGCATCGAGGCTGAATCTGGAAATTATGATTTATCTATGGCTAAAGTGAAACCAATTCTAACATTAAACCAGGGTGAAATCCGTGAACTAAATCTCTTGGCACAGCAAGCTCAACGTTTACAGATACCACCACAGGATTACGAACATGCTATGATTATGATCACACCTGATCAACCACAACATCAACATGACATTGGCCGACAACCACTTCTACTGGCTGCTGCTAATGTTGGTCAATTACACGATGAAACACAGGAACAAGTGACTAACCATTTTGAACCAGATATTCGACCACAAAATACGCAATTGATCACTCCCATCCCTGAACATATGGCTAAAGTTGAACAAGATATTGCCGTTTTTGAAAATATCTCATCAACAAACATTCAAACACCTTCTCGAAATCGATTGAACGAAGTTCCGTCGGACAGCGGTATTGTCTCCTTAAATACCTCGCAAGCGAGTGAACAACCTATTGTATTAAACGCATCCCGTATTCGTCTGTTAGAAACTTCCGAAGAACATCGATTAGAACAATTACGCGAAGATGATTATTATCAACGACGTATACGTGCATTAGATCTTCTTCGTCAAGTAGAAACAGACCCAAATATGAACATTCAGCCTATTTATCATACTCCAAGTCAAGTTTTTGAACACACAACACCTATTCCGGCGTCCAATATTACTACTGCACAAACACGTATTACCGACACACACCGAATCGATCGAATTGAAACATTAGAACATACTGATGGACCTGTTATATACGAAACAATCGACCAAGAAGTTGTCCAGAGAATTCCTCCACAACAATATGTGACAAGTACAGATGTTCGACAAGATCAGCGGACAAGTAATCGAGCTGAAAAACATCAAGTTAAATGGGAAGAACCAATGCCAGTCAAAGAGCATCATTCACAACAAAATCAACTGACTGACACCACATACGAACATACCAGTCCATTTACTTCTGATCCATATTCTGCACGACATAATCTACATTCAACAGAAGAACCTTCTCAACTTCTATCAACATCGAAACACACCCAAGACAATATTGTCTATAATTATGGTGAGTAAATTTAAGTACTTAGAGTGTTTTTTGTTTCACTATGAATCATGAATCATTAGAAGTGCCAATGATTGAAGTATCTATCACTATACCAGCTTCATTTTTATGTGAGTTAAGCTGCTTTTCTACAGTTCTGATTGATTGATATTGCTCAAAAAGAAAAAAACTATTGATTTTCCTCTTGTTTCAATTAATTATGCTTATACCGATTTCATTCGTGTTTTTATTAGGTGAAAAAAATGAAGTTCCACTGTCTCGAACATCATCATTTAGTTCGGATCAGAACTTAAAACGTCCAACAACCGATTCAGCACGTATTGAATACGATCGTCATAGTTTATCATCACTCGATGATATAACTCAACCAGTATCCTACCATCCACCAGCACGAACACAGCACGATCAACATTTTATTACTCAGGTAAATACACTTCGTCAAATAGGCTTTAAAACAGGCATCTTCTTCCAATGAAAACAATTTATTCACTGAAAATATATCATTTCGTTTCTGTTTTCAAAGGATATTGACGTAGAACCAATGGCTTTACGTGAAGAAACTGCCATTGAAAACGAAGTTTCTTACGAAGGTTCGCTTGGTCGTGCATCACTACGTGGTCCTATCCAATCATTGAATGCCCCGAGAACGGTAAGTGGAATACGGCTGATTCTTAGGAAGCTGCTCGATGAGGTGTTGGTTAACTATGACACACTTACATATGCATATGCATAGTAAAAGAGAAAAAAAACATAGCATATGGTAAAAGGTCTCACAAACGGGAAAATAATATTATTTCTTTCTTCGATATTGTTTTCACATTGAATCTCGCAGCTTCATTTGCTTGCTTTTCATGTTGTATCCACACATGCGTTCAGTAAGAGCTCATGTGCTTTGTTTTTTTTTTGTTATTCTTTCCCTCCATGATTTTGATCTATTCACCAAATCCAAAACACATGCATCCTATATATATCCTTCTAGCTTGCTGAGACAAATATCCCGGCTTTGCTGCTCGAAGAGCTGACTACTGCTATTTCAGCTGTCGAAGAACAGCATGCTACACAAATAATGAATAGTGGTTACGATCCAGAGATGTTCACAAGAATTGAACAAGGAAATCGAGTCTCCACTGTTGTCTACGATACAGATTGGAAAGATGAACAAACCAAGACACTTACCACTGAAATGCGACCCAACTCAGCTACGGCAGAAGAAAAACGACCATTACGAACCGAATATGAACAGGCCAAAATTCATTCTCCCAAAGCGATTCTTGCTCGTGAACGCTTCGAACGTATGGAAAACAATAATCAGGAAACAACGGCAGATATCGAAACGCAAGCCCATCAATCCGATCATGTGTACGAAAGCGTTCATTCGTATGATGAGCTCGTTTCAGTTGAACGTCATACTAATGAATCATACGAAGATTCACTTCTAACCGAACGCGCAGTAGATAATCAAGAAATTCTATGTCGTCCTCTGACAAATCATTTGCAAATGACTGATGAACACGCATCATTGTTATCAGATGATTCTCTTCACACTCATCACCGAGAAACAACTAATGTAAATTTAAATGACGTAGCTTCTTTAGAAAATCCTCTTCGTTCTACTGCTTTTGTAACCCTAAGTTATCCCCATCAGAATCAAGAAATCAATCCGCCATGGCAACGGATCGTAGACGAGCATCTTCCCGAACAATACCAGCAAGAAAACATCCGACTTCAAACAGAAGAACCATCACCACGATATTTACCGACGATCTTACCCGCTGCAAATGAACAGTCTTTGCATGAGTCAGAGAACTATGCCAAAGCCTTGCGGCAAGCATCACCAGTACATGAATATGTTGATGTTCAAAGTACTGACCGCATACAATTAGTACCATCTCAACAAATCAACCAATCACGACCGATCTGTCGCGTTCGTCAGCAACAAGTTTCATCAGCGGATGAACTTGATTATTCAACAATTTCCTCAATTCATCCTGATCACATTGATCAAATTGATGCATCCATCTCAAATCCACCGTTGATCGACACTGTTCATATTCAACCACCGCCTACTGTCGTCGACATTGAAGTTCGGGTTCGACCAACCTACTCAGACACATCATCACTGCCGGATATGGATGCATACTTAACTCGGTTTGAAGATACATTCGAACCTGAGCAACATTTACCATTGGTCGATCAAATCTCTCTCTCGTATACGACGTCCTTTCGCTCAAATCAAGATAGTACACGCCGTGCTATCGAACGTTATGAACAAGAGCATCCCTATTTCAGCCGAGCTCTGCCAACAGAATGGTTCACATCGAATATCTTTCCACACGATGAACAACTAGTCGAACAATGGACTGTAGAGAAAAATCTCGAAACAATTCAACAGCAACAACAACGTCAGCAAGAACAGGTAGAGTTGAGAACTAATACTGAGTGTGCAAATGTTAACCTTTCTGCTGTTACTACTGATGCTTCTTCTGTTGGTGAGAGGTTCGAAGAAGAGAAATCGACTAGTAATACTACCGATACAACAAACAGTGAACAACAAATCAATCAAATTGCATCAGCGGTTATTACGAGCCATTGTTCACCAACAAGTGATTATGAAACCGATTCACTTGACAAAGACAACGATACAACGTCTACAACCACAAGCATGGACGGTGGTCTAATCGTCGCGACTACCCCAATACAACAAAACATACCAGATCAATCTACAGATAGTAAATCTGTTAATGATTTAATTGATACACTAGAGAACGAACAAAACGACAAGACAGATCTTGTCAAAGATCTCCTCTTGACACTTAGTTATGACCAACATGAAGCTAAAGATATGTATCGTGCTAAGGAACATGAGATTGTTGAACAAGACGACCATATTCTTCCATTCAATTTCGATGATCATCAACGTGAACTATTAAATATCTTTTTCGAACCAGCTCATTTTCATTTACCGTTGATCAATGAAATTTCCATCTATCAAATCACTTTTCATAATGAGCATCCATTGTTTTCTCCTTCTTCGCCGCTTCCTCTCGCTATCACTGATCACAATGATCATCTCCTCCTATCCAATGAATGCAAAACAAATGAACAAGAAATACTTTCCATTGCCGAAGTTCAGGATCAATCCGATCACGAAGAAGATCTTCAAAATATCACACCCAAACATGAACATCTATCCTACATCGAACATCATCATATTCAATCATTGTATTCATTTGGTGAAACTCTTTCTGTTCATATTGATGAGCCACCGAAAATCATTGAGAATGAAGACGAACAATCAATTGGAAGTATTTTACCTGATGTCGTACCATCAACTGTGCCAACTCAAAGCGAGGTAAACTATGATCAATGCAGCAACACGAGATTAGAGAAGCAGGGTCGCCTCTATATGCATGTTCATTATTTGTTCGTTCAATCAAATAAACTATACTTGTAGTCAATCAATGTATTAGGATACGAAGTTCATGATGAAATTACTTCGAACCTCTTACTATTTTTGTTGTGCTTGTTAACGCTTCTTGCTTGTGTTTGCTTCTTGTTCTTTTACACTAATCAATCACTTTGCTAACATGCTATTTGCTTTAAACTAATACGTTTGCATGCTGTAGATGATATGCTTTATGGGCAGTAGTGAGACTAACCATTAACTTTTAATATGTTTTTTTTCTTATGAGATAGAACTGTTCGATAAAGTTTTCGAGAAGACATATCTCAATACTATATCAGTTTTATTTGATACATAGTCGTTCCTTTTATCTAATCAAACAAAAAATTCCTTTTCATAGCTTCGATAGCCTTCACATACATATGTTTAATATTAAGTAGGAATAGATAATGTGAGGAATTCTAACGAAATAAACACGACCTAGTCACTTTTTCTTTCATTTGATCAATCCTCGATTCTCGATGGATTGATCAGAAGAAGAAAAAACGCTGAAATCATGAGTTGAATGTGAGGTGTGTTAGGTAAATATAAACATATAGTAATAGACCAGTGTTTTATCACGAAATAAAACAATTAAAAGAATGCACGTCCCGATTAGTGTCCAGCTTTCATTTATTCGTTCAAACAAACACACGTGCATATAGAGGAGAAAATCTAAAGAGAAGAGAGAGAGAGAAGAAATGAAGTATCATTTCTACCCATTGAATCCGTCTAAATGCCAACATCATTATATTCATTCTTCATAACCTATGAACTGAATAAAAGAAACATACTGTTCATGCCAACGGGCAACTAACATATCTTCTCTTCGTCTTCATCATCTTGGTCATCAATAACATCACACATTGAGAGTATGAATAAGTACTATGTCTTATCGGTCTATAGTCGATGAGTCGAGACACAATCCGCTCTCTCTCTTCTTGTTATTCTTCATCTTTTTCTTCTTATTCATCATCTTTTCAAAAGAGCAGTCAGTCAGAGTCGATATGGGTGATAGTGATCTTTTTATATGTACAAAATGTATTCAACGGTCGAGTAGTCCTGTTAGTACAGTGTTGTATATATACATCGACATACATCGATAAAGGCAAAGAGAATATGCATAAGTAGTGCAAATTGAGAAGGTCATCAGCTTGTAGAACTAAGATAGGGAATCCCTACTAACACAATAGAATATCAAAAAACTTCTTCAATTGATTTGACAATGAACTAAACTAAGTGTTACATATCAACAATTATCTTTTCTTCTGTCTTTTATCTAGGAATATATTCATCATGAAGCAAGAGAAGTAACTATTTTGCCAACAGATCCAGCAATTGAACCAAAAGAATTTTATTCATCATTTGATCGAACCGAAACTGCACGACAAAGCAAACACAGCTATAATTTAGAACGTTTATCTGAACAAAAATATGTCGAAATTAATATAGCCACGCCTACACCATCAATGCGTAAAGGTAGAACAAACGTTTTTTTTCCTTATCGGAATCAGTATAAACTCGACATTTACACACGCACGTCTCTCTGATTCATCTAAAAAAGAAATAATACCTTTGTGTCATAGTAGTTGCGATAATAATTATTCGAAACAGCAGTATGAGGACGACAATTTATATATATTTGCGATTGACGTATACTCTCGAACGAAGAAAAAAGAATCCGAGAAAAATGTACAAGTATATATATATATATTTATATAGAATGAGTTGTTAGGATTTCAACGAAGCCGTAAATATTGCCCATCGAATACATCATTAGTATTATTAGTATTGTGCGTTTTAGAAATCAACATTTATCTGTAGTTATAAGAAAAGAAAACAATATCTTGATAGTTCGTTACTTCCTCTCTCTGTTCTCTTTGTGTGCATTTTTCTTCTTCTTTGTTTTATCAATTTCTTTCTTGTGCGAAATCAGAACGGAACAAATGTGCTGTCCTCGTTTTCAGTTCGACACAAGTTTATATGACGAGTGCCGGCCGATTTCTTCTTCGAACAGACCTTTTCTAAGAAGTCGAAGGTAAAATATTTTCTTTCTCGCTCGCCAGTGATGATGATGTTGCATAGTAAAACCTCGCTAGTCATAAAACTTGAGCGATGTGGAAATGGCAGATCATAAAACCTATCGAATAAAAGCAACTTCAACTGTACTTATTTTTTTTCCGTCTACTTGAACTTGTCATCTCGGCATTTTTACCTTCTTTTTTGTTAAATACATCTGATCAAGTCCGACTACTAGCCGTTTCACTTTGCATCTTAATCATTCAGACATCTATTGAGATAGACAAGATTTCAACGGTGTTTTTTTCTTTCTCTACTTGATCATGCGTCGAGTTATTTGTTCAGAGCATATGCCATCAAAATAATCCTTAAGTATGTTGAAGTTTTGTCTGCAATCGGTGGATATTGATAACAGAAAGAAAGAGAATAGGTATTGAGTTTCTCATTCATCTTGACTACAACAACCACTACCACTAGACAGCACGGTAGTCCGATGAAGAGAAGGAGAAAGGATTACGTGACACGATATCATTTCTTTCATATAACATTCAAGACATTGAACATCCCGTTAAAACTAAAAAAATAATAAATATAGAATTAAATCTTTAAGTCAAATAGACAAATCGAAAGGAAAGAAGTTAGAATTGAAGGTTGCGACTACTTCTTTTTTTCTTCTCACTTCTCACTTTCTTTCTTTATTGATTTGATTCTTTCATCATTATTGTAAGAACTCAAGGATATTCTTATTCCATTATAGGTATGTTTCGTTGAGAAGAAAAATGAAACAGCTCAAATGACGTGCGCAAAAGGCAAGGTCGTGGAATGTGTATAGGATGCACCAATAGCTGAGAAAATCTCCTTGAAAAAATCTTTTAATATACACGCATATAAATCTTCATAGACGCCTTTCTCTATAGAAATAATTAGAACTGGATCGTTGAGTAGATGAATGTAAAACATGGCAGAAACATTTCTTTTTTTCCTATTGATCGGCTTTTCTTGTTCTATAGAATAAAATAACACGAAAATAAATACGCCACAACTTGTGTTGACGCGTTTACTTTTGTGTCCCGATATCGACGAGAAACGACAATATTTTTTAAAAGGCCTGTCGGTAAACACAGAAGTGCCACTGAGCGATACTTGTGTAAGAAATCAAACGAACAAAGCCGCAGAGAAAGAGAAAAAGAGAACGATTGCAATGATTCGTATATTGTCATTACTCCCTCGGACGATATTTTGGATTTTGTGTGCTGAGGGTATAGGCTATGATTAGAAGAGAAAGGAGAGAAGAGAAGATGAAATTTAGAATCATTTCGATTATGACGGTTGAGAGAGAAAAGTTTTGAACTTTATCAAATATAACAATCGCTTTGTTCTCGCTTTCTCTTTATTAAATTCCACAGAAAAAGAAGAAAAAAAAAGAAAGGAAGAAAAGGTAATCAATTGTCGATAGGTATGTGGAAAATGAAAAAATCTATCGAAGAAGATACCGCAGCGTACCCGTTCTTTACACTATAAAACAAAAGACTAAACGGTACCAACAACGATAGTCTCACTTCATCCTACATTTCGATCTTTTTTCTCTCTTCCATTTACTGAATAAATCCTGATAAGACAAGTGATTTTTCTTCTTCATCATCTTTCCACTACCTATACAAATACTTCCTACTGCTTCACAAATACTGAACAACGACTACCAGTAGTCATTATTATCCTTCATAATCAATTATTCTTTCTTGGCACACGAAATTCGAAAGGAAAAGTTCAATGTACTAAGAAGATTTGTCTTCTTGAATAATGAACATATCATCACCGCCTTCATCAATGAATAGAACAAGCGAATTTCAACCAGAAGCTTCGACACCGACGGGTGCCACGCTGAGACTAACGATTGAATATCGAAGTAAGATTAACAAAGCAAAACGAATTAGTCGGCTCAGTTTTTTTTCAATTTCATATATTCGAGTGTTAAATGAACTACATCTTTACATACACATGTAATATAAAGAGTCAATTGAGTTACGAAACAAGAGCGTGGAGAAGGTTTAATAATTTCATCATCGATCATTGAAAGTTTCAAGTACTCGCTCCTCCTCCTCTTTTCTTTCTTTATTTCTCTTCTCATAGTTAACACGCAGACAATCGTTTTCTGCGGTTTCTCTTTCACTGAATCTATGTATATAATACATATGTACATAGTCTTTATATATATATATATATATATACCGGGAGGATTGATGATCAATAATCTGAATAGAAAATATACTTGTACACATAAAAAATAGAAATATGAGAAGGACAACACGTTGACATAAATGAAATCATAGTAAATGAGTTTTGTTGATTTTGGCGTCTTTTTTTTTCATTACTGTGAAAGCGAGGAAAATAGATAGAATTCGTTACTAATGACTTTTCCTCTTTGTGAATTTAGTTCGTCCGACACCTTCAGGTCATTTCATAGAAGACCTTTCGATGGAGAACACTATTGATACAAGAGAAGAGAAAATTGAGTACCATTACATTGAAGATCGAGATAATCTTCAATATGCGTCTACATTAACAAAAGAGCATTCGGAACATTTACCACCGAAACATCTACCAGTCGAACAACATCCAAATCTGGAACGCGCACGTATACTATTAACATCGGAAGCGCCAGCAAGCAATACCAATCAAGACGATGAAGTTTTAATACGGGATACAATTGTTCAACATATAAGCGAAGATGAAAAATCAACATCAAGTGAAGAAGTTGTGTTTGAAGAATGGAGCGAAGAGTTTCGTTGCCGTCGTACCGAAGTGTATGATCAGCAAACACATAAATTATTGCGTACAACTATTGATGAAACAAGTGAACGTGTTAAAAGTGATGTTATCAAAGAAGAATACAAAGAGAAAAACGAACGCATCAAAGGACATAAAAGCTATGACGTTGTTAAAGAAGTTTATCGACGTGTACCAGCAAACACAGTCGAGCCAGGCCGGGCAACGATTGTTAGTACTGTTGATAATTCTCAAAGTCATCTATACGAGGAAATAGCGCAAGTCCCATCTTCGGTACGACCAACAACTTCATCAGCCAATGATCAAAGAATAGTTATTGGTATGTGTGCTCTTTTCATTCGTAAATGTTGACCTTTATTTTTTAATCTATAAATCTCATTTTAGAACATAAACCAGGTAACGATCAATGGACATCAGAAGATATCTACACAACCGAAATTGTTTATGATGCTAAACTTGCTCGAGATATTGAATCCTCGACTCATCTCGATCGTTCCAGTGCGCGATTCGATTCGAGAACTCCAACGCCAACACCACCACCACCATCAACCAATTATGATCGTGTTCGTATAGGGCAATATCCACCTATACCATCTGCAAATCAAGCAACCATATCAACGGTACCATCATCAAATTATGACCGTATATCTAGCATTGCAACAACTACTACCACACATTTGCCTGAACGACGTCCTACAGAACGTGAAGAACATGTTAGTGAGGAGTATGAAGTCGAATTCGAACGTCGTCACTTAGATCGACGTTCACCGTTCAATCAACATCAAACAACAAATATTGGTACTCGACAAGGACGCGATGAAACATCCGAGGAAGAGGTTTCCGATCCGTACGTCATCACTGGTGATAATACATATTCTGGATTAACAGCAATCGTTAACGAAGCTGGCCAACGACGAAACTCAGATTGGAGACAGAAACTCAAAGAAGTCTACACGCCAGCATCTGACGACGAACGATTTGATCAGGTAAAGAGAGACACAGTCTGCAAAGTCATAAGTTTTTGTTCACCTGAGTATTTGAAGCAGAAAGAGACATTTGAACACAGAAATCTCATTTCCCCTATTCCCTATATGTCGCAGTTTGGAAAACAAATCAATGGCAGCTATGCAGCACAACGTGTTCTCATTGTTCCAACGAGTAACCAAGAACAAATGAACCATTTGGAAAGAAAGGTACCTGCACAAGATAAAGCATCTCCCCTACTCCGTCATGTTATCAAAGAGATCCTTGTTTGCCGACCTCGAGGATCATCATCATCACCAGAAAAAGCACTGCACCATCAAATATCACATGATCCTCTATTGTTGAATGAGATGAAAGACGAGAAAGAATCAGCACTAGATGCTGATGATGTAAGTGATGAGAATACGAACAAATTCTTGCACGTTTGCATGCATGTTCAATCAAAGATCATCCTTATACTTTTTTCCCCTTTCGTTCAAATCAATTGTGTCATGTACCTATTCATCAAAGGTTAATCTTCTACATCATCTTCTTCTTCTCGTATTCCTATGATTGTTATTATTTTTATACACATTTCTTATTAATGTTCGAATACATGCATTTTTTAAATATATTTCTCTCCATTTAGACTGCTCGTTCGCGCGAAACAACAAAGAAAGTGATTTCAGTCACTCGTACCGATGATGAACGACCACAACCTCCAAGACGCTCGTCATCATCTTCATCCATTATTGACGATCGCCGAACTCGATTCGAACAGCAACAACAATTCGACAGTTCAAGTGGCTTTAGTACCAATGTCAGCGATCGACCTACATTTGGTCGAGTAGGTGAACTCAAAACTGCATTTGAATCATCCACAACAACAAGTACAAGAGATGATAGTTCAAAATTCCGATCAACGACAACACCTGGACTAATCGAACAACGTCGACGCCTATTCGAGGATCAAGAACAAACCAATAAAGAATGGTCAGCAACAAATCGTCGACCGGTAAGAATCAAGCACTACTATTTTCCTAATTTTTAAGATAATTCTTCAGTTAATATACTCAGCTTGCCCTGGGTCAATACTCGCTTATCTTTTCTTGAGTGTTTGTTTACGTCTGCGTAGATTTGCTTTTTCCCCTATTCTCTTATTATACTAATCGGTAAGGAAAGGAGTAGAATCAATTTACTTAAAAGATTATAAATCATCAATCGTCATCTCCTCCAACAAAATATTACATTGACAATTGTCACACCACAGAAACGAGTTTATCATAGACATCTCTGATGTCTTGGATGTATGCAATGTATGTATGTATTTCTAAACCATACTTATCTATTGATGATTTCTTTGTTGTTTTTTTACGTTTTGACAATGATCAAATCACTTCGTTTTTATCTCTGTGACTTAAGCATTTCGAACGAGAAGAACAAGAAAGAGAGAGACGAAAGACATGAATTAAATGAAAGTGGTTGTTCACGAGCTAATCCATGTCATACACACGACACCGGAGAGAAAGATTGAGTGAGCTTCACACACATACGTATGCAGACACATTTAATCACGACGAATATAATGAGAAAAGTGAAAAACAAATGATGCACGAGAAAGGAAAGTGTCGAGTTTTTAGAGGAAAACTGTCTATCTTCCAGGTAAGGAATATCCATTCTCACTCAAGTCCTTTGTACATAGAAAAAAGTTCGCAAATTTTAAAAATACCTTCTGTATCTGATTAGGTTGATGAATTTTCATCAAATGAACGTCGCATGAGTGAAACTCATACTACACCGTCACGTGTTAGTGCGATTAAATCAACATTGGAATCATCAACAACTAGACAACCTGAACCTTTGCCTGTGTCTCATACTAAAGTCGATGTAACAATTAAAGAAAAACGAACGATTTCTTCTGTTGATTCAGATGGTAGTGGAGCATCACCACCTATTCATCAAAGCACACCAAAACCAACAAAACAAAAACTAGAGGACGATGCTGGTCATGAAAGTGAGGATGAACTAAGCGATCTAACAAATAAACAAGAGCAATATCGTCGACAATCGAAAACACGTCTACGAGACTTCTCACAAAGCACAGCTCAAACAGTTGATTCAACATATCTTAATCAACGAACAAAACCGTCGTTCAATGAAACCAACATGGAAAGTATTCTTTCACATGTACCGGCAAGTAAAGGTTAGTTCATATATCTCTTGCAGAGATTCGTTAGGTTTTCGAATCAACTTCTTCTTTCTTATCATTAGGCAAAGGTCTCCTAATTGAACTTTCACCACATATCTCTCATGAATCACCAATCACAAGCACAACAACGACAAAAGCCGTTCGTGATACACATAAGTTGGTGACAGGTTCTGATTCGGGCATTTTCGAATACTCAACAGCAACAAGTCAACAACCACCTGCAGCTTCTTCGTCGTCATGGCGTAACAATGTTTCATTCTCAGTCAATGATGATGCGAATCATTCACAAACAGTTCGCGACAGTGGTGTCTATCTTGACTCAACAGCTGGCAGCCAACGCTTTGGCCGACGACAACCTTCTGATACTGATCAAACAACAATTCACGGCGGAGATGATTCAGTTTCACGCTCAACATATCGATATGAAACTGAAATCATTTCCACTGATCAGTTGAATCAACATCAACCACCGCCACGTAACGTTCGTCCAACAGTTCGTTCACCAATATCGGATTACGAAACAATTGCTAACTACCATAGTGGAACAGGTTCTCAACGTCGAGTTCCGGTTACAACTGAATCACGTACTATTCGACCAAAACCATTAATTGTCGATGAAATTGAAACGATAGAAACAGAAACACGTGTCGAATGTCAAGTACAACGTACGCATGAAATAAAAGAGTCAACTACAAAAACCGAACGATCAAGTAGTCCAGGAGCAGCGAAAAAGATTATTACTACAACAACAACTACGACAACAACAACTGCTGCACCCACGATCCGCTCGCCAGAAAGTCTATCGGATGAAATCATTCGTACGACAACACCCTCAAAACGAGTCCTACTCAATGAACGACCTCAGTACTATGATTCGAATAAAAACTATGGTATGATGATCTCTAAAAATGAAATGATATTCTTTACGGTTATTTCATTTTAGATTCACCTATTGCTATTCGTTCACGACCTGAATCAACCTATACACCAACAAAAGAAGTTCGCCAACAAACTCAAACCTATCGTGAAAGTGGTATTCGTGAACATCGTTTGGACTCTCCTCAGTCGGATGTTATCTCCTACACCTTACCACCCTCTTCATTCATACAACAAGGTGAATCCGGACGTGTGGAAGAAACTTGGTTTAAACCAATTCAACATGATCGTTCACAAGATAGTCAGCGTCAAAGTCCATCGTCTCGATCAAACGTTCGTACATTGAGCGCTGGTCCACGTGCCGTTGAAGTAACATCATTGAGTCCACAGAATCAAGTCACATTTGGTAAATACTCTCCAAATCAAATTATTGCCATTGTACGTGTACCTGAACTCTCCAATGGCAATAATAATGCTCGACCTAGTCCACCAATACGACATGGAACAAGCGAACCTGAACTGTACGTGCGAGCCAAACAAGAAGCAGCAGAAGAACAGCAGCAACAGCAACGTTCACGTTTACAATACCAACGCGTTCAAGCAAGCAGCTATCGTCCACCATCGATCACTCAAGAATATCAACAAAGACAAAGTCGATCACGCACTGGTAAGTTGACACGAAATAAGAAGAAAAAGAAAAAGAAAAGAAAAACGATGATTTGAAATTCTTTCCTCATGACTTACTTTCTTTATTTCACGTCGATTTTGTTTCATTTGTAGCACGATCAGGTTCGCGTTTTATTTACTTGTGCTACCCTCTTATTGGGTGCAAGCGAATATAAACACTTGTGTTCATTCTTCAAGCTTTTGCGTTTACTAATGACTTTGTTCTATCTATCTATATATCTATCTATTTTATGAAGAACTATTTTTACATATGCATTTTTATGATATTTTAACAAAATATTTATTTTTTGAACTTGAGCTAATTTATGTTTGCTTTTTCTAGGTCCGTATGAAATTACAAATGAATATTCATCTCCGGTAGGAGCCCATACACGTTCGTCATCATACCATTCAGCTTTACACGATCAAGACAGCCAACAGCAACAAGATCGCGATGAATATCCACATTCTTCTCACTCCGGAACGGCTTATCGTCGTCAACCACAACGTCGTAGTGGCAGTCTCGGTACTCTTCTCGGACCAAATATTGAATTTGAAATTGAGATCGAAAAACGTCCACCACAACAACCTGAACAACCAACGGTAGTTTCACTCGATCAACCTACACGAGCCATCGTCACCTCATCAAAAGATGGTCGAGTGTCTATTCGAAATGTCGCTGCACGTCCAGGAAATACACTTGTGATCAATAGTGATTTTCATGCATCCGATCGCTCATTAAATCGTTCATCTGGCTACTTTAGTTCGGAAGAATTGCGTTCCCAGGGTCTGAATACAAATTACTCGAGCGATGAACAATCAAGTGGTGCTGGTGCCAATCAGAATCAACATTCTCAATCATCCAACACACCATCGTCGATGCACGCACGACGTTATAAAAATAATGAGCAAGGTTTTTCAAAGCTTCCATCACACTATCGCCCAAAACAGCAGAATCATTATCAACAATTAAATACTGAAAATTTCGATCAGGTTAATCGCATTGTTAATCGTTATTCACGACAATCAAATACCGCAGCTGGTTTCAACGACGCTATTGATCAAATCGATGCACTCTACAATAATCTTGATGTTCAAACCAATGAAGATTATATTATGAGAAGCAATCCAACAACAACAACTCCTCCATCTACATATGATTTCTCCCAGCCAACATCTGTAACCAATCGTCGTAAATACTTATCACAAAATGCTAATGATTATTCGAAACGTTATTCCTCAACTGGCTTTCAACATGTTCCAGCTCAACACGAACAGGAAATCATCACAAGTAATACAAATTCACGACATCTTGTTTCGCCGCCAACAACATTCAGTTCGGAAAAACGTCATTATGATACACATCGAGCACTGAGTGATAACGAAAACTTGAACAGTGTCAATGAACACAATCGTCGATGGGGCTCAACATCATTAAATGATCTTGTTATGGCAACACCAATACGACCTTCACAATCATTATCATCATCAGGCATCTTAGCTGATTATGCTACACCTGGCTCTGTCAGTCCGAATTCCGGTTTTGGATCAACGCAAAATGTTATCCTTCAACAAAATCGTTTGAATGCACAATCACAAATCGTGCAACGTAATCGAACGTCAGTCAAACAAATGAAACAAAAGAGTGCAGCGAAGAAACGAACGGGAGGCAATCAGGGGTATGCCGAAAAAGTCACTTTATTCATTTCAATCTATTCATTTGCTTACTTTTTTTTCACAGGCAATATAGCGATGAAGAAGATGATAATGATTCTCTTGGTGACCATGATTCACCACTGTCGGATACTGGCCGTCCACAACCACCAACTCGATCATCTAACCGTCAACAATAAATCAGCAAACTAAAATCTGCAGTGGATGTCAGATTAATCTGTGTGAATGAACGTCAATTGAATGATTCTTCCGTGTGTGTGTGTGTGTGCGTATTTTGAACTCTATTTGTGCGAAGATTATTTGCTCCAGGTCGTCAACTAATTCGTTTTTCTCTCAGGAAAATTCTATTCGTTCCGATTAGAACACTCATTAGATACAGCCAAAGACCGGAATGAATAAGCAACTGATGTTAGAATAGTTTTATTCATTATCTATCAATACCTGCTTATTCACTTATACGAGAGAAAAATCATTCACTAGATGCTATTGCTTCTTCTTCTTCTTCTTCTTTTTTTTTCTTTTACCTTTTTTTATTATTACAAAAGAAAACACCGACAGTTGCTGCTGCGTTTCTTGAATCGTGTGAAATTTGTATGGTATGATTGTCTAATTTCCATTTTTGTGTTTATAAAATTACGTTTTTTTTTGTTCTTTTTTCCGTCTCATCTATTATTCATTCGTAATTCAACTATTTTTTTCTATCATAAATAAAAATTACACTTTTCAAATCTAGAACAATTCATTGTTTTCTATTCTCCATTTTCTCGGACAAAGTTTCTCATTCGTAAGAATTCGACGGATTACAAGAAAATAGCATACGAAGATGAACTAGTATCATTCGGCATTTATTAAACATGTTCGAATCCATTTCATAGACAAGATGTCAAATGACCTTTTTGATATGGATTGAATAACGCAGACTGGATTGATACTGTTCGTTCTAAATGATAGTTGTGTAACTTATCCACGAATATCGGAAGAGAATTAGCGGACGAACGAAGATTGCAAGGGATAATCATCAGTAACTCCTCGATTTCGTGACAGTTATATTGAATATATATGAATAATTCATCGATGAATGTATTTAAATATAAAAATGACACTTGACTGATATCCGCATGTTTACGGACCTCATCCAAACGTGAAAGAACGAAACGACCATCGTATAATTCAATTTGGATGTTTAATGACAAAACGATCGAACGATTTGAAGTATAATTTAGTCGATCCTGAATGCATGTATTTGAAAAAAAAGTTGATATCATGCTGGTTAGTTATACTTCACGAAAGAAAAAAAAACTTATCGGAAATATAACAGAACCAAATGAAAGTGAATATTCTCAGTATGCCTTTCATGATTGTGACAGATGTTATTTTAATAAAATTCATATTGAATATATTCGTCTGCTTCTTTTCGTACTGATGACTACATGTACTGCTGCTGACATCTTTTGAGTGATTTGTTCGTTGGTTAGAAAGTATTTATGATTTTTTACGATCCACATTTACCTCATTACCTTGGACTCGGAATAGTAATATTCTGCAAGAATTGTTCTCTTTGAAGGCTTTAATTCTATTGGGAGTGATCTTACCTTTTTTTCATTGTACAGGGATATAATTGGCTCTGTTTTCTAGAATAATATTATCTGCATTTAGTGATCGATGGATTTCGAAGCTGATGCGCTCATCGCACAAGTTACTCGTAAAGAATCACCTGATACATTTGGTTTAATCACTTGTGCACTCTTTCATCAACCGAAACCAGCGCTATTTGCTGATTTTTATCGTAAATTAACTGAAGAATTATACAATAGTTTTACCGACGACGAAAAACAATCCGTTTATCTTTATCCGATCGCGCACTTACACATCACCATTTCCACATTGTATAACTTCAAACATTCGAAGCCTCAATTTCCTGAACAATGCTTAGAATTTTGGAAAGAACGATTCACCCAACTGAAACAAACGTCGAAAAACAAGCCGATTCGTCTCTCACTAGAAGCCATTCAACTTTCCAAAGCTGCTGGTTTCTTCTTGTATAAAGATGAGCAGCATGCAGTTGATGATCTTCGTCAATCGATTCGAACTATTTGCATACCAGAAGAAGGACAACCGCCTTTGCATGTGCCAAATATTGTTCATACATCATTTTTACGTTTTATAAAGAAACCAGCCGATCCGGGTCAGTTTGAAGAAAAATTTCACCGTATTTGTAAAAAGATCTTCGAACAAATAGGTGAAATGTTTTTAGAATTTGATGAAGTTTGTTTAGCATTTGAATCTCAACCGTATATGCATATCGAATGTGATGAATCTCATGTACTTGACGTAATGAAATGTTAAATTTTTCTTTCAGATTCTGTTTTTTTCCTAACGAAATGTCGACTGAGCGTAATGGAAAACAGAAAAATCTTGACGGTACGATTTCAATCGATCTAACGTATGAATGACACAATTTATTGTAGACGATGACCTCGATGAATGTCAGCATGATAATCCAACATTCCGAATTTGTTGCATCGGTAAGATTAGTTTATAGCAGTTGCAAAAAAAGTCACTTGGTATTTGTATTAGGTGCTGGATATGTTGGTGGTCCAACATGTGCCATCATTGCCAGCAAATGTCCACATATACAAGTGACAGTAGTTGATGTTAGTGCAGAGAGAATCGCTGCATGGAATTCTGATCATTTACCATTGTTCGAAGTAAGTTTTATCATCGTTCTGTGACATAGTAACGTCGAAAACGATTTCGTTTAGCCGGGACTTGAAGGAATAGTTAAAAAGATTCGCAATCGTAATTTGTTCTTCTCAACTGATACGAAAACAGCCATTCGAGAAGCTGACCTAATCTTTATTAGTGTTAATACGCCAACGAAGTCCTATGGATTTGGAAATGTAAGTACAATTGAACATACTCGTCTTCTTTTTTCGCAACATCTGTCAAAAATATCAGATTATAGTGACATAGGATTATAAAAATAACAATAAGTATCACGTAGTATTGCTGCTGTATGATAACATTATAGAGTTTGACATGAAATTTATTTTGCTGTACGACTGATATTATTTTCGGTTGTTTTAAATAAAAATGCTTAGTCTTTTTGGTGTTTGTAGGGACGAGCACCGGATTTACGTTATGTAGAAGAAGCCGCACGGCAGATTGCTCATACGGCAACTAGCAATAAAATCGTTGTAGAAAAATCAACAGTACCTGTCAAAGCAGCTGAATCAATAAAGACAATTTTAAAGACAAACAAGCAGCCTGGTGTCAGCTACCAAGTTCTATCGAATCCCGAATTCTTAGCTGAAGGCTCAGCAATCAGTGATCTTCTAGCACCCGACCGTGTTCTCATCGGTGGCGATGAAACAATCGAAGGATCATTGGCGATCAAAAAATTAGCCTGGATCTATGAACATTGGGTACCGAAAGAGAAAATTCTTACAACGAACACGTGGTCATCGGAATTATCGAAATTAGTTAGTGATTCGATTATAATTTTGCAGAACAAAACAATGAACTGAATTCACTTAGGTTGCTAACGCATTTTTAGCTCAACGCATCTCAAGTATCAATACAATATCTGCTGTCTGCGAAGCAACAGGTGCATCTGTAAGTGAAGTGGCCAAAGCAGTTGGTTTAGACTCACGTATTGGCAACAAATTTTTGAATGCGAGCATCGGTAAATTGATATCCTAGTGTCAGTTAACAAAATGTTCATCGATTGAATGTAATTGATAGGTTTTGGTGGTAGTTGTTTCCAGAAGGATGTTTACAATTTAATTTATCTTGCTGAATCTCTAAAATTAGAACCAGTCGCTCAATATTGGTTGCAAGTGATTAAAATAAACGACTGGCAACGTGAGCGGTTTGCACAGATGATTGTGCAGAATTTATTCGGAAGTGTTAGCAGTAAGAAAATCGCTATTCTGGGATTTGCATTCAAAAAAGATACAGCTGACACGCGGTAATCCTATCCAATAGAACATTGAAAAAGTAATCTCGATTGCATTTTTAGTGAATCTTCGAGTATTTATGTCTGTCGATATTTATTGGCTGAAGGTGCATCGCTGCACATCTATGACCCCAAAGTGTCAGTCAGTCGCATATTTCTTGACTTATCTGAACAAACTGGAAAAACAGAAGATGAATGTAAGTAACACGAAAATGATTGATCGGGTTGAACTATTCGTTCTTGTCTTAGTACGTGAACACGTTCAGATTGCCAACGATGCATATGAAGCCGCCAAAGATTCTCACGCGCTTGTGGTTTGTACTGAATGGGATGAATTTAAAGTAAATAATGTTAATAGAATAGTCTCCTTGTATAAATAATCAATCTTTATTATTCAGCAATTAGATTATCAATTGATCTATAGTACAATGAAAAAGCCATCATTTATATTTGATGGTCGTCTCATTCTTGATCACGATCAATTACTAAGTTTTGGATTTAATGTCTTTTGTATTGGAAAGAAACCACCGAATAATCAATATATGAATCAAAGTCCTCGATAAAAAGTCTTCTTCCTTTTCTCCATTGCTATTTTATTTGGACATGACAACGAACTTCAATAATACTTAGATAATTGCGAAGCATTATTGTGATTTGAAGTTAGGGTCGCTTTCCTCTTATATCTCACGACTATACTGGATTTTTTTCATTAATTAACATGTCTATATGTTATCATATACATATATAATAAATTTGTCTTTTTATATTTGAGCGAGTAATTTTCTGCGGACTAATAAAAACGACTTTCTTTTCTATTTCTGTTTAAAATTTCATTTTGATTTTGTTTTCAAGATTGATATACTTTTGAAGGTAAACAATGAGTGGTGCTCGGAAGAAACCATTTAGTTCGAAGAAGAAAAAGGAACAATTGAAATTAAAAAGAGAAAAGATTCGAGCGCAAGGTAATTCTGATTACTTTTTTGAGCGATCTAATCAATGAAATGCTATTCTCTAGGCGATAAATGGGCGGATTCGGATGAAGACTCAGGAACTATCGATATCAATACAACACAAGGTTCCCGTCGGCGAATAAATGAACAACCTGTTCGAGACACGGCGACACACAATCCAAATCGGTAAGATCTTAGTGTTCTTTGTGTATGGCTTAGAGAATTCTATTTTAGATACCGACTTCATTTCCAACGTGAATCACGTGATGAAATCGAACGACGGAAAAAAGTTGCACAATTACCGATTAAGAAACTTTCCGAAGAGTCGCTAGAAATTCCTATCGAACAAATCTATCGACCTGGCAGTGCGCTCGATATGCCTGTGCGACCACCATGGACATACGAAATGACCAAGGAACAGTTAGAACAACAAGAACAGACTTATTTCAATGTAAGGAGAAAATCAAAGCTTTATCATTGATCCACATGTGGGTGTTTAGGGCTATCTGGAAAAGATCTTTGCAAGTTTTGAGCCAGGCGATCTGAGTTACTTTGAAATGAATTTAGAAACATGGCGACAATTATGGCGAACAGTGGAGATTTGTGATATTATCCTAATGATTGTTGATATTCGTTTTGCTGTAAGAGAAATATCTCTTCTTATTTCGTCTCTATTTCAACATTTCTTCTCTCCTCTAGGTTCTTCATTTTTCCCCAGCACTCTACGATTATGTCACACGTATTCATAACAAACAGCTGATTGTCATTCTGAATAAAATCGATCTCGCACCACCATCTGTTGTCGTTGCTGTAAAAGACTATTTCTCAAAGAAGTTTCCCCAGTTACACATTCTTACATATACATCTTATCCAAAAGATCTAGCAACAACACGTGAAGATTTTGATAATTATCAAGTTATGGCACGAATCGTTCGTCGAAAAAATTACTATGCTATTGGACCATTATCACTGTATGAATGTATTTCATCGATAGCTGGCTCACGAATCGATCTGTCGTCATGGAAAAAACATATTCAAGAATGTATGGAAGATGAAACAATCACTACTGATCTTAAACAGGAACAAATCGTCGATGTTTCACCACTAACACAGACAAAGAAAACGAATAGTTATATCACATTAGGTTTCACAGGGTATCCGAATGTCGGTAAATCTTCAATTTTGAATAGTATTGTTGGTCATAAAGTAGTCAGCGTATCACGTACTCCGGGACATACAAAACATTTTCAAACGATACATTTAACACCTACTGTTCATCTATGCGATTGTCCAGGTTTAGTTTTCCCTTCGTATGTCGAACGGCCGTTACAAGTATGTACTAGATTAGATATTCTTTTCATCTGAAGTATGTTTTTCAAAGATTTTAGCTGGAATTTATCCAATAGCGCAAGTGCAAGAGCCATATACAGCTGTCGGATATCTTGCTCAATGGTTACCACTGACGAAAATTTTGAAACTAGAAAGATTAGAACAGGATACACCAAATTACAGTGCATTCGATATTTGTGAGGGTGAGCTCTTCAAACTGTTTGACTTCAGTAGAAAGTACATATATGCATATTGATATGATTTTTAGCATGGGCTTTAAAACGTGGATTTCTTACAGCCAAAGCATCACGTCCTGATGTCTACCGAGCTGCTAATCATATTCTTCGGTTAGCACTCGACGGACGAATCAATTTATGTCTTCGTCCGCCTGGTTTTACTGCTGAGAAAGGTATGTTCATCTGCTTGATCGTCTGTTTTCTTTTACCGTTTCATGTTATTTTAGATCGATATATATCGGATCCTCGAGCACTTGAACTTGAACAGCAGATACAGTCGGCTGTTGATAAACAAAAACGTCCTGAAAGTGATATATCAGCTGGTGATGATAGTGAAGCATTTCCCGCGAGTGATGATCATCAGTTAGCATCGTGTAGTGCGTCTACAAGCGACCAAGGACCTGATAGAGTTGAAGAATTCAACAGATTCGATGTTTTCAATCGTGATAACGAAGATAGAGACACCATAAAGTCAATGAAGCATGTTCGCCGACGAACACGACGAAAATCGAGTAACAGCAATCAACATGAAAACGATGATAACGAAGAAGGAGAAGTGGATTAGACAGGAAACGTTCAATAATTGTTGTCTTTCATTCAATAAACATTTTTAGTGTTAACAGTTAGGCTTTCCTCGGATAATTGAACAGTTGAAATGTGTAAACTTAACTAGTGATACTCGATTGAAAATTTCTTTTTTTATATCTCGATGAAGAATATCTTTCCGAGAATTCAAGAAAAGGAAAGGTTAAAATGAATTTTTTTCCGTAGTTATAATCAAGCAGAGAAATATCGCTTCATTGTGAATCTTCCATGTGTCTTTTCTTTTTCTGTAACTATCTTTCTTCCTTTATTCGGACGATAAAAAAACAAACTTTTCTGCTGTTTGAAAAAAAACCAAAATGAATGAATCGATAAATATATTATATTCATATAGTTCTTTTTTTTTTGTTCTCATATTAAGGTGTACATATTTATTTATTCAGATTTTCTAACAAAGTAAAATAAAACAAAACTATGGATGAAGAAGTTCTCCGACAACTTTTAACATCGCAAGACGGTCTTGAATTCTCTCCAACTGCTGAAATGATGATGATGAATTCAGCAATGGCTGGATCAGTCAACGAAAATGATTCAATCGATCCTGAATTAATTGAAACTATTCAACAGCAAGTAATACGTGTTAATCCACCGGTGACGACTTCGACTGTAGCACGCGTTAACAACAACGACGATGACGATGATGACGACTTACTAGAAGACGAAACCGTACTTGAACGTATCATTGCATTGAAAGAAATGTTTCCAGAAAGTGTTCAAAATACAGTTGGAAAAGTGAATAGTGCAGTTATCAATACAACAAAATTTGCCTACAGTAAAGGTCGTACAGCAGCTTGGTGGTACGTTTCATTCAGTGCTGTTTTATCTGTTCTATAACACTTTTTTTGCCGCATCTAGGATTACGTCAACAATGTGTGTCCTCGTTTTTCCAATTCTCATTCAAAAAGAATTGTTACAAGTTGCCGAACAAATTAGTCGCGAACAACGATCGATTCTCCTCGGTCCACAAGCCGCAGCCGGTGCTGTTGGTAGTGGTGCTTTCTAGAAACAATTCGCCGAGTTTTCTTCGTTTTTTGCACTTGTGTTTCATGTTGATTATTTGTATTCAACAGACTTAACATTAAGATCAATCAAAAGCAGCATTCTCTAATAAAAAAAAACTATAAAATATAGGATATCATTAAATTCTGCTCACTTCATTTGAAATCGAGATAAATAGTGAAAATGGCTATGAATATTCAAAAAAAGCCATGTTTATCTGTCAAATATGAAGATAAATTTTCCCCCATTCATCATGAAACCTTCATCTAATCTGAAATCTCACAAGAACTCTTTTGCAAGGTGGCCATTTTTTTTCTAGTACAAAATCGAGTCATATCATAAAAACGCTTGGTGTATATATTACAAACGAAAATATCAATGATAAATTATAATAGGTCTAGCGATATGCTGATATTCTTCGTTGATATATTAATTGTTGAAAAGTGTACAGAAAAAAGTGGCCACATGTTTTACCGCTCATAATAATACAACACATAGTAGAAATAGAATCTTCAGCAAATGGTCTACGATTTACTTGTGCCAAGAAACTCTGCCACTTATGAAACATTGTTTTTCGCTAGAGCAATCGGTTCAGTCAAATCTTTTTTTTGCAACAAGCTGTAGTGCATTACTCTTCTATATATGGTTGTCAGCGCTCTCGAGCGGAATAACAAATGAACCGTTCGATTTAAAAAAATCTCTGAACAGTACACACGATACAAATTTTTTGTAATACAATGTTTTCCCAAGAGATCCGTGTGTTCTGAGTGGGATAATTCGTCTCAATGTGAAACATTAGCCAAATCCATAAAATCGGACACTAGTACTGGCTGTTCCAGAGCATTTCAGTAATCTCATGGAAGTAACATTTTCAATTGGAAATCGTTTTACCATGCTATGAGTACATTTTAAACCGACGAGGAACTGTTCCCAACCGTTTCCGAGGTGTGTTTGAATTCTGTCGACAGTACGTTAGATCTTCATATGTCTGATTCCAGCAATGTGCTCATTGCTAGTATAACTCACTTGTGTACTAGGTGTTAACGTTGTTGAAACTAGATTATTGTTGGGTTGGTCATTTTCTTTTGCTTTAGTAGAATTCAGTGGGGACAATCGGTGATATTTCTAAAGTCGAAGCGAGGATTTTGTCTTTTCTATATAAGATAAGATGTAAATCAGATTGTTGAGTGCGAATTCCATACAATCGACCAATGAGCATACGATTTTACGAATCTATGCGACCGCTTTTTACTATTTCCAATCGTGTATTCGTCTACAAGTTTTTTTGTAAAACAAACTTGCTACTATTGTATCTTGAGAACGTATGCATAAATGTGTCAGTTAAGAGTAGGTGAATCTTGGAATTCAGTGTTAAGTGATGACTTTCTATTGAACATTTTACATACGATTTCGCAGTATGCAGGTAGGGACATCATAAGTATCCAATTCTCTCTTCTAACATTCAATTTTTCACTATCAACACAAAATGTGCTTGATTAGGAATAATATACATATTGTGTTCTGAATATTCAGGAAAAAAATTGTTTTTCGGACCCATATCAGATCCAATATTCATCAACTTCAACCAACGTCGTATCGTTTCCCACTATTTTTCGCTAGCCGGAATCATTTCGAAAATATCGAGAAGCGTTCGGCGTATCATCAAAGATTGTACTTTATTCGTTGAAAATCAAGACGAAGCAATATTTAGAAGAAAAAAAACTATCCAAAAAACTCTAGTTCAATTGTCACTATGTGGTATTAAATATTTGCTCATAGCAAATCGAGTTCGTGTATCATCTTGTTCCATGTTTCGATATGCGATTAGTATATCCATTTGTTCATTAATAGCTAACCGATCAATGATACACTTCGTTTCTCCGAGCTCGATTCCATTGAATGCAATTTCTTCCATGTAGTCTTTTCCAATCCACATGAATAATCTTCGATTCATGCTGTGAAAACATAAAAATATCGTTTCATCATTGTAAATAATTACATCGAGAATGTCTTTGATATTTTGTCCCGTGTAACATGAATAAGTATCGATAATATCAAGAGTATTAAAATCATAAAGAAAACAGATTAATTTATTTTCATTATTTGATTTCAAGCCACAAATAAGTAACTTTTGTTTATTTGATAATAGGCGAATATGAATGGATGATAGTTGTAAATCGTAGCCAAGAAAATTGTCTTTTTTCCTTTCGTGTACTGCTAAACCAAAGACGAGATTTATTTGTTTGATTGTTACTGAATCAAGTCTGTAATTGTATATTATAGTTATTTGTTCGTCACGATCAGAATAAGTAATAAGATCTGTTTTATTCTTTTGCTTGAGTTCTTGATCGAATCTTTTCGGAAAATTAAAAAGGACTTCTGTAGTGTCCTCTTTCACAAATTGTTTATTGAGATAACAATATGAATAGAGTGAACAAGTGAATTGTTGCATTTGTTGAGGAATAAATGAGCCGAAAAGACGTAAAAATGTTGAATCAGATTGTTCGTAAGACACTTGATATCCAATGACTGGTTTCGAATAAGGTTTATTGTGTACAGGAAGAAAATCAAGATACAAGTGTTCAACATGTTGAGCAATAGGATCATTGACTGTTGGAAGAACTTCAAGTGGTAAAACGATTTTCATCGTCGACTTTGAGTCTAAATTATAACAAATCATATGTTATAGATTATCTATTTATGAAAATTCGTTATGGAATATATATATATATAGGAAACATGAGACTCGCTCTTAAACGATCGACAGTAAAGAGAACTCTCGAAAATCTACTCACTTGAAATAGGTTCAAATCGTAGACCATTAAGTAAAAACCCTTGTCTTGGTCTTGGTGGTCTTTCATGTAAAATTTCTGTTAGTTGGTCTTTAGCTTGTTTCTCATACAACACAACATGTACATCGTGTGCATGGTTGACTAAAGTTTGGATCAATTTGTCGAGTTCGTTGACTTTCTCTTCCTGCTTTTGTAATTGATCAAAAATAAGAAATAAACGTGGATCACGATCAAGAATTTTACTTATATAGTCAATAGCTTCATTTAATTCTCGGTGTAACGATTTTAACTTATTTACATAGAGTCGTTCTAACTGGTAGCGATAGTCTTGTGCAATTTGTGAAAGAAGTTTTATGGCATGGTATTGCTGTCGATGATGAGATGTATGTTCATCTATAAGACATTCCGAACATAGACATTCTGAACATTTGACACAGTAGAACTCTAATAATCGTTTGCTATGCCGTTGTGAGCAAAGAAGAGAAATACTTTCATCGAATTCAATTGGAGCTTTGGGTAAAAGACGGATTTCAGCAAATGTTCGAGTAACATGTGCAGGTACTGTATGAAAATGTGCATGATATCCATAGCATGTTTGACAATAATTCTCCTGACATTGGAAACATCGACCATGAAGATTGGCAGATTCGTTCTGACATAACGAGCATAGACCTACAACGTCAGTATTTCGACAAAGACAAGAATAATATACAAATTTTTCTCTTACCAACATGTTTTGATTCAACTTCTTGCTCATGTCGATAAATTTTTATGAGCTGTTCTTTATCGATTGCTGGCGGAAGACAGCTAGCATCTCCATTCGGTAAATGAATCGAGGGTGCTCGACATTGAGGACCTGGTAAATAAGAGAAAACACGTATATCCTTGTTCGATTGAACGTTATAGAAAATCTTACAAGTAGCAATATCCGACTCATTCTTGCATGAATGGTGATATTCTTCTAGACAACGACGGCAAGCAACATGTAAACATGATGTTCGTTTTGGTTCTTCAAAAATATCCAAACAAATGGCACATGTAATTTCGTCTAGTAAGGACGAGGATAAAATTTGTTTTTCGCTTTTTTCATTTGTATTTGCATCAAGTGGAACGTTATCAAATTCCATCATGATTATTGATAAAAATGTCTGTTAAAAGCAAGATTTCAATACGTAACTCATTGATCAAGAAAAGGAAAATCAAGCAAATAAAATGTCGACCAATAACAAATAGAGTAAATGTAGACGGCGCTATCAACAAATGAATTGAGAACAACTTTTTCGTTTACTCGCAAGTATTGACTCGATATATAAGAAGTTGTTGAATAGGAAATGGTTGATGAACCTCCAACAATTCTTATGTAATATCTGTGCATCAAAGCTTTGCAATTCATTTTCTTTATATAAAGTAAAAGATTTATTAAAACATCACAATCAAAGCAAAAGACATCCAGCATGCAAATGAAACAAATTTACAACTAAAATACGATTCTGAATTAGAATTTTACGCTAGAGAAAATGCTACTGTAAAGTTTGTAAAGAAAATTTAAGAATCCAAAGATATTATTTGTTTTATAGTTATTTGTTGTAATAATAAAATAATATCTTCACTAATCTTTAGAAAGCCGACGTCATTTTTGAGACGTCCTTCTTCGTAACATATGCCAAGTAAATCATTGAAATGATTGTGCATCAAGGTATCGTTGCTTACCTCCCAAGACAACAAAGCGTATGCATATTTATTGCCTGTGCTGACAGCTTGCCGACTTAACACGAGTCTCCAGTTGTCTCCCCGTAAAGGTTGTCCCGATATCAGCTTGCACTCACTTGACTTTTGAACACATCGACTTAGAACCATAGCCCACTGTGAATGTTTCTTTCGTTCCATAAAGTCCTGTAGTACTTCGATGAAAATGCAAAGACTCACATTAATGTGTGCTCTTGTAGTTGAGTTATCGGATGATCGAAATTCGACTTCATTACTATTTAACCTTAAATAACGTTTCTTAAATAGTGAATCGAATTGGGTTTTCATCGCGGAACCAAGTAAACCTGATGATAACGAAGAGGGCGATGTTTGATTCATCCGATATTGTAGAAGAGAGCTCGCAAATATCCATGGTAAGCTCAATATAGGTATCTCTTCCTGACTTCGTTTGTTATCATAACATACACAGTAACATGCCACAGTCATCGACTCATGTACTTTTGAACATATACGACACATATCAGACACAGCTGTATCCTCATTACATGCATCATTTTCACAGTATTGGGCTTGTTCTGTATGAAACCGAGTTCTCGTCCGTGAAACCAGTCGTTCAAGTTCCGTGTAAGCAGTATCTTCAAGTTCTCCAGACACATTGTTGACCGAGTTCCGACACCATAAATCACTTTCGTGCGAGAGACCATATAAGCTGAGAATCTCGAACATTTCTTGTCGATATACTAATGTTAAATTCTTGGCAAATTCCATACGAGTCGAAAATTCGGGGTGATTACGAACAATTTCACTCACTATAGATTCATCGATTTTAATATTACTTTCCTTATCAACATCGCCATCTTTGTTCTCTCCTGTTTCTTCGTGTTTATCTTCGTTTTCGTCCTCTTCCTCGTCATGAATTCGCACTGCTAAATGGCGAAGATGACGATGATATCGAACCAACCGATTCCATCCTGGTAGAGTTCGCTTCGATGAACGATACAATTCACCTAGTAACATATAATTTACAATCAGATTTATCAGCAAACAGTTCAAATACTCATACCCAAAATATGCATTGATCGATAACGGTCGAAGCCTTCGTTCTCCATGTAATCGGGTCGTTCGTTGTCTAACGCATCTTTCAACGTCCTGATGTTGTCTTCATTCAGTGGATGGTATCCTGTCTTGCCACTATCAACTTCTTGACTAATTGCACCAGCTAATTCGACTGTGGACATAATACCCTTTGCCGGGCGCTGCTCGTTGTCAACACCGAATTTATCGGCAAACGCTAAATGTAACTTGGAGAGTCTTCCTAAGTAATCCTGTTCAGCTATTTCCAGTACTTTTCGGTTGATATGTTCTCTTGTCACTGGGCCAGCAAGGTCTTGTACCGGTATAGGTGAATCATAATCGTATGGCGGGGCATTATTGGTTTGTAGTGGAACAAGATCTTCGTACCAAACAACAAGATATTCATCACCGTCAAGATCCGATCCACTAATGTCATGCGGGGCTGGGCGTCGACCTTGTTGTGCGAAGACGACAACGTCTTTGAGATGCCGAAGTTCTGGATAGTCGACAGCCGTGAATGTTCGCATGTCGCCTGGATGGTGGCATGGGTTCTTGGTAATGACAACTCGTCGTTTATCAAGAATTTCAGTTCCTTTATTGTTTTTATCAGAGCCCATTGGACTATCAAGAATGGTGTATTGAATGAAGACTTCATCTTCTTTGAGAACCCTGTATTCATCAACAATGCCAAACATATTTCTTCCTCCGTTTGGCGGAATGCGAATTCGCGTTCGATGAAGTAGATCCCTGGTTGATTGTAGGCATGCACTGATGAGAAGTTGTCGGAAAAATGGTTCGCGAATATAGTCGATGTTAGCTCGATAAATATCTGGTGGCAAGAACCAAAACGGAACCTTGCTGCGAATAAGTTTTTCCGCATCTTGGTTTATGAGAAGAGCACGAATGAGTTGTAGATGATTTTCTTGTTGAAGTTGACGAAATACGATGGGTGATATTTTTCGATAGTCAAGCAGAAGGATAGCTTGTCGATTGAGAAATGCAATCCGTGGTGCTGATAGTTTGCAAACTTCAAAGATGTCATGCCGTGAAACGAATTTGTTCATTGAAGGACGTATATATAAATCTTTGCCTGTTTTGAGTGTTGTGTCGAGACTAACAACGCCCTTACAACCAGCATATCGAAACTGTACAGCACTGAAGTCGTTTCGCACTTGTAGACTTTCTTTAATCTAGAGTTCAAAACAAATAATGGCGTACAACAAAGTGACTAAGCTGAATAGAAATTAATATGCTTCTATCAGCAGAGAATGCTTGTGAGATTTTATCAATTACCTTAACATAGAGTTTTTCCGACATTTTACCACAACCATCCGTGAACGATAATTTTTTACCATTCACTTGAACTTCAATATCATTTTCCATATATTCGACGTCTTCCGCCCGCACCTACCACATATACAGACAGATTTATTCTTTGTCCCTTTTTATTGCTATTTTTTCGCTTACTCTCACAGTTCCTGTCGTTGTTGTAAAACATAATGCCATACGAGATGCATATTTAGCTGGGTTTCGTTCATTTGTGAAATCCCCCATCCATCTATAAGCTTCATTAAAACTCATATTTCCATTGTTACCATACCGATCAGCTTGCTGATGAGAATAATAAAACCAAAATTGTCTTTCTCGCAGCTGAGACTGCGAATGATGTATGTATTTGTATATTCGATCGTCACCCATCAACTGGAAACCATTTTCAAGATAATGAAGTAGTGTTCTCCGCAAATGACGAAAGTAACATGCTTGTAAAGCTCGACCGTTCTCATCACGTATATCAACCAGAACGAAATGATACAATGGCAGGCCGAACTCGTTCTGCGCGCGAAGAATGCGATTAGTTCGACAAAGTTTGAATGGCTTAACACGAACAGTTGTCGGTGTTAATGTTACCGATGGAATATACGTTTCATTGTGTACTTTCACATCAATTTTATTCACTAGGCCATATGCAGAGGCATCTTGCTTCCGCTTTAACTCGTTGATACCCTGTTCGAGTTCATCAACAATGTTCACAAATGGTTTCAGTGGATAAATGCGCGAAAGATAAACGCAAACACGATAAACCAATTCATCAGAATTGGGTTCTTTGTCGATAGTCTGCATCAATCGTTCACGAAATTCAGGGTGACGGAACATTTGTAATTGGAAACCATATCCGACTGAAGAAAGGAGTTGCCATGCATATTTTGTGATCAGTGTTGGAAAAGTTAAGCCATCTGAATTCGAGAGTTGAGTTGGAGCTTCGTTTGAAGTGATTTGGCCATAGCAGACGGTGATTTGATGTTTGAGAAAAAATTTGATAAGACTGGAAAGAATATGTGTAACTTGAAGAATATAATGTTTATTTTGGTTATTGGCACATAATGAACTGACGTGCACACCGAACCGAACAGTGGGAAAATAACAACCGGCATTAGTGCCTACTCGTTGATATGGACCGTATTTTATGCGTCGTGGTCGATCAGCTGTTGAACAAAGTGGTGGTGCCGCTCTTGGTCGAGAACGTGATCGTGCTCTCTGGTTATGAGACTGCTTACTGTTGTTATTTCCGTAGCTATTATTCGCTTCCGCTTCGAATTCGTTCATGTTACACTGTTGGCAAATATACGCATCAAACCCGTATTCGTTCTTATGAATAATAGCCATATGATTAATGTTGGACACTAACAGTTGTTTTTTTCTTCTCTTGTCACCATCTTCCACAATCCATTCAATGCGTTCACCATTCTTCCGTCTTTCATCTAAGTACATCATGAAGAAGACACCTCTCCGATTGATCCATGAGTGTTTTCCTGAATATTGAAAATGGGTGGGATCAACCAACGCACCATATTGTAGCTCAACGTCCATGTTGCTCGTTATTCTACATCGCTCGGGTTGTTGTGAAGTGCTGTTTTCATGGGGACTTTTATGTCTTTCAGTTGAGTTTTTTTCTTGTTTATGAAAAGTTAACCAAGACTTAGTTCGTGCTAGTATACAAGATACCCGTTCAACATCGATCGGTCGAGGCTGGTGAAAATCTATATGTAATGCCGTTAGTCCAAAGTGAAAAGAAGTGAGTTGCTGTTCATCGTTTCTCCAGGTGAATTCAGTTTTAGAAAGATCTTCTTTTATTTTATCTTCTTTCTGTTGATTCATGATAATGGCTAGATGCTTATGGTTTAGAGAGGATTCCCATGGTTTGAACGATCTGTCAGCCGAGGAGGTTGTTTCAATAGGCGGGGAAGTTGAAGCATCTGAATCGGCTTCGGAATCTTGATTATTGTTATCTACGATTGGTTCTTCATCTGCCGGATCTTCATCGCTTGCGTGATCAGCGAAAGGTGCGTCATGTTTACCTTCTGCGAATTGAGTGGAGACTTTTTCCCACATAGAAGCCGACTAACCGAAAAAACAACATGCAACATACAAATAGTCGATGAGAGAAAATAAATGTTTGAACTTACTGAGTCAGTGGAATTAGATCTACCTTGTGTAAATTTTGTGGATTTCTTAGTTGCCATTTTAATTGTAAGTGAATATGACGATAATTTACGTACGTATATCCAAGTGTGGTTAAAAGGCTTTGCTTTGCTGTTGTCTTGCAATGGAAAAACTTGGATTTTTTGCTGTTCTTCTTTTTCTTCAAGGTTTTTTTTTCTTTTGAAATAAGTGCGATGAGTTATTTCTTGACGAGGAATGAAAGGGAGGCAGTTGTAAAAAGATATTTTTCTGTAGCAAGAATGGTGTTTGTTGGTATGGTAGGAGTAATAGTATGCAATTTTTTGATTAACTTTTAATGTTTATCATGAATTTTGAACTAAAACGGATTGTAATTGAAATAAAAGAAAAACTAATTTATTCTAGTATTTTTTTATGAATTCAAATTCGTCCCATATGGCAATTTTTACAACAGTTACAGCGGAGTTCATATTTCAAAAAGTTTGATATAGAATCAAATCAATGCTCTGTTAGCTATAAAAAAAAACACTTTGCACGACCATTAATACTACAATGACGGATAAATTTCTATTTAGAATCAATCGACTTGAATCGTCATGATTGCATAGATCTCGATCGCCACAACAAGAAACGCAGGCCCAACTTCGACCTTCATTATTCGGTTTACAGGGAGTTAGCGAATGCGTGTATTGTTGTTGAAGTTCACACGCTTTACGTTTTGTACAATATTTTGTAATGATTATCTCATCCAAAATACCTAAAGTGCCGTCGTTCCAAAAATAGAACTTGCAATTTATTTATCGAATCAATCTTACTTGGTTTGAGTACAATCGTTAAACATGTGTCATAAGTGGGTTGACAATCAGTGACATAAGCTGAATTGTTCGAATTGCATTCCGTATTGGAATATTTCATCGAGCATTGATAACAAGAAAGTGTTTCCACCTCTAAAACGAAGAATTGCATTTTGGACTAGTTGCAAGTTTTTTAATCAAATTTACTTTGATATCTAAAAACAAATATGATAACAAATATGAAGGACCACATTCATTCTCGTCTATGTCAATGACTTCGTTTCCGGAGAGATTGTAAATAGTTTGGAAGAAACTCGGCGTCGTTCTAATACTCTAAATTGTAAATGCAGTATTAACACTTCGACAGCTTCAAAATACCCACATAGTCGTTCTAGTTTGGTCGATGAAGAGAAAAATAGACGAGATAGTGATGTTTACATATTTTCTCTCTCTCTCTTTTGTCTTTGGTTCTACATGACACATCGAAATAAGAACATAAGCAGGAGCATTCCGGATGATGACTCGTGCATAGTCTTACGATGAGCTCATCTGAATATAGACATGCTGTTTTCTTCTTCCGATGTCATCAAGTGACGGGAAAGGAAAGAAAAAAATATATATTCTTCATATTTCTAATCTTGAGAGCAACGACGACGACATAACTGATTGATTGACAGTCATGAGAGAATTTCTTTCGTGCGTTGTTGATTCTAACATCATTAATCACTCATGGTTAAAAGATTCTTTTGGTGAACGAAAACTTGTTTAGGTTTTTTGCTTTATTCCACGAGTATTTATTAAATAAGAAGAAGCAACAAAATGTGTGAAACATCTACAAATAGTCGTCTAGAAATAATGAGATAAAAGAGCGAGCGAGCGACAGAACATGGCACCGAGAAATAAAAAACAAACGTCTAGATTATGTATAGATATAAAAGGCCAAATAAAAAAAAAAGTTTTCCATTTCAGAGAGTCATTTCAACATTGGACAGCACTTGGATAATCACATCGATCATTCAATGCATTGAACCAAAGACCAGGTGGACAACTACGACTATAGAGAACACCGTTTGGTAAACCCAAATCATCTAAATTGATAAGAACATCTAAGACGATGAGATTGAATGTGAAACTTTTCAACGTACATTGTCCGAAATAGACACATTCGAAATATCGACCTAGTTTACAGCTTGATGTATCAGCGAAACGACCGTTGGCTTGGCATCGAAAATATTCTAGACATAAAATTTTTCAGTGTTCTGAAAGATTGACAAACAATGGAATTTACCTGATTCGCAACGTTGACCAGTAAAACCTGGTTTACAAGTACAAACAGCACTTAATCCTTGTTCTTGGCATGTGCCACCATTTTGGCACAATGACTGACTGCAAGCCAATTGACCAGGACTCATCGCAGATGCTAAAAGGGGTTGTTGATATATTTACTCAATTGTCAAATCAAACATACCAGCGGATATTTCGCAAGACGCTCCGGTAAAACCATTAGGACATTGACAAAATTTTCTACCCATTTGACTCGTGACGCATAGACCACCATTGCGGCAAAAGCATTCAGCTGGTAAGGATTTATCACCCTGATTGTGTGCTATTTTGTCTGAAATGAACAGATGAATATGAGGTCGTTTCTGTAGCTGATATTCTCCGTTTACATACGATTACTAGTACTCATTAAAACGGGCGGATTGGGAACTACTGGTTGGACACTAGTCGTATTGCATTGTGGTCGGAAGATTCGATCGGAACAAAAGCAGGAGTACGCATTAACTAAATCGTAGCATATACCACCACCCAAACTACAATATTTGGAAAAGTGCTTTTAACGGAAGTATGATTTCGTTCTTACCATGGATTCGATGCACATTCATTGATATCTAATCAAATATCAAATACAGATTATGAACAAGTTCATTTCTCAAAATTCAAATCTATACTCAACTGTTTTCGCAGTAGATGCCTGTGTAACCTGCCTGACATCGACAGACATATGCTCCTTCGGGGCTCAATATACATTGTCCACCGTTGCATGTTGACCGCCCTGATGGACTACAAATAGATACAGGTCGGAGAATATTTCCATTGCTAACACCACCACCGTATTTAGCATTGTTGCTAAACAGCAGTGTTGACACAGGAGTAGTCGTTGGCTGTACTGATGGTGTTGATACAACCGATGGAGTTTGCGTAGTATCTATAATATTATTTAAATAAGATTGTGAAAGACGAGAAAAAAAAACAAAACTTACTAGCTGAAGTACATGAAAGACTCAATGTGCCATCTGGACAGATACAGACGTATGCTTGTCCATTTTGATTTAATTGGTAGCAGATACCAATAGTACATGGGTTTGATAAACAACCTGAACTGACTATTCGTGCTAGATTTCGAGAAACCAATAGGAATTTCAAAGGAAGCGGAATAATCAAAACTACCTTCGCAGTTTTCGCCTGTAAATCCTTCGTAACATTGACAACTATACCCAGATTTACCTGACAGACAACGTCCGTTTGCTTTGCACGGATTCGATGTACAGAAGTCAAGTTCTTGAAATAGAATAACTTCTGCTTGATTCTGTCTATAACTCAAAAGATTCTCTAACAAACCTCGTTCACATCGCGCACCCGTGTAATTTGGAGGACCTAGGATACACAAGTCAAGTTCATTTTTTATGTTCCGCATAATAATCGAATCCTGATTACTAACATTGACAACAAACAGATCCGATTTGGGCAGGATTACAAGAAGGTTCATTAGCTGAGTATGCGACACAAGTGCCACCATTTCGACATGTCAGACGGGTACAAATTGAGTTTGTTTCTAAAATGAGAGAACATGAAATATATATTTATAGCAATGTATCACATTTACTTGGGCATGTATCGATAGTGCTAAAGCTAAGACCATCATTTTGACATATACACATATAACCTTTCGGTGCTGCAGATAGGGATATACATCGTCCATTTGGTCCACAGGGCAATGTCGCACAAGGATCTGCAATTTCATGTCCAATAGAATAAACACGTATCTTCCGAAGTACAGTAAGACCTACTTTTCGGTGTTGAGCAATTGGTCAGCTCAATTGTACCATCGAGACATCGACAGATATACCCATTTCGCATATCTGCAGTCACTTCACATTTTCCAGGGCCGCAAGGATTAGACTGACATGGATCTATCAAAGAACAAAACGTATTCATGCTGATGGCACTTTGACAAAATCGACACACTTGTGTCGGCACATCGAAACATTGTATTTTGTCCATCTGGACATTGGCAGTAGTATGGTATGCCAGGTGTATTTGTTACAACACATTTTCCAACTGGACCACATGGTGATGATTGACACGGATCTGTTACGATTGAAATAGTAGCATTTGGTTACTAAAATCTATCTACATCTAATTGAACTACACCTACTCATGGGTTCTGTACATAGAGTACCATTCCATTCAGGCAAGCAGTCACAAAGAAAACCATTTTCTAAGTCTTTGCATGTGCCATTGTTTGCACATGGTTGTGATGCACATTCATCTAGTTCTAGTTAGACAAAGAAACTACATCTAATCGTGATATTTTCACTAAAGCTACCTTGGTCACAAGTTGGACCAGTAAAACCTGGATCACATTCACAAGTAAATGAATTAGATTTATCGGGAATACAAGTTCCATGCTTATTGCAGACATCTGACGTGCATACTATTGAAGGTAAGATGCTTCAACTACAATCTATTCAAAACTAAATCTACGATACATACTATGAGCATTCGCTAAATGATTCAGGTGGAAGAAGATAATAGAAATTGTAAAAAATGTCCATGATGATTTGAAAAGATCGTCGTTCGATGCCATTGCTGAAAAGATATTCTGAAATATAAAAACAAAAGCGATCTGTTACGAACATCATAATACTATCGTCATTTAAATAACTTCAAATGTTATTCGACTGAAAGGTGAGAACGATTCATATAACGTCCAGACTCCTCCATATCTTTTCAATAGAACTAGTAAGGCTTCCCAGTAAAGGATCTGTTTTATACTCACTGATACACTGTTCGGTGTGTGACAACAACTTGATGTTTATAAATGTGGCAGCTACGCACACACCCTCGCAAGTTTTTTTTTAATCTGATCCTCTATGTTTAGGTGCACCTAATATTTATTGTATTGAATAGAAGAAACACAAGAAGAGAGAGAGGGAGAGAGAGAAATAGGTATGTGTGTGTAAATAACGACGATTGTCATTCCAATACAAATAAATTATCTTCTGTACTATTTATCTGTTCTTTCGATATAGTCGAAGATTCTACCTTGAATGCCGATGTTCAATATTTTAATGATATGCAAATGATGAGAAAGGAAGGGGAAAAATCCGTTTATTGTTTCGTTTCTTCACACACGCATGCATATATTGAGGAGAACGAAAAGAGACAGAGAAACAACTGATCTTGTTTTTCAGTTGGATTATTCATTGAACATTATCATCTTGATCTTATCATATATACAGACGAATACTTTTGATCTATCGTCTCGTAAATCTTTTATACTGGATTAAAGTGACTGTATTTGTTGAAAAACAATATCACCATAAATGATCTATATTCAGTTGTCGTTCGTTTGCAATGGATCAGACTTACATCGGTCATTACTTATCAGTCAACAAACATATCTCACAGAAGTTTCTTCTTTCCAGGTTGATATGAGAATTCATTTTCATGTTATCAATGTACGTATATAAGTACTAGTTTACTTATGCTAATGAATTAGATCTGATTGCGAAGTAAATTATTCATTCAATTGCTCTCCTGAAACCACGAAATAGAAGATAAACAAAGCGAGTTGATTATAATATAATAAATTAATAACATGAAGATAGTGTGATCTTCCTGAAACGACGATGTTGTTGTTAGCGAAGGTGCTTAATATTTCTCTATAGATTGTACATTTGACATTCGAGATGTGTATAAGATCACGAACGATCATTCGAGGCGAAAGAAGAAAAGATTTCAACGGTGACATAATCAAAAGTATGAAGAATAAAACAAGATCATTGATTCATGTTGCAATACATCAACTGGTGATATGGATGAGAAAGGTAAGACTACACAATATTGCCTTAGTTATGAACTTTCACACCCGTGTTTTCTACGACAAGTTATCAAGTAGTGTCTCATCATTACTTTGACCTCTCAATGATGATTGTATGAAATATGGCCATGAATGAGATTATAAATGTTTTTTTTTTGTTGAGGAAAAGTAAATCTATCTAACTGGTTCATATTCGTATATGTAATCGTATGCTATTTACGTGTTAATATGATTGTCAGAGAGAACAGCTTTAGCGATCTATGTGAGTTCGTTTGAGCACGTAGATTCAATAGAACATTTGTTCATACAACGCCTTCAATCAGTAAATTGTTCGATCATATCCGAAAGAGTTTTATTTAAAATGTTTGATGTATACCTTTCTTTGTTGATCTGGCACATAACAGCTTAACATATTTACATAGATGACACACTTTTCGATCAAGCATTCAATATTGACATGAAACGAAACTGAAGAGATGTGTGTCAGTAAACACTGACCGTGCTTATTTGAATACAAATTGTGTGTTTATTTTTGTTTAGTTAGTTGCATTGGTTAACATTATCATATGTTTATTCGAAAGTGTACTTATTCATCGTATTAATGAAATACAAATGCTATGAGAGAAAAAAAAGAAGATTTAACCTTGATTAAATAGATAGTTTTAGATTTATTCGAGATTTAAAGATGCTTTTATGAATTATTATTTCAATTGTCATTATCTTCAACCCACTGTTGGTTGTACAGTCACTTTATTATCTTCGTCCACGTATACACGTACACGCTCATCGTCAACATCACGTGTAGTTCGAGAGCCAGGTCCACAAACATGAACTTTTGATAAACCTAAAAGAAGTGAGTTCTATTGACAAAAAGTTCTTGATTATTTTCATATCATTTACCTGATTCGTCTTTGATAACTTGAACAGCTTCGTCAGCTGTCTTACCGACTAATTCGGGCCAGCAAGTTTTCGTATCTGAATTTGCCATTTGGATTATCAAAGTTAAGAGTAACAAGGAGAGAAAGAGTCGATATCGATTAATATGTAAAATGAGTTTCATATAAAGTCTGAACAATTCAATATCTACAACAAATACAGTTAAGACTTGACTCTTGTTTTACTCTATTTTCAAATAAATTTTTAGAAAGACAAAGGAAATGGAAGATGAATTACATAACTAACTGAAACATCATCGAGCTAGTAAGACCAAATTAAATGAAGAGAAAAAACATTGGAATTGAATTCTTCTTCTCCATATTCAATACTACTCGAGTGGATATATCATGACATGGACAGAGATGTTAGTCAGTTGGTGTTCCCTGCCCATACTCATCACCGACAGAAACCATTGGTTCATGTTCATTCTTAATTGTATGTACAATACCATCATTATGTTTGATTATTACTGATTGATTGTTTTCTATAGTAAGAAGAATCATACAAAAACAATTCTTTTTTTGTACGAGTAGAGATCCATCGAATTTACTTTGTGAGTTATTTTGAATCCGATTATGAACTTGATTGAGTAAATTTACAGACTGTTTTGGATAACATGCACTGAGTGCCACAGCTACTGCTACAGATGAATAGAATGTTCTCCGTAAGACACTACGTTTCTTTCCGAGAAGAAGACCACCAAGGCCAGCGATTGTTACTACACTGACTTTTGGATAAAATGTTTGATCATCACGAATGTAATTGATTGTTGCTAAAAACAATCATACATAGATGTTTTTTGATAAAGATTAAAGTGTACCTTTCGCATAGGTTTGACTTTTTTCTAATTTACGAGAAATTTTCAAACGTAATTCCTATACTCATGTAGGAAATAGAAAACACGGTGTTAAGAGAAGAGTTAATCATACTTTGCTATCATTCCAAAATTGTTGTATTGATTGTCTTGTTTGATTAATCGATGTTTGAAATCGATTCGTATTGTTGATTCTCTTCTGTTGGTCATTATCTATCCGTGGAACATACCGATAGATATCATCTGTTTTTGGATCATAATAAATTGGTAACTAAAATTAGTAGAAAACATACAGCATCATTTACTCACTGTCAAACTTCAGATTAACACACATACATCACGAACTCGTATGATACGAGAGTTTTGTGTAGGACTCGCATCATTTTCTGACTTTTTGGGCATTGTTCAACGCTCTTGATAGATAGTCTAGAATATTACATATATTCAAAATTTGGAAAAAAGATCATATGATAATAGACAAGAAAAAGAAAAAAGCTCGTGTTAATACAGTGAGTCAACCTATGGCATGCTGTGGCATAAAAGCGCCATCTATAGAATGTGGTATTTTAATAATTTTTCGTTTGGGAAAGACTGAATGCTCTCACATAGCTTTCGATAGAAATCTACAATAGTACAGATATACTAAATTTTGTTAAAATATACGAGCGCAAAAGATAATCACTCACTCAAGCAATAAAAGTAGTATTCCTATTTTATTACTCGAGCTGGTGTTTCCCAAAGCTTTCACACTTGTTGCATATTTATGTTCAATAATACAACTACGAAACCTTCATCTACGAAGAATTCCAAATAGCAATGAATGAAAAAATGTTTTTCTCCATATTCTAGCGGATGCATACTATAGAAAGAATCATCACAATATCTTAATGATAGATTTCGATTCCATGAAACTAAAACGTTGTTGTCTCTGAAAACGTAAATTCGAAATCATTCAACCAGTTAATGTGCATTGCTGGCTAAGGTGAATTTACTCTTAACAAATGTTTACATGTACTTTACAGTCTGTTCGTTGAGTCTTTCTATAAAAAAAACTATTCATACAAAATACACAAAAAAAGACAAACATCACAGCATAGATACTTGATTATCAAGAGATCTGAAACAAAAAAGTCTTTTAGGCGGTACATAATCTTCATATGGCCATCGATTTGATTCTTTTGGTGATTCAATTCGTTCAAGAAACTCAATTTGATGAAAGATATATTTTCGTGTTCGAATTTCAATGGAAACTTCACGGATATCGGTAAATATTATTTGAAGACAGTTGCCTATACCATCACGAACAACGAAGTTGTATCTAAAATGAAGTGTTCAGTAAGTAAGACTCAACATTTGTCATTTACTTGTTATTTTTTTCATCAGATTCACAAATAATAATTGTACCATAGAGATCAAATTTTCGTTTAGACATTAAAGCCAATGTGAATGATTCGTAGACTTGTTCGACGGAGGAAATCGGTTTTTGTTGAGCACTATCATTCGGAAATGTGGATTGAAGATCAAATACTGAAACTACAAAAAGAAGAGTTTCATTGGATATATGTTTATCTCTTACCGGAATGTTCATTCGAGTCACTTTTATGACATGGACAGTTGAATGCGTATGTATGGGTCGTTTCCATTGGTATTTGTTCTTCGGTCTTGCTGACAATCGGTTCCTTTCTTATATCTGTGATACCTAGTGTAGCTGAACCTAAATCTGTTAGAGTTATGTCCAATCTATACGAAAATATAACGTAAAAATCAAGAAAATGCATAACTACGAATAGAATTTTACCTCGATTCACCTGAAATACGAAGATGATCATTGATTGCTAAACTTTTCGATTGGTGATCGTGTGGATCAAGAAAAAGCACAACATCCTCTTGATCATTAACATATTGACAATAACAAAGCAATTGGTTACATACAGTTTTCAATTTCACCACTCGTAACAATGAACTATTAACTGCAATGAAAGAGCAGGAAATGATCCAGATGTCCATAGCTGACCTATGACAGAACTTACAGTCGACTGTTCGTCGTCTAGTTAATGTCGATTTTAAGCCTTCTAATTGATGAATCATGTCATTGCTGAAAAAAAAAGACAGGAAAATAACGATGAGAAGGAGAATGCGACTAATGACTTTACACAAATTCTGATGCTTGTCGACTTTTTGATTGTTTTCCGTTATTATCCATCAAACCATAATTTAATGCAAATTCTGATATCGGTGCATTTGTTGTTTGTTTTTCGTGTCGTTTAGCAATTATTTCCTGCACAACTTTGTAGTTTTTCGGCTCCATACTTGGTCTGTTTGTTGTGGTTTTCATTACCCGTAGGACATGATCACGTCCTTTAAATTCTGTTGTTGTTTTATTCAGAGTGTCATTGAAATTACCGAAGGAAATATCACTCATTCGTCGAGAAAGCTGTAAACGTTCGCTATCTCGTTGCTTTTTCACTTTGGTAGAAATCAATGGATTTGGTCGACTGATTGGTTCGAGTACTGACTCATCAACTGCGGCTTCATCAAGAATCGACATCGACATATCAAATTGTGCATGAATGTGTTGACCGATACGAGTATTGGATTGACTTTGATCGTCTTCATTAATAATAACTTTATCATCCATATACTCCATCGTTTTCGCTCTTTTTCTTCCATCTTCATGTAAATAAAAATAGAGAGAAAAAATGAATTATGATCTGATTTTTGAGAACTTACCATTTGATTTGCGGACACTGGCCATAACTACTCGAATCGAATATTAGCTACGTTCAAATTAACGGATTTTATCGAAGAAAATCTGGTATAATCATTTAGTTTTTGTTCGTTCGCCGCTAAGATGAACCCAATAAAATAAAATTGCCGATAGATGTCTTTTATTTACAAATTATCTATATCGATACAAGAAAAATCCAGGTCGGATGGTAATTACCAATGTCTTTATAATTTAATGAAACCTTTTACGGTGCGTTATGATAAAATGTAAGCCATTTATGATACTCGTATAATCTTATCGATTGAACTAATCGATTTGGTAGAATTTCATTTAATTTATTCATGATGTCATCGCCTAAATTTTTTAGCGATCTTCGAAGCTTTCGCCGACATAAATTCGATAGACTCGTTGGACTTTTTATATCTACCAGTTTATCTATCATTGATATCATGAATTGACTTTGGGTAGACTTAAAACATTCAAACCGCGATTGAGATACATTAGTATAGCCGCATTGGGCAGCACGGAGTATGTACAAAGTCTTGTTACGAGTTGAAGTGCTCGATAATAGCTGGGAATCGACTTTGATCGGCATATCATAATCGAGTAACATAAATGGAGTTGATGATTGAACACCATTTAGGAGAGAGAGAATGATCGATGAAATAACGTTCATATCGTTGATTCGTGCGCCTTGTCGTAAAAGAAATGTGATTTTAGCGTCGACACGTTGAGAATGATCTCTGGAGTTGAGAACGACAGATGTAAGAGCTTGATCTAGATTTCGATTATGAACTAAACGCTTTAGGTAATACTGATAGTTCGAGATGAACATCGAGGGAAAGTTAACGAAGAAATCATCAAGTTTGATTTGATCTGCTGCATTATTTTCCCATAAATAGTTAAATAATTTCATCCGTAGTGGAAAACACAACCGCGAATTAAATATTGTTTTCACAGGTGCTTCAAATTTGTTTCCTAATTCATAAAGACGTACAAACTGTGAGAATATTACCGATGCACATGGGCATTGTTTGATGAATTCGTCATTGACTTCAGTGAGATCATTCGAAAGGAGCGTAGTTGAAGCTGTGTTGACAACGTGCTGACATTCGGTACAAATGAGATGCATTAGATACGATCGATTCCATCGATCATATTGCAGTAGCACAGATGGATCTTGGATATTTGATAGTTGCTGATCGATAATTGCTTGACATTTCGGATTCGAATATAAGTGTAAGAAAATCATGAGAGGTGTGACACGACAATCTCCATATTGTACGTATAGAAATTGTGCATTCCTCTGCTCACGTAGAAAATTTTCAATGACAATTTCCTCTCCAGTTTTATAATGTTCGATAAGAAGGATTAATATCCATGAAGGATATTCAGGATCGAAACGGAGATTTTTCTCTATTAAAATTGATAAGCAGCGCGTTACTTGATCTGAATCTGAACATGTAGATATGAATCGAGATGCATCATAGGTTGATAAAGGAATTTGAATTAAGGAAAACGGTAATCGAAGAATTCTTTCGAATAAACCAAAATCTTTCGAAGATATTGCTTGAGATAACCTATCAACAACAAGCCTTGCGATTTGTGTAGGTGGTAATCGAGATTTTGTTATGATTAATTCAAATACTTCGTCCATATAAGCGTCGTCAGGTAGTTTCGATAATAAATTAAAAAATCCATTGATGCAATCCGATCGATCGCTTTTTCTCTGCAGACACGTGGTCAACTCTTTGAGACGTTTATCCTTGATCAGAAATTCGAAGTATATCTCACGACATGCGGGTGTTGTTGGAACATTGTTCGCTTTAAGAAGCCAGGAGAATAATCTACTCATATTTATTATATTTAACTATTATTCCTCAAATTTTCCGATTCTTATATAAAATGTGTCGTGTATAGTTGAGCAATAACCACTCCGAACACGTCAACATGGTGACGTTTTAAGAGAGATGAATCATTAAAAAAAACAGCAAACGAACACTGGATGTGTTTTTTTTTAACAAAGCTTCCAACATGTGAATCGGTTAGTTTTATTTATTCTTTTTAGACAATTTTTTTCGCTGAGCTTTTAATACAGCCGAGGTTACATTCGGCGTTGTAGTTGGAAAAGATGACACTTTTGGTTCGGTAGCTTCAGTCTCAGCGGATGATACTTCGACCATTTCGAATTTTGCACGAGAACCGAATCGTGAACGAACTAGAAGTGAGAAAAAAAAAGAATTTCGAATAGTACATAATGATGAATAGTCACCATTCGAATTTTCGGTACAATCCCATATTTGTAAACCTTTGGATTGTCCGCCAATGGCGAATGTAAATGGAAAATCCGGATTAGCGAGACATGTATTGATTCGTCCCTGGAAGAAAAGAATGATTATCTATTTGTAAAAGAATAACAACGAAATTACTGTTGGAAATTGTCGTTCAGCAATGAACGTGACACTTCCATTTTCTACATCCCAAATCTTGACAGTTTCGTCGAATGACGACGTCATTAGAAAACCGGGCACAGTTGAACTCAAACATAAACCTAAACATTCCAATCGATTCCTATCTTTTTCTTTTCATCTACGCTTCTTACCAGTAACAGCACCACTATGTGCGGCCAAGCTGAACACAGGTATAGTCGTTTGTCGAATATCCATGGCATAAACGTATCCGTTTTCAGTAGATGCCTAAGATAATTCATATGAAAATGAACGAATATTTCTTGAAATTCGTACGAGAAATTGATTGGAATCGAATGTATTCCATGCTACTCGTTCGATATCTGAATCGAATGTCCAACGATGTTGATTATTTTTGTTATTTGCATCTCGACAATCAACTAAACATACAGTTTGATCCGCTGAGCCAGAAAGTAAATTTTGCGGTTCAGTTGGATGCCAACATATTGATTGAATCTACTTGGCGAAGAACAAAAATTCCATATTTTATATTCAAATCTTCTCCGCACTTACCAACCTGTTTTTCGTGAATTTTGTTTAGATGTAAAGCCATTTTCATTTGACTTAAATCCCATAAAGCAACAGTTGCATCAGCAGAGCTTGATGCAAGAATTTGTCGAACAAGTTTATTCCATGAGAGATCTAGTACGGCTGCATCATGACCTTCACCTGATTTCTACAAAAAATCAACGAAGAAAACTAGATTTCAATTGGATGAAAGTGCTTAACAACAAACTTTGGACGATTTTTTCGATGATTTTGTTTTTTTCTTTCGAGATTTCTTTCCGAAAGTATAGATAGGTTCCATTTGATCAACGAGATCAACATCGAACAATTCAATTACGCCCTCCATACTTCCAACAGCTACATAATTCACTAAAACACAAAGCATCCACTTAATTACGAAGCGTCCCAGTCTAAACAGTGCAACAAACCTGGATTTGTGTTCTTCACATCATAGTCTAACCATGTTAAGCATAATGGCATATGTAACATTAATATATCATGGTGCACATACAGATAACCTTCTTTATCGTTGTAAACTGCAAGAACAAATCCATGAGATTCTCGTTAAAAGATTGTTATTGGATAAGAATTACCATAAACTTCAAGACTAGAAGTGTCATCTTCGATATGTGCAGCGACGATTAGATTATCGTCTGATCGAATGTAAAAATCCTCCGCATCCGAATCTTCGCCCTACCAAAACACAAATTTTTATCGAATGCGAAATAACATCAAGCCTAATTCTTACATCATCTTTTATTTCAAGTAGAGGATCATCTGTATTGGATGCATGCATTGCAATAGGACCTACACCTGGTATAAGTATATTATCATCATCGTCATCTTCTGCAATAAAGAAAAAGTTTCAATCGACTATTTAATCAATTTTTCTTCATTGCTTACGGTCGATTTTATCATCTTGTTTTTCAACATCCATATCACCATCTTTACTTTTGTCATCGTCCTCATCGTCGTCTTGAATCCCATTTTTAGCGATCAAACTATTGAGTTCTTCTTCATCCGGTGCAAACTAAATGATTAACGATAGTTTACAAGTGGACACTGAGATTATATTACTTTGATTGGAGTCGCTTTCGCTGCTCCACTTTTGATCCACACGACCGACGATAGAATATCCATCTAAAACGCACATAAGCCGAATAAAATGTTTGATTTCATTATAAACAACGATCAGATTTCAATGGACATACATCGATGAAGTAAGTCCAACGATACATGAGAAAATATGGAATTCATCATAGAGGCACACGAAATCATCTCATGGTCAAACATTTCACCAGTATTAAAAGTCAAAACTACGAATGGACTTTCTTGAATAAAAAAAATAATGATTAACTAGTATTGTCGATGGAATTCATATGTTAACAGTTCTAGTCGTAGCATGTCACACATGTGCATACATTTCAACACATCATTATGACTGTGCTAAGTTGAGGAGCATGATGTCAGCGAGATCCAAGGTTGGCTCTTTCCCATTAGCGTTGATTTCCTGTCTGTGTCATTCTCAACTTTCTCAGTTAAATCAAAACACAGAGATTTTTCACAACGAAAAACGCTTTTATTTTATTGCGTATAATAATAATAATAATAATAATAATGTTAATAATATTAATGATGATATTCATAATAATAGAGAAAAAAAGAAAAACGACAAAGAAAATTGAAATAAACATTTACATAAAACATGTAAGTGCCCGCAAAAGAATTTAAAATAAAATTGACATACGTAGATATGAGTAAAATAAAAGAGGTATCCTGAAAGACATATATCGTTTCTCTTTTGGGTTATTTTCGCCTTCTAATCTTGTCTACACGAAACATGGGAATGAAATACAACGAACGATTTTTCTTCATTCATATTTGTGCTTTTCCAATCGCATGCGGATTGTTTGTTTCTATTGCACTTCGAGGGGCAGAGGAGAGGAAGAGGTCGGAGAGAGAAAATGAAAACAAGACGAACAAACAACAGAGATTGTACTAAAAAATAATCGTCATATTGTCTACAACAGTAAATGAGAAACGAAACAAAACAAAACAAAAAATAAATAATTATGTATAGATTCAGAAAAGACTTTTCCTTCTTTGTTTCTTCTTCATCCATTCATTCATCTTCATTCAAATTGTCAACCGCATCGTCATAATCACTGGTGTCACTACTATTGTTACTAGTCGAAGACAATGCATTTGATTTTTGTTGATCACTGAAGACAAAATCCGATCACGTGCGAGTGGAGAAAAGAACATGACACTTACTCTTCTTTAACATTCGTAGTATTCGTATCAGTATCGTTTCGAATAGGATCCTCGTTCGACTGATTTTGTACTGTTATTGACGAGATTGATTGATTTTGATTTTCTTCGATTTCTTTGTGATTAATACTACGTTTCGTTTTGTTTGATTTGCGTGATTTTGTTTGTTCACGTTTTGGCATGATTTTTGAGTCAGATGAATTGCTCTGAGTTGATGTATTTAATCGATTGAACATGTCGGGTAAATCGAGTTGAGATGTTTCGCACTTTGTCGTTGATGGTGGATTGGGTTGACCTAAGGTAGGAAATGCATTTTCATCATCGAGAGCATATGGAGCTGATTCAATGTCGTCGGATTGTTCTGGAAAGGAGACAGGTTCTTCTCGGAGTTTGCTTTTACGTTTTAAACGTCGTTGTTGATATTTTGTTTGAATAAAACCATCGTCTTTGATGTCATTGACTTTGGTATTGGTTTCATTGTTTGGAAGATCACTATTGGTTAATGATAGTGAACGTGGTTGTTCATCTTGAGAAGTTGTTGATTTGGAAGCACAGTTAGCTGATTTGGTAGTTTTAGATGATTGATGGATTGACTTGTTTGAAGGTTTGCGTTCAGTGTTTGATGATAGTTTATTGTTGAATGAACGACTTCGATCCGATCGTTGATCTTGAGATGGAGGCATGGATTGTGGAGAAGTCGAGCGACGACGTGGAGCTGAGACAATTTCATTCCAAGATGAGGCAGATCTAGAGAACAAGCGAAATTAGTCTAAAAACAAAACGAAACACTCGCAGAATAGTTTACTTCATAGTGGCAGTAGTTGATGCCGTCGATTGTGTTGAAGTTTTATTATCAGATTGTTGATTATTCATTGGAAGACTCGGAAAGTCTTCAGATCGAAATTCGAATGGTGTACCATCCTCATTCATATGACTGGATTGATTATATTCATTATCATGATTGTAATAATCGGAATAATCTTTTCGATATTCGTCATGCTGCTGTTGTGATGAACGCGATAGATAACCTCTGGATCTTGGGGATGAATGATAATAATTATTGTGGTCGTTTGAATGATAAGATGATGAGATTCGTTTACTATTTGACGAATTACCTCGTCCTGGATTCGATGAATATGATGAACCACCATTTCGGCGATTGCTATAATCATAGTAGGAATTTCGACTATTCGAGATTCCACTACTGTTGTTTCCACCACCGCGATTATTATTTCCGCGAGATGATGGGCGATACGGCGAGTGATTGATTCCGTGTTGCCGAAACGAATATGATCTTTGCTGTTGAGATAACATTCGGTGAGATTTAGACATTTGTGTAGGTTGTTGTAGAGAAAAATTAATCAAAGATTGTTCACAATAATCTATGGGATAAAATGCTGATACTGGTTCCGTAGTTGAATAAATAATTTGTGCACCTGGATAATATCCGGTTGGCGTCACTGCAGTTGCTGAATTAGTTGTTGGCAAAAGAACGATTTGAGATGTTGAAGTTGAGGGTGAAGTTCCATTAATCGAAGGTGATTGTGGGACATTTGTACATGAGTCGATTTGAAATTGTTGCTGTTGGGATGGCTGAATGTGAAATTCGATTTCAGGAAATCGAACATTATCGGTGATTTTCGAATTTGTCACCATCATTGGATAGATTGTTTGAACCATCAGCGGTTGTTGATCCGAAGGATAAATAGATGCAACTGTATTTTCATCGACGTATAATGGAATGCTTATCGCAGAATTTTGTCCTAATGGAACAAATTCCTTCGCTTCAGGCGAAAGACCTGACGATGGTGAGGTAGTCATAATAGGTGTTGGATTCGAACGACAAACGATGACTTTCTTTTTGTTTGTTTATACAATCTAATAGAATAATGACATTTTCAAGTAAGATAATCAATTAATTAGTTTGCTCGAGGATAAATCGTGTGTTTAACAAATGAAAATTCATGACTCATCTAGAATATTGAAACGGTTCATTTGTAGGAAAAAGTTTCGACATGATATAGATTTTTTGCTTTTGATTGATCTTTAAATGGAGGAGAAGACATGATGATGGTATTCTATGGATTGAGATGATAAACAAAATGGACCATTCAGATTTAAATATACAATCTAATTAAACAGAAAAATATCTGAATTTTTATAATTTGAATTAGTTTCAAAAAATGACTTCTTTCCTGAAATTCAACGTAGATTGTGGCGACAAATGAGAAAAATTTACTGAGCAACATTTATTTTCAAATGAAATCTTGCGAAGAAAATCTTGAAAAAAATGCCGAGTTTTTGCAGTTAAATAAATGTTTTCGCCTACATACGCTTTTGAATGGTATACTATTTTGACCAATACGTGACGAGCTTTGTATTTAGTATTGGCTATAATGATGATGGCGAGGAGTTTAACTTCAATCTTAGCGGTGTCGTGTATTTTTAGAGAAAGGCAAACGAAGTGATCGGTATGGCTTTAGCAAATGTACTTGGATTCAGTTCAAACGATGCTTTTAATCGATCATTACAATGTGCAAAAACTGACAATGAAATTGACGATTTTTGCCCGAAATTGAACATTGAAAATATTGCTCAATTCATTACTTTACCACCCTATGCAGACGTAAGAATCGTTTTATATGCATTCATGTTCATCGTTTGGTTTGTCTTCATAGCCAGCAAAATATTTGAAATTGGTCAACGACAAAGTCGATCGAGTTCGTATTCAATTTCTCAAAGGAACAACAACATTAGCATTTAAATTCCGTAACGGTGTCATCGTTGCTGTCGACAGTCGTGCGACCGCTGGCGGTTTCATTGGTTGGTATTCTTTGATGAGAAGAACGAATTTTTAATGAATGTATATTTCATTTCTTAAGCATCGGGTGAAGTGAAAAAGGTTATTGAAATCAATCCTTATTTATTGGGTACAATGGCTGGTGGTGCAGCTGATTGCGCTTTTTGGGAACGCGTACTCGCTCGTCATTGCCGGATCTATGAGCTCCGCAACAAAGAGAAAATTTCTGTTGCCGCTGCCTCGAAAATCCTTGCTAATATGATCTTTGAATATCGTGGCATGGGCTTGTCAATGGGAACCATGATCGTCGGTTGGGATAAACGCGTAAATGAAATCTTCAAAGCAATAGCATATCATATCTTTTTATTGTTATCATAGGGTCCCGGTCTTTACATGGTCTCGGATGATGGTGAACGTATCAGCGATAATTTATTCTCAGTTGGCAGCGGTTCTATATATGCTTATAGTATTCTTGATGCTGGTTACAAGTAAGTTGAATGACTACAGTTGTATAAGGTATGAAGATATGTACTTTTTAGGTATGAAATGAGTACAGCAGATGCTATTGATCTCGGTCGTCGTGCTATTGTTCACGCTGCTCACCGTGATGCTGCATCAGGAAACATCGTTCGAAGTAATGAGAATTTTCTTATTTAGAACAAAATTCTATCGACAATCATTTGACTTTTTATTTAGTTTATCATATGAAAGAAACTGGTTGGGAAAAAATCGAAGAAAAAGATACCAACGATTACATGTATCAATATCGCGAAGACAAAACCATGAATTTTTAAGCCATTTGATGAGCATTGAACTCTTAAACACTAAACTGCTATGTTGTTATTTTTCTTCATCTTTTATTTCAATCACGAAATGTGAATAAAAAAAAAACGGAGAAACACATAACGGCTATTCACTTATAATGCAAGTCCTACTGAACTTTAGTATCGTCCTTCGACGAAAGAAAATCGATTCGTCACATTCTCCCTGTAGTCTTCCACAAATGTGTCATACATGCAGGTCACGTACAGACAAGACAAGTTGAGTATCTCCTTTCGAAAGATAGATTATTTTGTGTTACTTCAAGGCATTTGCCAGTCATGACATTACATATTAAAACTGAGATAATTCTTTCTCGTTATATAACTGATAGTTCTTCGATAAACATGAACTGTAACTTCTGAACTAAATAGGTTCCAGGTAAGTTCAATATTAATGAGTATACTTTCAGAAGTATTCCGCGAAGTTTACGCTACACGTGAATAATCGTCTTAATACCAGAGAAGAACCAAATATAATTTACTAATGTACAGATAAAATGATTGCGTTGAAGTGTAGACACTTCTTGCTAACGGTTGAGTGTTTTTATTTGCTCCATAAACATTTTCGATATGATGCATGCAAGTAGTATAAATATATGTTTTTTTTATGTTGTTTATCAGGTATCTAAGATGTTGACTTTTAAACTCGATCGAGAGAAAAACAGTAAACTTCTATACGATCTTCACCGAAAATTAGAATGATCTTCATTATCAACTCATTTTTGTCTTATAAACAATTCTCTTGTATTATCATTAATATCGAGTTTTCCTATCACATAGATCTTTCATTGCTTCTATCGTATGGTGGATGTTATTATTGTATAGAGTTCGTATGAATTATTCAATCACACATGCAATCAGAGGAACTGACGAGTGCTCTTCAGTACAATGTCATGTGAAAACTCTTTGTGTTTGGTAAGAAACTTTAGAAGACATATAGCTAGAGTAAAATATTAATGAAACTTTCACCGAATATCCCACCAGTTGCGTGTTCTTAACGAAATTTATTTTTAGAGGTGTTATATTAAAACATGTCTTCATGTTAATTTGTTCCTTCCTTTGAATATAGCACGAATCCATCGCTGAAAACAATAGAAAGGAAGAGCATTTTCTTTGTTCTTGAGACAATCAACAGAATACGTACGAGGATGTTGTTATCATTAAGTTATACATACAAGGCGAACCATTAATATGGAAACACGGTATTTGTTATGTTTTTTAGACAAATATTAATACCTCTGTACAACAAACGACCTTAAGTGTACGTTTAGATAAGAATTAGTACATAATAGTAAGAACAACAAACAGTAAGACAAGGCGATACGATCGATGCATTCAGAGGAACTTTCAATTGAGGATATTTCAGAATGAAGATAAGACAGGAAGCGAAGGTAAATGGAAACTGTAGTATACTCTCAAGTCGTAGGCATCTTTGTCAATTGGTATTAACCTATGCAGATGCTCTACTATTTAAATTTCTTTTTTTGACAGACCTGGATTCATGACTATTTCATATCCTGAAAACCAATTCTCGTTAGTTATTGTCTCTTGAAATACGTCGGATTTAATTAGACAACGTACGTGTATGAATAATCATAGTCAGATCGACATTGATGTAAATGAACATGACATCCGCTATGACTGACAGTTCAACGAAAGAAAAAAGATGGGGAAGCTCCACTAATTAATAATGTGAATGCGACGTTCGTAAAAAAGAACTATTGTTCGTTTCATCAGAAGAAAGTCAATATTAGAAGTTCGCACATCTGTCTATTCAAAGTGAAACCATCGAGACTATAGAGAAATTCTTGCAAATGTATTTCTTGATTAATTTTTTATTTTGTATCGAAAGCATTCCATAGAGTTTTTTTTCAGAATATGTTTTAATGGTATCTTCGATATTTTTCTTATCCATCTGTTGGACTTAATCGATACATAATATTTGCGTTTTCTTTTCCTAGTTTTTCTGACAGATAGGATAGATGATGATTGACCACAGCTACAAACATTATTACAGTATTAGGGATGAAAATAACACTGAATATACAATGACGATGACAGATATTTTCTATAGAAGTTGGATCAAAAACAAAAGTCTATAATTACATTCTCCTTAGACTAGACTCATTCGTACTGTGACAATCATATTTATCGTCAAAAAGAAAATATCACTAGTAAACCAGATGGTCGTATACAAATCGTTATTGATTGGATTTGTCTAAACATTCCTTTTCGTCTGATATCGAAAGGTCATCTCGTATTTTTTTTGCATCATCGATCGAGGAACAAGTTCAGACGCGACTTTAGTTTTCCCATTTTTTCTCCCATGTTTCTTTTAAAAATTAGCGATGTCATTTGTCGCAAAAAAAAATCCGAGCGTCTGCTTATAGCAATAATAAATATTAGTTTAGTTGATTAAACTACGTCGTCCGTGCAATTATCTTTGTATCAATTCGACTTTGATTCGTTATTTATAGCTTCTTTATAAATATTTTTCTATTTTTCACCAAATCCTTGATCATCAAACAAGCCTGGCGAGTGTGGTCGATATGAATGAACTTGGTCGATCTCGTCGAGTCATGTGACCTTGTTTTAACTTTGCACACATCCATCAGTTTTCAAACAACAAAAATATGACAACATGCAACCCACTTGTATAGTGATTGATTTTGATTTTTCTATTATCGACAATCGAATAATTCTGATGAATGAGTTCTTATAAACAGACGAAGTTATTTTCATTCAAATCTGCTCATGTATATACAACAAATGATTACAATAGGAAAACGTGAAGAAGAGAAAGAGAAAACAAAGAATAACATAGTCCATAGATAGCTCATTGTGTAGATTTCGTCTGTAATTTAACGATGTATCGATCGAGATTTTTTTCTAAAGGCAGTTTTGGCAGATTTTTGGAAAGATTAATGTGCAACCTTCGATGTGTTAATACTGTGCCTTGACGAGCGTAAACTGATATGAAAAATGTTCGTAATCGAATTGATGAATATGGATGAGACAAGCAGTCGAGTTTTGGATCTCGCTGTGCTGTTGTTTATTTGATAGAAGTCAAAGAAAACCAACTCATTTTATTCTGTGAAAGTGACTGAGAGAACGGAAGAGAAACTCTTGATGCTCGATGCGGAACAGTTACAACGAGAACAGTAATTCACAGTAAGTAGTAGCTACTCGTTGTATATCTCAGTAGATTGCGTTAATGTTTTTTGAATCAATCTTCTATAGCATAAATTAATGTTATAGAAAATAAAGGTAAGAGTATGGTGATGTAAAGATGAAACACTCCATGTCCACGGTAATTGATAGGAAACTTTCTGGTTTAGTTTATTTTGCGTCTAGTTTGTATCTAAGAGTAAATAGCTTGTTTTGGACACGAACATTGATCTTCCATTATGAAATACGAGGAGGAAATCTATATGAATCTTTGCCAACAGGAGATTATCTTTGCTATTTTTAGGAGATATAGTTTCCTTCAGTTATAAACTGATGAATAGATGCGTTCATTTGTATGATAATATAATCTTGTATTGATCTCGCATGATTCTGTCTAATTTCAATACTCGATGGATTTATATAAACATGCGTATATTGATATAAAAATGCATTATGACGATCGTTCTGCTTGATTACACAAGTATAAAAAAAATAGACAAGAACGCTGACGTTCAAGAACGTCAATGATTTTTTTCACAGCTGAGTCATTCGTACATATGATAGATAGAAAGATATTTGCTGATCACTGAGAAACTAAAAGTTTTGTGTTGTTCGTATTTTTTCAGAGGAGATCTCTTCATCGAGATTGCGTCGTTCATTGAGGCTCAGTTTTCGTTCGGTTTTCTCTTACTTAAGAATAATTAGAAAAGATGGATGACATATCAAATAATTATCAAACTGAAGCCGATGACGATGATGACCTTCCCACACACACATAGTGTATCAAAGACATGCTGTCGTAATAGAAATTTCGATGATAGACATTCATGACTGTTAATGTTCTACATTAGATACGAGAAAGGAAGCAAACATCAACGAGTACGTCGTCTTACATAGAGTTATTCTAGTGATATTTTTAAGTCTACCACACGAATCAATAGTTTTTCTTCTGTTAGAAAACAACAAGATACTTAGCAGGCTATCGAAGAGAAGAAAGAAAATTCTAGCTCTTCAATAGAAAACAAATTCTTTGTAATAATTATACTCATTATCTCAAGAGCATTCTTTTTTTTTCTTTTTTATTTATACGCAAAATCTCGAAAGTTTTCTTTTTGTTGGCAAAGATATTTCTATCAAACAACTTGTAGGTTACATCTTTTAGAACCATGAACTCGACACTTAATGCGTCATTGCCACTATCATCATCAACTTGTTCATTGCAAGCGCGTGTATATTCGTCGGAATATCTATTCATTAAATTGTTAAATGCAACTTATTTACGTTTACTCATTGGTCCGGGTATTTTGTTAAATACACTTTGTCTGCTTGTTCTCTCTCGTCCGCGTATATCGAATAAATCTACGACTATTGTTTTCCTACGTTTTCTCGCCGTGTTCGATATTCTGGCGATTACATTGAAATACATTCGCGCAGAAATCAACTATCAGTCGACCGAAAAAGGTCATCAAATCTTCCTCTTGATTCCATCGATTTGCAAGACATTGTACGTTCTTATGAACTCCAGTATCTCGATCGCAATGTGGACAATTGCATTAATGAGTTTGTAAGTCTTCTCAATTTCGTTACCACACAAAACAACTCTTGTGTTTTCAATAGAGATAAGGCAGTTGCTGTTACTTATCCATTCAAATCGGGGATATGGGTCACGACTCGACGAGCTGTATATATCTGTTGTTTGACAATCATTGTACTTTTATTGGCTAATCTTGCGTTTATAAAACTATCCGGAATTCGAATGGCGAAAAATCACCGTAAATACTGTGGACTAATCGATGACTTATTTATTGTCGATCTTCTCACAGCTTCGATTCTCCCGATCGGTATGTATGTTTTTCTTTGACTTAATCGAATAAGTCGATTCACTTCGACGATTAGATGTGAAACTTTTCAGAGCAATCTGAATTATATTCGAAAAGATTGATTTTACTGAAAACATTACTTCCAAGATAAATGCCTTCTAAAAGCAACGAAGTCCTTTTATAGAATAATTAAACGGAAGTTTTATAAATAATGACGAAGTTTACATTTGAGTTACTTTCAAATAACCACGTTCATTGTACTTGATGCAGGTTCTAAAAACTTCATCATGCTAGATATGATCTCTTCTATTGCAGTCGTCAGTCTTGAAGCTGATGACATGAGTCCTTTTTAAGATAATTTCATTTGTCACGAGCAATATGAAACTGAGTTCCTGCTTAAAAACTAACAACACAGTAATTAAATAAAGCTAGAGTCTGTCATGTCGTGCAGCCACGAATGCTTCGAATAATGATCATATATTTCCGAAAGCTGATCAACGAAACTTGACAATTATTTCTTTTTCAGGGATAATCACATTGACAAACATCGTTATTGCCGTTGTTCTACACCGTGATTCGAACGTTTCCCTCGATTCCAAAGTATCCGATGAAAGTCCGAGACGTGAAACCGAATCACAACTCAACGGTTCTCGAATATCAGTACCCTCGTTTCGTTTTCGTAGTTCAGCTAGTTCATCCATTACAACAACAGATTTAGCCGTCGCTGCTAAACGGCGCGCAAGTGCTCAAGTCACGCGCATGCTCCTAGCTGTGACACTGTCGTTAATCATTTGCAATATTCCAAACACACTTTTCTTCGTATTCGTTAAAGATACAAGACAAATATTGAATGGACGCTTATGTTCGAATATAACTGATCATGAAATCACACTATACAAATTTGGCTTTTATTCAAGTGTTCTACAAGACATCCTGTCGGATTTACCGCATATTTTTAATTTCTTTCTCTATTGTTTAGCTGGAAAGAAGTTTCGAAGTATATTTATCAGTAAAGTGCGACATGTCCTTTATGATCTTGGTTTGATAAAATCAAAAGAACGCCGTTTGACACATAGCGCATGTCCATCCAAATCTGACTATACATCGGATAGAATGCCTCGACAAAAATCCAATCGTTTATCTTCAATAAAATCACGGAAAAGCATCGAACTTCTACTGAATGGTAGCACCTGTAAAACTGTGCTTAATCGTGACGGTAGACACTTGTCCTTATTGAGTAATTCCGAGTTCGATTCGGATGGACAACGTGGACGAGCCTTCACTAGTCTACAATAAAATTGTGAGAATGTATATTTTCTTTTCTCTCTCTTTCTGTCACTTCTGTGTTTTCATTTGCGTAATCTTTACTGATTACAGCAAAGTCATAATTATCAAACTCTTTGTCAGACTATAATAATGAAAATATATGTTAATTAGATGTTTAATAAATGGCCAATCAATCGTATCCATCGTTCTTGAGAACAGTTATCATACTAATAAATCATTGGTACAACCTTCATTGTTATCGATTGTGCAGACATTTCAATATCAAAAACAATATTTCGTATCCATCATAAACGGGTGAAAAATATGTTTATTCTTTCTGGTTAGGCGTGAATAAATTAGACATACACATTGACAACTAAAATGCGTAGAAGGTTTAGTCACACCTATCAAAACACGAGTTTTGTTTTCTGCTCTCTCTATTTAAACTATCCGGCTGCAAATTTTCGATGATAGAGAAGAGTATCGATTTTGCAATAATGAATTTCTTGTCTGATTAAGCTTAACATGAGAAATACTTGCACTATAACATCTTTGAGAGTATATCTTGACCTTTTCTCAATGTTGAAGAGCTATGTATATAAGCACAACCTTGTAAAAGCTACCGTGAAGTATTTAATCATACTCTTGGCAATTAAAACGGTATATGTTGAAGTATCCTCGCGACTTTGACATTACATTTGCATATGTTGTTCGACTTCGAAGTAATCGAAGGAAAACTTCTCGTTCTTACCAGTTTAGATTTCGTTTACAGTGACATATTAAATATGTCCTAAAAAAGAGACGATTTGAATCTACTGATGAATTATTTATACTCAGGCTATTGATATTGAAATATATTTATTTATAGTTTTCATTTCCATTCGCTCTCGAACTCGTTTGACCGACATATCTGAGCTTTTTGTCACGTAGATGTTTCGATCAGGAATTCTATTTCTCCTACACAATTGTGCACAGAATGCTGATGATTTAGACTTATATGTTCTCTTTTAAGGCGTGTCGCTAGTAACCAGTCGCTTGAATATATCATTCCTTTGCACCGAAATAATAAATATTAACTGTTTCTTTTTGCAAATTTTTCCCTTCAAACCAACGAAATAGTTTCATTGTAGGCAAAAAATGTTCGTCATACATATCCGATTGATTGTAGTGACATGTAAACAATATCATCGATCTACGTAGTTAACTAACTCTACTTTCCCCTTGCAACGCATATTATCGAGGTAAATTAGTATTGATTAATTTTTTTCTGAATATTTATTCACGCGCATATTGCTTTTTTATACTTTGTTTACATTCAAGTTCGAATTTATCGAAAGAGTCAATAGACAAATAGCGCCATCAATCGGTATCGTGTTGTTTATTTACAAATTTAATGCGCTAATATTGAAATATTTTTTCATCACGATTTTCAACAAAATATTCTTTCCATAATTTTATTCCTGATTTTGACTGGAAGTTTATCTCTCGAATATTGACATTTGTCCTTTATTAGAAACAAATTACGATGACTCATCGACATCATACAGTATATTATACTAATAATAATTCTCATTGCAGAAGACGTCCTCGAATCTTGTACATACGTATCGTTCTTTCTTGTTTCTATTTCAGATATGATTTTCTAGAGTTTATCTAATCGAATTATTCATCTTCAATTCTATATTAGATGAGTAAGTAATCAACCACCGCTTTATCTTTGATAATTCTAACTGAATCAACAAAAGAAAAACCAGCAAACATGCGATGTTCTGTTTTGCACTGCAAAGACCTCTGCTCGTTATCTGTTAAATAGAATACTTTGATATCGCATACGTATGGAGGATGACGAAGTCAAGAACTACTCGAGAAAAGCCAAATCTGTACTCTACGGACAAGATTCTTCTCATTTGATATCTACTCATATATGTATTTGTATACATGTGTCTGTCAGTTGATCAACACGTATGTTTTTTTCGTCGAGTATTAAGGATGAAAGTCGACGGATGTGTTTTCCATTAAGAATTTCTCTTCGACTTGTTTAATGAGTCCGAATGACGTCAGCAATCGTCGTTCATTTTGCTCAGAGATAGAATTCGATTAGAAAGACTCATAATTATGCATAAACAAATCTCTTCGATGCACAAGAGAAAGCCGAGAGGAGAAGAAAAAAACAGTTAATATCTAATCAAATACGCTAAGATGTTAGAAAGACTGTTCTCCTATAAACAAAACATATACGTCCTTGTTTTAGACAGACGTTCGATATCGAACACCTTTTTTTCATCTTCGTCGACGTCGTTGCTTTTTTTTAATGATGTGCTTCGTGTATTCATACGATTATTTCGCTTATCCGCGACAGTATCTTGGCTCGTAATGAGAAAGAAATACTATTATATACCTTCAAGCATGTAACTGAGCTAAATGAACATTGAGAGAGAAAAACGTAAATTGATTTTGATCATTTGCATTAAGCAGGTGAAAAATAGATTTTTAACTTGAAATAACTCGGATAGGGATTGTATGCAGGGTTTATGATTACTATCTTGATGACAAGAACGTAAGTCATGCGCACTTGTACACATGGAAAGATCAAAATTGCACTATATAAATCACGGACTCCAACGATGAATGAAGGTTATTAGAAAGACTAAACTACTCGATAATCTATTCGTTTTAGTACGATTGGATTAAGAAATTGGTTATACATGATCAGTAAGTGATACATCAAAGGTGATCCAGCTCTCCGATCTTTCTTTTCTTTTTCAAGAATAATTTGTTAGGAGAAGGTAAAATTGATTGTTGTTTGAATAGTATGACTTTAATCTCTTCGGAATTAAACAATTTTGAGATGCACGAATAATTCTTTTTGATCTCGTTTTATTAATGAAAAGATCTAGGCATATATGTGCTCGATTGCTTTGTTCTAATCTCGAACGCATTGTGTTGTTTTTCGTGCCTCTGTGTTTGATGTCGAAATATCACAAAATAAACTCGATTATTTTTAGTCAATAAGAACTTTTACGATTGTTACTGTCATCACAAATTGTAATAAAATCTTCGTTAATAGAAAACGGCATTCTTTCGTTCGAACAGATTCGACTATATAATCTAAGCCATATGATTGACTCGCTTCGATCAGATGTCTATTTTTTTTCTGCATGAAGTTGAAACTACTTGACCTTGCATGTTCTTTATCTTTCGACTGAAATTTTTTACAATATGTAAGCAACGATCGCAAATACTTTCTTATTCCATTTGCTTTTCAAGGACTTTCTTGGTAAGAAATTTGTACGATACTATTATTTTATAAGCTCAAGTAGTTTGCTTATTCATTCACTCCCTTCTTCTTTCTCATCTGACCGCCTACTACTTCCTCCATGACACGATATTTTCATGGTATATATCATGCTTTTTTTTCTTCATTTTCCTACACGTTATTACTAAAAGGGCAAAAAAAAGTTATTTCATAATAACAAGGGTTAAATGTTCATTTTCGTAAGGAGATCAAAAGGAATTGCATGCCTTTTCTTTTCTGATTGGCAGAATGACCTGTGCGCTCGAATTCGAACGCACCGACGAACACAATCAGAAATTCGTTCCCTTTACTACCAGCTCTTTCTTTTTTCTTGCTGCTTCACTTCGATATACATGCGTGTATGTATACGCGTTGTTAGTCACAATCACGACAGCTGATTTGTTCGCTTTTCGAATAGCGAGGGAAGAATAGATAGAGAGAACGAGAAAAGAAAGTGAAGGAGCACAACTTACTACTAGAAAAGTAAATGTAAACGAACGAATCAGAGAAGAAGAATTTTCTTTCACACGTATGCATTCAGCATCATTGTATTTGAAGTCGTGTTCATCATTATCGCGCTTTGTGATATGATGACGAAAGCTTCTCTCACTTTTTTGCCCCTTGACATGTAAAAAAAAAGAATATACAATGATGATGTCGACACAATGACGATTGGCAAACTTCTTTTTCATTTATCACCACTTATACGTTTACTCTTGTCTATTGTTCTATCTTTTCTAGGCTCTTTGTCCCTTCTCCACCTTTTCATCTTTACACATTGTCATCGAAATGCATATTTTTGATCTCGTTTTAGAATGCAACAAAAACCGGCGACCGATCTAGTCAACAAAAATCAAAATACAGCGAAGAACGCTTCATCATTACTTACCTGTCATTTATAGTTTACATCATAGTTGCACTCAAAAAACAAACTATGACTCAGAATAACTAATATTTCAACATCACCATCCATTATTCTATATGTCGTAGTCAATTGTTTCTCTTTCTTTTTCTCTCTCTTTCTTGCTCCTCTCTCTCTTTCGTTTCTCGTGTTGACAACGAGTTATCCATCGAATAATTGTTCTTATACATAGCTATTTTTGTCCAGTACTTCGTCAACTATGAGAAAATTCTTCAGTCAAAAATCTAAACACAAGACAACATCAACATTGACAGGTTCATCATCGATCACAGTAACACCATTTACCAAAGATGATGAATTACAAATAACAAACAGTTTAACAAGAAAATGCAAATCACAGACAACGCCTAGTCAATCTCAAGTTTTAACAAATTCAGCAGCAGATCTTATCTTTGAACCGACAATTAATGAGAACATATCATCCGAACAAAATCTTAATACTCAATTCAAACCAGATGACAATGAAGAAAAATCAAAAAAACTATTTGTTGTTGTTTCGGGTAATTATTCTCGCTTGATGATAAATATTAATGGAATGCTATTGTTTCTTTTCCTTGTTCTCTCAAATGAAAAACCTACTCCTTCTATACAGCCATATTTTCGTACCCTTTAACCAAACGTCATCTACACAACAAAAGAACGATACTATCTTATGACTGTATAGTTGTATATTTTTCCTAAAACACGGACTTTATGGATGGAATTCCAATCGTCTTCATCAAATTCCGACGTGATTTTATCTTTATCCATATATTAATCGATCTACAAAAGCATTCTTCTAATTTTCTAATGTTGTTCTTTCTAGACGTCGAC